TGCTTGGTGAAAGCCGTAATCTGTTGTACCAAGACCTTTTCTAATTCCTTCCTAGCATCTAGTACTTTATCAACCACAGCAGGAAGTAGTTGACCTTTGATTATCGGTCTGATATATGCAAGGGGATTAAACACTTGGTGACGGGATTGAAGTTCCTTGAGCGTCTCCCAAAGAGGAGTGAAGTCAAGTTCGGCGGATTGACGGATTGAGTCTGGGATTTCGTGAGTCATGAATAGGTTCTCGATGAGCATCAGATTTTTGATGAGGAATAGCTGTGCATCCATTATGTTATTCGAACTTCGCTTTATGATTGTTGCCGCTCTCTGTAGAGATTCGGTAGTTTGATGCACAATTTCGTAAAGAACATCACCTTTCTTGAGCTGCATACGAATGTTAGTGCAGTCACGTTTATATCTAAAGCGGTGGACTTACTGTTCTCTCATGCATGCTTTCGTTGTATAAAACGAGTAAACTAACCGCCGTCTTGACTGTAGGAAAGGCATTTGAAACACCAGCCTCAACAGATGTGCTTTCTTCAAGAGGCTTAAGGGCCGTATCAACTCGCAAGCCACTAGTTGGAATGGCTTTCTCATTGGATAATTTCGGAGCATTTTTTGGCGATATGATCCTGAGATCTTCCGAAGATGGTTTGAAGTGCTCAAGTTTTTTTGCTTCCATGATGAAAAGCTGATCAGCTAATGGCCAGAGATGAACGCCCAACAAGACCTGTGCAGCCAATCTTTGTCCATCACGACTCTCATCTTCATGTGCCTCTGCTGAAATAAAAGTGTCACCCAACCAAGTAACCAAGTCGCAAACTCGATGCAAGTCACCATTGCTCAAATATGGGGTCAGGAAGCCATGGAGTATCTTCACATGCGACAGACAACTCTCCTCTAGTTTCTCGAGGTATGTATTAGGCATGTTCCACGGAACGGGAGGTGGAGGATAATCGGCCATAAGAGGTCCATTCTGAAAGAATTTTGCTGCTAATTTCAACTCATTCTGACATGTATCAAAAACATATTGCACGGATCGTCTAGCGAATAATTCAAACTCCTTGTCAGGGAGAGGTGAAGTAGTTGAGAAGTTTTGAAGATTTTTGAGAACAAGAGGTCCAACAGGATCACGGGATCTTATGTAGGACTCAAGCAATTGCTGATATAGGTTATGCCATTGTTGGATATATGGTGTTCGGTCCACATCACCTCTTCTCCCAAATGCGAATTCATCAGTCGTCAAAAGTCGTTCAATCGAGAGGCCTAAATTCTCCCTAGCAGATTCATATTTGCCATAAAGAAGAATGTATTGATTTGTCTCCGTTTGTTCTTTGGCTTTCAATTGTTTTGAGGCGTCATCTGACACTTCACGCAGAGAATTTGAGAAAGCAATCTGGACGAGGTTGAGTGCTTTTTCTAAAAGTGTTGTGTAGCGAGTCTTATACACAGTCGAGTCTTTATAGTTTGGCTGTAAATAATTAGTCACAAGTAATCCAAGATCTGTCTCAAGATAGATGAGCCTCGTAATTTGTTGTGAAACATCTCATTGATTTAACAACGTATTTAATAAAAGTAGCATGCATAGAAGGTGTTTCTACTAGCCTACACGAAGCAACCGCCGAGTATCGAAATTTCTGAGATATGGACATAAGGAAGACAAGACCTACATGCTGATCCATAAACTCAATACAAGAGTTGAGATTTTCTAACATATCCAAGAAGTCACCATTTTTGACCAGCCTTCCGGCACCTGGAGCATTCAAGCGTCGAGTCAGAGGTTCAAGATAAGCATAGTATTGCAAATCCGTTCCAACTTCATCTGCCAATTCACGTATACGTTTTTGTTCTTCCAAAAGATCTTCACATTGGGCTTGAAAGGCTTGGGTTTGTGCTTCGACATTCTTGAACGATTCGGAAAGACTGGCAAGTGTATCCAATGCGCTTGTAGTATCACTTAAAAGAGTGTCAAGATGACGCTCGGATAGAACTAATTGATCTAGATATAATCTTCAGGTGGTCAGCGTATTGGCTCGATGCTCATTGTTTATATTTGGCATACTGGTATTCCTCGAGGCTTCCATCCACAAGCTCATCCTCAAGCGCACTGTACCGCTCCTCAAAAAGGAGAGTCCTAGATTCCCCTCCCTCGGCATCGCGCTCGTTTTGTGTCTTTCCCTCATTCGTTTCCTTGTTTATATATGCCATAGCTACTTCGTAGAAATCGCTATATGATTTTGCTCTTCTTGCCAATGTAGCTTTCGGAGGGTCTTTCGATACAAGCTCATCCTCATATATTCCTAGCATTGGAGAGTTCTGGTCCAGCACTTGGTTGTTGCCCTATGTACACCATTAACTCGAAGCACTTTTCATAGCACTAAGGGGGCTTACATTAGTTTGCTGCAAAAGAGATTCTTTGCGACGATGTTGCGATGCCTGTGAGGTAACATGATCCTTTTTGGTACTTGTTTCGGGCACAAAACTGTACCACGCATCTTCGTACATTTTACCGGTACCTTACATCAAAATTCCAAGATGTTGAGTAAGGCTGAAGTGTCATGAGTATTCGAAACACCGTTTATCCATGGGGCTCGGCACGGACCACTAGCCTGACATTCAATCAGATTATAATTGGACCAGGAAAGGTCAATTCGTCATGGGATGGAAACGGGACAAGGCTGAGGAGAACTTTGTGGTATGAGGGGCAGTGGCGAGTCTAACAAATGTTATTTTTGTAAATGTACAAAGCCTGGTTCTCAATTATTGATATAGGCATAAAAATCAATGATGTTGTCAAGTAAAGTTATACCAAAATGCGGCACGATTGTTCAACGAGCAAATCGACATACCAATCACTCAATCGCATTCCAGAGGAGATATATTGGAGGTTCAAGTGATTCCAGAGTTGCCGTTGCCAGTAGAGCTTCAAATTCACGGAAAGCTGCGTTGTTATTATCGCTGACAATATGCGCTGGAGGTTTATATGCAACCGGCTATCCACGAGCTTTACATGCAGAAGAGATCCCTACACCCGCCGAGCTACAATTCGAGAAGAAGAGGAGGAATACTAGCACAAAAGAAGAGAATCGAGACCAAATAAGCTCACAGCATTTGCAAGTGAAGAGGAGCTGGGAGAACCCAGGAGTATATGCATGGGGATCGAATACGGGTCGTGTTGTTGCACCCGACTCCGAGGAGATCAATGTCAAAACTCCAAGACGAATACCACATTTCGATGGGAAGCTCATTCGAGATATTAAGTTAGATCGTAATTTTGCTGCAGCAATTACTGAGAACGGCGATCTGCTGCAATGGGGTACTGGATATTCACCGGATTGTAAGGGGCCTACAACAACATTGAAGGGAAAGGATCTTGTCAAGCTATCTATATCAAAAGACCGGATCATAGCACTTTCGTCAAAAGGCACGGTGTACTCAATTTCAGCATCACAAGCAGATCAGGCATTAGAACCAAAGCAACAAGAGAGCTCATGGATTCCCTTCTGGAGCAGTAAATCTTCAATTGGGTACCGAACCTTGAACCCGGATAAAATGGTCTGGGGAGAAAAGGTGACGGATATTAGCAGCGGTCTTGAGCATTGCCTTCTCCTCACATCCAAAGGACGTGTTTTCTCCGCAGCATCCGGCTCTGAAGATTATCCTTCGAAAGGACAACTCGGTGTCCCTGGCTTAACATGGACATCGCGCCCCCCTGGAAGATACGACCAACCACATTGGTTAAGTACACTTCAAGGATTTGACATTGCAAAGATTGCTACCGGTGACTATCACTCTCTCGCAGTTGATACGCAAGGGCGAGTTTTCAGCTTCGGCGATAATTCCGTCGGCCAATTAGGCTTTGAATATAACTCTGAAGCATCTACCATCGATGCCCCTTCGCTAGTCCCCATTGACAGACTCTACAAAGGCACAAATTTACTTCCTCGCGTAACCGGCGTCTTCGCAGGGGGTGTCAATACATTCTTTACAGTCGACGCTACCCGAGTGGCCGGACAATCAGAAGAAGAACCTCCCGCAGACCTGGGCCGTATCACAGCTGATACCTGGGCATGCGGACAAGGAATCTACGGCACCCTCGGAAACGGCCGCTGGACACATGTTCAAGGACTCCCCTCGAAAATGAAAGCTCTCTCTGGCCTCTTCGAATACGACGAAGTTGCGAACAAAGTAGTCCCCATCCGACTTTCCCGACTCTCCATTGGCAGCACTCATGCCTCCGCCGTAATGAACAACGTAACTCACCTGAACGCTACCTCTAAATCCAGCTCAAATGATACAAATTGGGGTGCCGATGTATTATGGTGGGGCGGAAATGAATTCTACCAACTAGGCACTGGAAAGAGAAATAATGTTAGCCAGCCAATTTATATTCAGCCGCTGGATTTGGCGGCCGATAGAGAGAAAGGAAGGAGAGAGGAACATCGCTTCCAGATTACGCCAAGGAAGACGGTGAAGATTGGAGGAAGGAATGTCAGTGTGGAACAGAGAATTGAGTGTGGGAGAGGCTGTACCGCGGTTTATTCTGGTGCGTAATCATTTCACAGCGATGCATTGAAAATATGTGAGCCTGGTTGTAAAATTCCCCTGAGGTTTAAATGTCTTGTTGTACTGTACTTTTAGTTTAGCCAGTGAAATTGCTGGGGGAGGGGGGAAGAACAGGAATTGGCACGGAATGGGAATTAGGGGGAAACGGTGTCAAACTCCAATCACTGTACATTTATTCCAACGAGACTCGACTCTGTATTTGTATCGAGGATTTCAAGGACTTCGCGGCTCCATAGCATACAAGTAAATTACCTAGTCATCCAACGCAATCACAATTAAAATGAATAAACCAATTTATTTAACGAACTGGAAAAATCAAAGATCTATAATCTTACACGTTTTAATTTCATCTTCCAGTGCACAACTGGCTTGCTGTAGATGCAGCCCTATAACCACCAAAAGAACACGTATTGATCATGGGCCATCTATCTAGTCATTCCTGATCGCTTCCTTCGACTTTCCTACCATCCATGGCCCATCCGTAACTGAATAGTCCCGTTAAACGCCATCCATGAAAATTAAAGTACTCTGCGCGTAAAGCATAAAGAAAAGTGCTCAACTTGGTTCTCACTCTCCTCCCAAGATTTGGGCGACCATCTTAAGATTATTCAGACATGATTGCCTCGATAAATTCCCGACCTAAACACCATTACATCGAACACTTCATAGACCTGCCGCGACGGCACTGTTGCCATTGATTTGTGGCTGTGGTGATCCCAAGGCACCTGCTTGAGCAGTATTTCTTGCCTGGTGTTGGGTTCCTTGCTGCTGAACAATTTGGGCTCGCTGACGATCAATTATAGTCTGTTGCTCGCCTGAAGTTAAAAAGGTACTCATGTTATTATAGGAATTTTGGTGATTTGATTGCGGCGGCAGAGTCTGTTGAGGCTGAGGTTGAGGTGATTGAGAGGAGCCATTCATGACCGGTGGTTGAGCCAACTGACCTTGCATGTGCCTAGTGGCATTGGGTGGTAAAATAGGAGGGGCGGGTGTTGAGTACGGAGGGCGGACTTGAGGTTGAGAGTGTTGATTTGCTTGATTATACACAGGCTTCTGAGGCGAGCTCTGTCGGCCAACATGTGCTCCATTTCCATAAGCCTGAGTATATGCAGCACCATTTTGAACTGGTTGTTGCTGGGTAGCGTATGGTGGCTGACTTGGGTATCGCACTGTCTGGGGTGTAGATTGTGGAATGCTTTGGAAGGGCTGAGTTGGAGGTCGTGTATAAGAGGTAGTGGGGGTGTTATGGTGATACTGTTGTTGTTGGCCATTCGCCTGAGCATATTGCGGTGCTGTTGGACCTGGCGTTCGGTACTGGTGTGGATATGCAGCCCCCGGATAAGCCGCCGGACGATACGACGGAGCGGATGGAGCACGCTGTGCATACGAAGCAGGAACCGGCGCAGTAGCAGGCGGACGTTGCAAATTGCTTGGTGGCGGTCTGATTGGTGTTTGAGCAGTAGTGTAGTGTTGTCCAGTGGGGGCTGGAGCTGGTCGCGAAGACGAGTATTGATTGCCATAAAGTGCAGCAGAAGAAGAGCTTCTGTGCAACGAAGAGCTGGTGGTGGGTCGTGTGTTTGAGGCTGCGCTCATTGCTGCGACCTTTGCGCGAGCTGCTATCTCGTCTTCCTCCATGACACCCTTTTGATCGCTCAATTGAACTTCAATCTTTGTACTGATGCTAAGTTCAGCCAATTGGTCGGAGTTCAACTTCGCAACGGCATATGGCGGCAACATGGCAACCATCAATGCTAGCTGGGATTTAAGTATCTCATATGTCGTCACTTCTGATTCGCTGGGCTTTGATGGAGTGCCCATGAAATTAGATTCTGATGTCCCAAACGCGCTGATAGGACGACCTGTAGCATTGAGAGAAACGTGTCGATTTCTTTGATACGAGTTGAGAGTCTCTAGCAACTCCGAAATTCCCTGCAGTACTTCCTCAACATCTTTTTCTTCTGCCGTCTTTTCCACATTTAAGTCGGTAGACATCAAACTGGGATCGATCGAAGCATCAGACAATTCTTTCGCTGCTTGCTCGAGCTCCTCAATTTCCGCATCGTTGAAAGCCAAGCTATTGGTGCTTGGCTCCGTGGGATAACCATCGCCTAGCCCCTCAGCCCTATTAATTATGTCTCCCCATCGTTTTTCACCGACTCGTTGCCACCAGATCTTGCTCAAAACACTTTCCGGAGCGATAGCTTTGGAATCATCCTTGGTCGGCGCAAATCCCGAATACGCGCTCCGAAACAAAGCATCCAACTTAGCAGCATCGATTTCGCTCGAGTCAATGGCTGCTTCGGAATCTTCATTGGAACCTGCAACTCCAGTGCGTTTCCTTTCTGGGCTGAGTGACGAGGTATTGCTATAATCAAGCCATTGTCCAGTAGTGAGTGGTTGTTTCCAATAGCTAGTACTTCGTGGATCGGCAACAAATGGTTGGTGCCATCCGTCGATTGAAGTTGGTAAAGAGCTCTTGGAAATTTTAGGCGGCTTCAAGGGATGAATGTTTGGAGGTGTTGGAAAAAGCTCCCCTAAAGTCTGCGGACGTTTCTTATTATCATCAAAGCTCGTGGGCTGTAAGGGAACAATCTGAGTTGTCGTAATACCATTGGGTAGGCCGGCTTCGCGAAGAGGCTGAGAAATCGATTCTCCGTCATACTTGATTGGAACCTGTAAACTAGAGAATAACTGTTTCGGTTGCGGGGCGTTGCCGTAGAGTGTAAGCACCACTTTGCTATCCTCCGACGTTGCAGTAACTGGCGCATTAGCATTGGACCCAAAATTTCTGTTTGATAAGTAATTGTTGGAATTGATTATTTGAATGCTATTCGCGTTTTCTTGTAGCCCCGTGGTAGCCTTTTCTCTGCGCACAAGCTCATGAGCTTTCTTTTTAAAGGCCAAAATCTTGACAGCTAGCTCCGATTGTGCAGTGGGAACAGGTATGTACTGATTCTGATTTGAGCCAACAGTCAATTGTAGCCTTTCTATGATATCGGATGCGGCAGTATCAACATCTTTGAGAACTTCATCGATAGTAAGATATTCATGTGCTGTCGCGCGTGATAGAATAGTTGGTGAATCAGTCGCGCCATCTGACTTTTGTCTTTTGGCGTGAGGTTCGGTCGACGGGGTTGATTCAGGAAGAGCTCGTGTTAAGATGGAGGGCGAGGGATCATGACTAGAAAGTTTCGGATCAGTAATAGGTCTGGAATGAATTGATATGATACTGGAAGCTATGCTACCTGATGAACAGATTGAAAGGGTGTGTTGAAAGGCAAAGCTCACCTCTTGAGTACGTCAATCAAATCTTCGACAAGACCTTGTGCATCTACCGTCGATGGTTCTTTTGTAATTGCGATTTTGGATTCGTTGCTGGTGCCATTTATAAGAGCTAGCTGATCGATGTTATCGTCGCGTTTTCGTTTCGCTGATAGTGTAATATCTAAATGCGGTTGAGTGGGGGGACTGAGAATCCCGTTGGTCGAGGCCATCACGTAGTCTCGCGGTCCAAAGATTTTTTGGGGATTCCTTTTTTTCGCGTCGCGATCGCAGATGGTATGTGTGTTACCGATGAAGGAGACGCTTTTTTTGGGTAAGGGTAAGGTAAGATTGTACGGGTAGGTAGGTAGTTGGAGACTTCTGGGGGGTAGAAAGGAAAACCAAAATTCAGCGCTGCAAAGTCATTGAAGTCTTCATTCAAAAATACTTCGTGCGTGACTTTCAATGCGCAAAATGTGGATGAAAATTAATGTAGTCGTAATATTTGTGTCGCTTTCTCTTGAAAGAAAATTTGGTTGTTAATGTTGCAAGAAAGGGTCGAAAGTGTAGGAGATGTACCGGTAAATGATGTTATTATTTCTTCGTTCCTCAATATTGGTTGCGAGGCTCTAATAGAAAGACGAGGCAGATTGGTAGACCAAAGGACCAAAGGCACGGACGTGAGACAAATTAGGCGCAGAACAGAACGAAAGTAAACTTCAGCCACGAAGGGCTAATCTGGAATTGGCATTGTGGCTGATGCTTGCTTGGTCATGTGAGTCGTTTTGATTAGTCATTCATAAAAATAAATTTCGACCTTGATATGGATTTAGCTATAGCTATCATAATTATCTATCACTTCACTTGTGAAGCAACAATTCTTGCCGTCTTCTCGTTCTTGCAAAGTTTATATACCTCTACTTCTTTGAATACATTTCCGCGCAATTGTTCCTTGTTTCGTTCAAGGAGAAACATTTTCTGTACAATACAATATCTGATATCCTAACCACATCATTTACCTTGAAATACAGTAATGCAAGTTAGATTTGCATTTTGATACTGTCTAGACAGAGATCTTGTACAGTACAACATGAACGGATGCAATCGTGCCTCCATTCTTCGAAATCTGGCAATGCCTCCTCATGGCGTCATGCCAGGATTCTGTCCATTGTGTCATTCTTTCGAGTAAGCATAAGAACATTTCTACACCACTACTCAGCAATTCAATGAATTCTAATATATCTTGCGTACAGCTCCCCACAGAAATAAGATATATTCATAGAAGCCAAAGACACTTGCTCCGGCCACTATCAACTAGACAGAACTCGACCACTTCGAATTTGGATGAGTTCAGTGAGGACAACCCTTCGCAGGATTTTTGGGATCATGTCAGAAATCGGAAGAGTCCGCAAATGAGATATCTGGATATTAAACGCTCCATTGAACGAAGTCCCACAGAGTTTCTCAAATCCAGAAACGATGAACCGTCTAATCTGGAGGGTTTTGATGAAGATAGAAGCCGCTCCAACGGACTCGCTTCTGACGTGATCAACCATTCGCCAGTCCCTTTACGGTCCACGGAAATTAGACCTCCAAGGTTGAGCAACAGGCTTAACAAAGCACGACGACTTTCGAGTCTTGAATTTCTTGGGAAGTGGCTAGATTTGCCAGATGACGATGCTCGGGAAGCACTTTGGCAGCACTATAGATCAGAGAAATCTAAATCAAAAGTGTCGGAATCAGCTTTGCCAACGATCCTGTTGCAGCATATTAGGGTATTTCTATCAACCCTCTAGCTTGACATTGCTAATTTTGAGGTAACGCAGGGCTACCCCTTGACCACAGACATGAGCCTTGCCTTGCGTAAGCGAGGCTTCAGTATAGATGATCTAGTCGTATGGACCTACATCATTCAAGGAAAAGATACAGATGAAAAGGCACAACGATTCCTTTCTTCGCCCTCAAATAAGCCAACATTTTTATTATTGGAAATTCTCCGTAGAGAAATTTTGCACGTGGAAACTTTTAGATCACTTCTAAATTATACTTGGACTCGAGTTTTCTCACCAAATCCCCAACAACGCACAGGAGACTCTTGGCCTGCACTTTCCGGGTCTTCTTTTGAGGAAGAGACAGAGGATTCAATGATATTCTCTTCACCTGACATGGAATTGACCACTTTCACACTTCTTATCTCCCGCCTCCTCCATCATGCACGGCATTTACTACCCTCTGCTGTCCTCCCCATATCCCATATGGTTCCTCCATATTTGTTCCAGAATTTACATCGTGGGTCTACAACGGAGTCGTTAGAGCCACGTGCACATAGCCGATGCTCTCATTTGCTCAATAAACTACTTCACGCCCTTTCTCGACCATCACAATTTGCTCCATTTAAATCCATGATCCATAATTGGCATGCACAAAGAGTCCTACTGCGTTTAGCAAATCAGACCAAACCGCCTTTAATCATTGACAGGGGTGGTTACCATGCTGTACAAGTTGTACTACTTGCATTACAAAAGACCGATGATGAATCAAGATTAGCTAAGCTCCAAGCGAGAAGTTGGCCTCCCTGGAGAATTGACCAAGATGGTATGGATGCCCGAAGATCGCCAGACGAAGATCTGAGTAAGGTTGTCTTTGCAATAAGGCAAATGAAGCAAGCTGGGTATAGTTCGAGTATTAGCACTCATGCTCATGGTATTCTTGGGGGACAAGAAGATGATGGGACACCAACAATCCATACCAGGTCTTTGTCCAAAGGTCGTATTAGAAAGTTGCGCTCTTTGGTAAGGTCGAGTCCTCTGCATCCCCGAGTTTGGAGTTCAAGGATCACAGCAACGCGTGATGTACAGGAAGCTTGGAGCGCATTCAAGAGTTTTCAACGTTTAGGTGGCACACCCACCTCTTCCATTTATCATGCTATGATGGAGAAAGTTGAAGCCGAATGTAGGAGGGCCGGTCGTTCTCGAATGATAGATGTTATACCTGGCGTGGGGAAAGAAGTTCTTCCACCGTCCGTCGACAACTTCAGCGATTTCTATAAAGAGGAGCTTCGACCGCCATCATCCATTGATTTCTTGTATGAAACCATGATGTCAGCTGGAGTACGGCCACAAAGTGACTGTCTAAATTTCCTTATCAGTCATGCTAGGGGAATACCTGATGGTATAAAGTATCTTTGTGAAAGTGAACAGCGACGTACTTTCTTGAAGTATATCGTTGGCCAAAACGCCGATCCACCAGCTAAAATGACATCTGCGGAAATTCGCATCATTCATGCATTCATCACCTTACTTTGCAGGTGTACGGATAAACTCACCCCACAAGCTTTGTCATACTCCGAAATATCAATGTCCAAAGATCTGAAAGGGCTTCATGAAACTTTTGCAGATGACCTCAACGATGTCAACGCAAATGAGACAATGTCACACACGCTACCTAGATCTAGAAAGTCTGGTATTAATCCGCTGGCTCACGCACTGGAGCTCATACGAACCAGCCAGACAAGATATAAGCCTACGTGGTATGCGGTCTTCAATGCACTTGCTAAACCTGGCATTACAATTGATCCTAATATAATTGGTGACCCGCAAGATGATATCAATTCCTGGAGAATCTCTGCTGCTGTACTACAGGACTTCCACGACGCGGGGCTTGAGCTTGAACCAAACGGCTTTCAGTTCATTTGTCGAGGGTTGGAAAAGGCAATGGTTGCATCGTCCCGGATGGACCAAAAGTCACCGTTCGCGGATGATGTTCTACTTGTGAAAGATGAATTCGCAAAGTTATCTTCGACAAGTTTCGATATTGGACTTCCCGCCCTTGCTCACGATTCACATAGCAAACTACACGGCGCTGTTTTACATGCCTACGTCCGTGTTCTAGGAATAGCAGAGGATTTCGAGGGCATCAAAGCTGTAGTAGAGTGGATGGTACTTCATCACGAGCGTTTAATTACTGAGGCTAAGTGGAGCCGCAATGGTCACGAGCTTTTGAAAAGAACTCTAATAGCTGCAAAAGTCTTTTGCAATGGGTCATCCTATGAAGAAGAAGCACGCATATTGGTGGAAGGCGCCGAGGGCTGGTCATGGCCAACTGATCAGGATGCTAGGACTTACGTTGAAGGGGGCCCGTCATTAGAATCTGGTGGGAGCTCTTTAGTGAGTGGTGGAAATGATGTAGAAGATGAAAAGACCTTAATTCGGGATTTCTACTGAGATATTCCATTATTTAAATCTAATTGATTGTACGTTAGTAAATCCTTAGAATTAAAAGGTTCAGGAATTGGGCTTTTTTTGATGTACAATATAGAAGTAGATAGTTTACCAGTGGGTGTGCGAGTTGACGATATACTGCGAAAATCGGCTTTGCAATGTCTCTTGAAAAATCGGCTCAAATATCTTAAACACTGTTACTATGATTCAGACAATAAATTCGTCAGAATTTTTGAAAGTTCAAAAGTGTCCCGTCAGTCCATGCACTGACCGAATTTGACAACCTTTTCACAAGTTCTTGAGTATCAAATCCTGGTTTCTTCAGTAATTGTTTTCTTAGTAAGTAGAAAGGCATCGCCGCGCCCGGAGTTCGGCATAGGAGGCGTGTTGGGTATTGGATATGATAAGATGGACACAGGGATGGACCAAGGATAGTTTTGGCACACTGGGAAGTGGTGAATGGACAATGAGGTATGCGGGTATGCAGGATAGGATGGGTTATAAATGAACGAGGTTCGATGGCTTCGAAATGGTAAGGGTTGGGTGGATAATATTGGTCAGGTGGGGAAGTAGGTAGGAAAGTGGAGGAGCTATGAGCTTGGGGTGTTGGTTGATGTTGGATTGGTAGATAAGAGGAGCTTGGAGCATGGAGCTTGGGGATTGCTTGGGTGTTGGTGGATGGGTGAAAGAGATTGGGAGTATGTGGCAGAGGAGCAGAGATCGAGCTAAAGGATTCTTTCTCGATGATGTTGATATGATTTGGAGTTTGCGATTTGGAAAACGTCTCATCATTTATTGCTCATCCATACTCTTTCTTCTTTGAATATTTCAAAATACTAAAACATATACAACGTACTAAGTATATAACATACATCAGAATGTAAAATAACCTGCTAAATACATGCCAAATCCAGCGCGGAAGGTCTTAACTGTTCTCCAATCTCATGTACAATTTTTGCTGCATCTGCATCTGCAAATTCTCTCCTTCGTCTTCATCGATCCTCATTTATCATGATATATCGTGTTTTCGCTCCCAATCTCACGAAGTAAACATTCCCAACTGTTTCTGCACATTCATCACCCTCCTCCATCTTTCCATGACCCCCAACACACTCATTACTCCCATCAACTCAAACTCGTCTCCTAGCCCGGCGCTCCCACTCTCGAGCTCTAACCACCTCATCATCCCTAACACCTTTCCCCTCTCCTTTCTCGGCCTTCTTTTCCGTTCCTTGTCAGCCCAATCTTCATTCCCAACTCCGACATACACAGCTATCGTCTCGCCCGTAGAACAGCGCATTAACTTCATTTTTACCCCGCCTTTCTTACTAGTCATTTCCTCGGGCACGGAAGCAAGACCGACATGTGGAGCGGAGGAAGATGAGGAGACTTGGCGCCATTCGAATTTCTCTTTTACGAAGGTACGAGGAAGAGTGTGGTAGAAGGCGTAGCGTTCGGCGGTAAATATTCCGCCGGTAGGAACTAGTTTTTCGGTCTTGTAACCCTGGGATCGGACGCCGAATGTGAGCGAGTCGCTGGGGGAGGTAGGAAGGTTGTAGGTTGTTGGGGGTGGAACGATGGATTTTGAGGGGTGAGAAGAGGACGAGGGGGGTGTGAGGGGAGAGAGCGGGCGCGTAGGTGGTGGGAGGGTGGTTATATCTGTTATGAGGGTGACGGTGTTGAAGCTTGCAAAAGCGAGGAGGGGTGAATTGGGTGAGGCGGTGGAATGGAGCGCTATATCCGGTTTATTGGGATTACTGGGAGGTGGTAGGGCTGGGACACTTTGTGGTGTGGATTGATGGATCGTTATGTAGAAGAGTGGTGGTGGTGAAGAGGCAGGTTTATGGCCATTGCTCACTGGTTGTGCTGACGATGGCGAAAGAAGGATATCGTATATCGAATTCCTCGTAAAGGTTAAATCTCGTGGAAATCTGATTCCAGAACTAGAAGGATTGATAGGGGTATGAGATGCAGTATTGCTCGGTGCATGCGTTGAATGAGTCGTGGTATTAAATCTCGACGTTATCGCTGATATGGGGGTTTGTGAAAAAGTAGATGAAGTGGGGGATCGAATAACTGGTTCCGGAGCATCTGAAGATTTTATAACTGCCTTCAAGGCATCTGAAGGTTCTATCACTGCTTCCGGAGCATCTGAATAGGTATAATCGAGGGGAGTTTCTATCACCTCGGGCGCATCATTGTAACTGTGATTTACGACTTCCGGTGCGTCGTGATATTGAAATTTGGGTGTGAGTTCTTCGAGCGTCTCATGATAGTAGGATACAGTAGGACTGATAGACCCTACTGATTCATAGATGGATTCGGGGGGTTCATAGCGATGATATGGAGGAGGAGTTTCGGATGTGGGGTAGAACCCCTCGTCGAAGCCTAGGACTTCTTTCCACTTAGATACCGATCTTGTCCGTCTCACAGACATTATTACATATGTGTAGACCGTCTTGATGTTGAATTCTATGGATGGATGGATATTTGCTTGCAGCTCAAATTTTTGATCGAAAACAATTGGATCGGCATGAAGTTGCGAACAAAAGAGATGTATGATGTTGTATACGAAACGGTTAAGAGCGATCGATAGATGATATTGCAGTAGATGAATGGCAAGGTAAGTGAAGTAAGGTAAATTGTAATGTCGCACAGAACAGAACTACGGTTAAATTTCCAAAGTGCATATGTCCACACTGAAACGGCACAGCGTGAGCTTTCATGCTGACCCCCCTATTGGTTATTGGTTATAGTGATATCTGCTCCCTGTAACGTGGAGAGCGAACGAGACCACGCCAACAAAGCCATCAAATGAACAAAACACGAAAAGGTAAGCATTTCTATTCAAGCATTAGGTGAAGCATGATGAACTCATATCGTAAAATCTCACATACCTAGGTAATAGCTCATACCTATATCTCCACTGTGCAAGATAGATCAACGAGAAATCTTTTTCAGAGGAATAGAACCTTGGAAAAGTCCTTCGAAAGCGCTTCCAAGATCTGCTTGTTGTCCTGCTTGCTCGCCCATCCACACACTTCTCTTGTCCAATTTCCTGTATAATCTTTTCTATTAAATGTTTCTAGATTGTTTGGGATAAAATGAATTTGTGATCGGCATTTTATCCATTATCACAGGCAAATATGCACCACGATGCAGGTAATACCAGAAATCCATGGTGTGTTGACTTCGTTTCCATTTTCCATTTGTTGGACTTGTGCAACCCTGACATCTTGAGTGCGGACATCCTTCAGAAATTGGCAAGGTTTGTGTATGTCAATATATGAGATAGGAAATAGTGTGGGAGAGATTGAGAGATTGAGGTGACACCTCCGCCCTACCCCTGCATCTTCGTACTGGGCTTCCGTACCTGACCTAGCATGTCCTACTTTCCGGCAATTTTGCTCGTGGGTTCCATAGAGCTGACAGCCTGTGCATAGAAAGAGCCAGAATGTTTGGCTGGATGTCAGAGTAGGGTAACTACATTATCCCCTGCGTCAAATGACAGCCAGCCGATGCAGAATGATTCCACCAGACCGGATCAGCGAAATGGAAAAACAAAACCCTATTGATTAAGTGGAATCAGTGGAGGTGAGAACAAGAACCCTTCAGATGAAGAGTGGGATGGGTTGAGATTTGATGATATGAGAATATTATTGAGTTTTGACATCTAAAAGCTCATTAGCTACTGTACGATACTGTGTTTTATCACATTCGCTTCTTCCGAGTGGGTAACCGATAACCGAATTGAATGATCAGACGATGCTTGGTAACTGATATGGATGATCTGGTCTGAATCATCTGATACGTCCCAACATGAACAACACTTGCCTAATAGATATTACATTGCCTTCGTTGAAATTGCCCTCAGGGGGATGAAATTATTTTGCTGAAAGGGGATTGACGTGCAGTAGATAGCAAGTACCCATTCTTTGGAATGCCAACTCAATATAAAACATATACGGAGTGTGCCTTTCTCTCTCTTGATGTATTCCTTTGCCTCGATAGTAAGAATTTCCCGAAATTTCATCTGATATACAAGGTACAAAAAGGTACCATCCGTGAAGGACTTAAGGCAATCAGGGGTAATGCGCCATCGGCCCCGTTCGGGCGCTTCGAAGTCACTGGGCCTCAAGCCGATCTTTTTCCTCGTCAACCCATAGCATTATACTCGTACATGTCCTTCGTAATCGTTCAACTTTTTGTTTTTTGAGTTGCATGTCCTCCCGCGTTCAGATCCTATTCGGAAGGCTCGGCAGACATATAATTCACTCCTATCCCTCGGATTGATAATTTCTTGATGGTTTTCCCAAATTGCACTTCGAACTTAAACTCGTTGTCCAACTCTTAAGCTTCCATCCCTGACTCCCGGAGCAACATTGGAGCTCGGGCATCCAAACTATCTAAGGAGTGCAACTACCACGACCCGGTCCAAGTAATCTTAATGGCTCTCCAACGCACACCGTTTATCTCGTACAATAACTTCCCCAACATTTCCCCGAGACCATCGATAACACAACAAATCGGTGCCTGTGTCCGGTATGGCCAATAGGAACTAAAATGTGGGGACGGACAACAACTTCTTCAAAGGAGGTCGAAAAGTTTTCTGATATGTTCATTTTGACATAAAATATACTACTGTATATTCATCCGTCTAGGCATCACAAATTGTAATTGACAGTATCTCAAAGTTTTCACGACGTGACCTAAGCGGCAAAAGATCGACCATACATCGAAGATGCATTGATGGCTGGAAAAGTTGTGCGTTGTGGATTTTCTTTGCATTAAAACGTGGCCACCATCTGAGGGTGGCTTAATATTTCCCGCCCTTTTGCTTATGCGGCATCAGCAACTTGCCAGACGCCGAACAGGAAGTGTGATTTATTGACTTCACATCTTTTCCATGTATTTCAAGAATGACGCTTTGTCGATCGGGCGAACATACACTCTGGTTTCAAATAAGCAGTTATCCAGGCATCGGAAGTCCGGTTGTTCCTGGACATCTCTTGATACAACGGGAAGCAGTGTTTCTTGGAGCTCCTGTGCCATCGGCATATGCTCATACTTTGCGACAAGGCAAGCTCGCAAACATGCACTATTAAGGAAACCAGCATCATGCTAGATTTTTTGATTCGCCAATGATCGACAAATTTGCATGCACATCAACCATCTCTCAAGTCCTTGGGTCTGGGGTTTTTTGCCTTAGAAATCTGTTTCAGGATTTTCAAGCTCTTCAGAGTATGCTTGAATTTCCACTTTAAGATACCCAGTTTATGGCCTCTTTAAGGTAACGCAGAGTTGCATTCTCTGACGTCAGTACCTCCTTCCCGCCATGAATCAAAAAAACGCAATACCGTGTACCTAGGTAGGTAAAGGACGATTGGGTTCCGGCAACGCGGTTTTTGAATGTCGCTTATCTGCAGCTTGTCAGGCGCCATTGAATCGTATTGCTTACAACAAAAACTAGACCACATGATGCTGTCGTTCATGTTGTTGCAGAAATACTGATTTTTGATTGGTGAAGAGCTTCGGAAATACAGTATTGTTAGCCAACAATACATATCAGGCAGTCTTGATAGTGCTTTTGGCCAACACGGTTATTGGAGACGCGAGTGGGATATCCATGTGAGCTATGACCGGTTGTCTTGTCATCAAGAAAACGGCAGCCGGCGGTCATTATGGATCACACAGCGTGAAAAGGTATTCCTAAACATGAAGGCAATCAAATGACGCGGCAGTTAGAGTTAGGAGATACTTGACAACAGAAGCAAAAAGTCATGATCTAAGTATGATTATCTGGGCTGGGCTATCGCATTTACAGTCTCGATTTTCGGGTAGAAATAATGCTCAAGACTAGGTACATCTTGCCGCTTTGTCGACGCGACATTTCTTCAATTCACTGCCGTCTCTCACCCAAAAACCAGAAGTCTTGACATATCCTGCCTCCATGCCCCTTCAAAAAAAAAATAACCAAAACAAACAAAACAGACAGCAAAAAATATTCAACTAGCAAAACCTTGCCGTCCCATGAGAGGGACGGGAGGAGAAACCCCGCGACGGAATTTTTTTCCGATTCGAACCAGGCGTATTACCACTCCACCACCAGACCGCATTTGACCTGAACAAACAGGACTGTTTGTCGCCTTTGCGATCTGGATGAGGGAATTTGCTTAAGTGGGTTTATATAGTAGAGTTGGTGTATGTGTGCAGGAATGGTAGATATTTAGGTGGTGGACGCATGAATATTTTTGTATACCGCAACATATCTATGTATATGATCCGCGCAATTGATGTGGTAGCAGAAAGACGCTAATGGGCAATGGAAGTCACTGGCTCTTTGTAATTCCTATATTAATTGCACAGTGCCGACGTCTTGTCTGTACTGTTGAGACTTTCCTATCAAACATATAGGCACGCACCACAAGTCAAATTTGACACAACAGCGCTATCATTATACTAGAGATACAGTGCCTTCGAGGTGTGATTGTAGCTGGCTACATGAATATAAAGAAGGTCAAGAATGACATATGAAGCATATTAGCTTCCGGGTATCTATCACTCATTAGACTTCAGACTTTGTCCGTACTCAATTCCCAGTTCAGCTATAAATATAATATGCATGTATAGAAACACCGCCTAAAACTTGCCTAAAAGATTGTAATTCATAACATACTGCACTCTCTGCATTCGCCGTTTGTGATCTTGACCCGGCTGGAGCACTCGTGCTATCTCCAATATCGGTTCTACCATAAGTGAAATCTATGAAGGTAATTCTTGTAGACGCCTGTTGATTAAGAATGGAGTACGGAATCCATTTACTATGATATTCTGGAGGACTTTTACTCAATTTGAGTACCTACCTGGTTGAAGTAAAGAAATGGCTGAATGATAATTGATGGAGACACACAGCATAAAGGAAGCTTTTTCCCAAAGAGACATCGCGATAATCACAGCTTAGATCACCGAGACGGAGCCCGTGGGAAGATGCTCGATATCACAAAAGTCTTGGGTGATATTGTGAAGGTTATTACTTCAGCTTCGATGCTTCCAAATTCCCCTCTCGATGTAGTTGATACCGTAACAACGTGCTTCATGTGAATGTGGTTGTGATGCGGACGCGAAGCCGATGATTGCCCGGAAGCTCTGACTAGTGATGTTGAAGTGTCGCACTCAGCCTCAACATTCAACTAGATAGACATAAGCAGGAGCTTGGAGTATCGTCATTCCTGCAAATTAGTCAACTGTATCTCTTTCCCCAATTGTTATCATTGGTTGAAATACGCCAGAGAACCAGCTGAGGATAAGACAACAAACCCTCGTCGGGTAGCCCTATTCGGTGGAGAAAAAACAGACCGCATTTGTCCATTAGCTAAAATACTCTAGAAAATCAATCGCAAATGAAATAATTAATTTTGATACTATCAAATAAAACACCAAACTATATTTACCCAGGAACACATTCTCAATATAATTTCATTTATAGAAGGAATGGCTACATTGTTGACAGGCTTCGCTGATGATCGATTGTCATCTGTCCTCCGGCTAAGCCCCTTCACCGATATCTAGGTATTGATGATGTAGAGCGCCGAGGAGCAAGGCTACAATAACGGTGCCGAGTTCCTCAGCTTCTGGTCTAAGTATACCCACCTTGCCCCAGTTCTGCTCAGGGGAAACTCTGCTATGGGCCAAGCCACAGAGTCAACTTGTTTCGGGGTCGGGTGATTCATAATAAGGCTGGCTGTTGAAAAAAGGAATCAAATGTTTGCGTCACATTCCTTCATCAACTGAAACAAAAACAAATGCCTCGATATACCACTTCATGAACTTCTAGCATTATTCGCGTTGCTTTCTTCTGCGTGTCGGTCTGCTTCTTCATCTTCATGTTTATTCTGTCTGTCTTTTCCTAAGCAAATTCATCAATTATGGCCGTCAAATTCTATCCGTCGCAAATCGGATCCAACCTCGTTACCCCTTTGTCCTACACTGCATCTCCTGCCAAATTATTTCTTCAAGATTTATGGGTCGTGTTTGTGAATCTTAGATTTGTTCCTGGTATTTTTCTACCTCTGACTCCCACACCTTCTGGTGTTCTGGACGAATTACACCCTTCTGCAGGAAACCTATTCGATCTTGCACTGCATGCTGTTCTGTTCTTTCTGCAATTATGTTTTATCCTTTCTATTCCTATCTGGATGATGATGCCCGTGTGGATAGTAGCCACGGGATTCACCATATTTTGGGTGTTCAATTATTACCTTTGTTTAATTTTGAATGGGTCAGCATCTGTGACAACGTGTGAATCAGCTCCCGAGTATGCTCAAAGAAAGGAAGAGCATGCTCATGAGCGATGGGTGTACATGAATGGTGTTTGCACTGGGTGATTCTCCCGAGTAAACCATTTGCTGTCGTAGACTAATAGATGAATAGTCACCATTGGCTGAAAGGTTCTGTAGATCGTCTTGCTCTCACATTCGGCCGTCCGGTTCTAGGAATTCACAACAGAACGTAAGTTCCCTTTGATTCTATTCTCGTTTTTCATTCATTAACAAAGTGCAGCAAGGGACTCGTCTTTGACCTCTTTGAATGTCTAATTCAGCGCACTCTCAACTACGCCACTACTGACGTTCGTACCTCCTACCGCATTCTTAAAGGAACATTATACGAGCCCGAGGTCACACGAGTAATATTTATTCTACACTCGCAAGGTTCCATTGAGGGCAGCATGATTGTAGACTGGCTGCTCGCCGAGATTCCTCAAGATCTTCTCCAAAAGCTTGAAGTTTACACCTTCGGAAACGCCGCTAACCATTTCAATAACCCGCATCTACAAATAGCATCTCAGAATAACGCCCTGGCCCACCCGTCATTACGGGCAACTTCTCTCACTAGAACAGTTACCACCCTGTTCACAAACTCAAACAATCCAGTAAAACTCCCAGCTAGCGGAAATGGAAATGGTAAAGCCATCCCACACATCGAACACTATGCACACACATATGATTTTGTCTCTCGATTCGGAGTTCTTCACTACCACACAAATTATAGTAACGATACATTTGCTCCACGATTTATGGGAAGACTATTTGAAGTAGAAACTGTGAGTATAACTAAAGAGATATTTTGACCCATCTATTAATGACCCAATGTTTAGAGCGGTCACATGTTTGTCCAGCACTATCTAGACACCATGTTTCCACTTTCCAAATCCGCGCGAAGGCTATTGCAAGGCTCCGGAATCAAAGACGACATGAAGGCTGCAGGCGTAAACTGGGATCGAGAGCGTGTAGATGAAGAAGACGTATTTATGAGCAGCTCGGTCGAAGGCAGAGGTCGCGTGGCGCCGGAAGACAAACTCGGAAGAGAAGATTGGGAAGTTTCCTGTGTGGGGGAATCGAACGCCGATGATGGCATTGCGCCACAGATGAGTGCAAAAAGTGGAAAACCGAATGGGTCAAAGAAGAAGAAGGGGATGAACTTGCCGGGGGAGGGAATAATGGCGACCAATGGAGATTTTGGGGCGAGCGGATATAAGGTCAAGAACTTGAGCAGATTATGGTTGTATCGCGACGGTAGAAGCCCTATGAATTAAGATGGGTTACAGTGGTGATTTATCTGGTTCATCGAAAGGGCAACTTGAGTATGGTGTTTGGTGATGTGTCTGTGAAAGGCTTTTGGTTCCTTTTAAAATTTATCCTTAAAGGGGGTATATTCAGTATGATGATGTATTGACATGCCAGTGAGTTTGGCGAATTTAGGGCTGGCGCTATGGGATTTAGAATTACATTTGGGTACCAATTTCTTTTACTTTGCATGAATGTGTAGATCAGAACAATCGCCAAAGGTATGAAGGAGTAGCTATCCCGTAAGTATAGGTATTATTATATTCTGAATTTCGTACTCCGTTATACCTCGCTCCCAACCATGCATTCATCACTCCATACAATACCGCCTAAGTCCACGCAAATACGCATTAAGCATAAGCACCATCGCCCTTGTCTTTACATACAGGACAACCGCCTCTAATTCTATCCTTTAATAACCTCGCCCTCGTGACTTTAGTCCCAATACTGTGCACATTCGTGTATCTGCGCTCATCCTCCCCATCATCAAATCCATCATAAGTAGGATGTCTTTCTGCATCTGCGGATTGGCGGATCTGATCTTCACTTTTGCCGTAATTCAATAAATGTGATAAGTGCCACACATGACCGCATGCAAAACCAACCAGCGTCTCCATCTCGCCTTCATAAAAGGCGCTTTTGCAGCTTATACAATGTGCAGGCTTGTGCTTGTATAATCGCCTTGTGGGAGGTTGTTGGGTTTCGTTATCCACCTCGAATTCTTGTTCAGCGACATCGAATTTGACACCACGACGTTGACCTGCTCGAAGGGTATTCTGGGCCATTGCAACTTCACCTCTCAACACTCTTGCTACTCCTTGACTGATACTTTCTTGAATTTCGTATTCCTTAATCATTCTACTTAGACCTTCTCTCAAGCCTTCAATTTCCAGACCTTCAGGAATTTTGCGAACTAATCGGATTGGATCAATCGCCGTCCCAACTTCTTCTAACAACCCGCGAATGAATCTGGGTTTATCCATAGAGTATTCGAGAAGATCATCCCAAAGGTCGGCGTCATTTTGAGATTTTGCAAATGATATTGCTTGTGAGACATCTGCTAGACGATCAATAATGAGATAGAGCGCACGTTTTGTTTGACCGGTCTTGGAGTAGAGATACACGAGCTCTGGGATGTATGAGTGATTTTCGCATTCAAGTGTTGCCTAGTAAAAAGTCAGTTTGCATCGAGGACAAATTGAGGTCACACAAACCTTTTCGAAACTATAGAAGGTGGAAGACTTGAGGAACTCCATAAGTAGATCACGATCATATGTCGCGAAGAGTTGTAAAGCTAGATCAGCCAGGCCATCGACAAGCGATCTACTTTCTGCTAATAATCGATCACGATTCTCGCCTGGGATTTCGTCTATGCCGTCTCCTTTCCAGAGCGAGCTGACGTAGAAGAAGAGGTACAGCGGCATTTCTTCCAACTGATCCACAACGATCTGAGGTCGAACAAGGCCGTGATGAGCCTCGTCAACAAGTAATTGAATAGCCTCGGAAGTGGCTTCTTTCAATTCTGAAATAGGAGCATGTCGCTTCTGCTCTTTCGAAACGCGTAGCATGATAAGACTAGGTAGATCGTCTGCGACTGCGTCCACCAAATGATATTGTTTAATAAGACCCATGGCGGTATCTGCATCCTGCAGCTTCATGTAGCATTTCAAAGCCTCGCGAGGTCGACCATCAGCCACATAAAGCTTCCCTAAGCTTTCCATGACAATTCGCCAATCCCTACCAATTTTGCCATCCTCTACGCTGTCTTGGCGGACATCTCGGTATTTGAGCTGGTTTTCTAGAGCTGTGGCTACAGCTTTGATATCGAACAAGTCAGGAGACCATTGATCGAGCAATTCACCAACTCGTGGTAAATTATGGGTGATATAATGCCCTAGTACGATTTCGTATATTGTGGAAGGCAGAGGTGGCGTGATCTGTGCCGTCGGTATAAAGTTGGTAATTTCATCGAATTTATCCTTTCCAGCAAATGTCCAGACCCAATGTTCCCACCTATCCGATGTACCCAGTACTTTGCCACATATCCTGCCTGCAGAGATCCAGTCATCGTTCTCAATCAATGATTGAATCCAAAGTTCACCAATCCTACGCTTCTCTTTTTCCACAGATGAGTTAATTAAGCGACTTGCAGACTCGATGGTCGTACTTTCGTTATCATAAAAATCATCACTACTTGAGCGTGTTCGATCCGGAGTTGCTGGCCCAATTTCAGAGAGTTTCTCGGGAGAAGATGAGATCACTTCGGGGTGTTCATCTATCAGTTCCCAGGCTTCTTGGTGCTTTTCGTGCTCTAGCAGCCATGCAAGATGGTCAGATAAATCTCGCTTTGTAGCCAGAATGCAGTCATATGGACTTTGGATGAAGATCTTCATCCCTGGTGTGATGATGTGCGGATGAGCAGCCGTGGCGCGATTGTGGTGAGTAGCTTTCGATCTAATTGATGTGTGTTTCGAATCACCATCACCTGTACTTCCATTGCTAATCACACTTGCACTGGAACTTAACAGTGCTGTAGCGTTAATTGTAGCATTCCACATACCACTACCCATTCCAGTAAGGGCTTCCAGAGTTCCACGAGATGATTGAACTACTGGTTGATCTCGAGCGGCAGGCAACACGCATAAGTGATAATCACCAGCTGAGAGCCTTTCATAACGGCTGACCGTCAATCCATCAGTATCAACTTCTTGGGATGTTGCAAGATCAATAAGACGAAGTTCTGGAGATAGTGCGTTTTGTCGACGCCGTATTCCACCGCTCGGCTCGCTACCTGTTGACGGATGCGATTTATGTCCTTTCGGTGTAATAGATTCATCTTCTTCTTCATCATCAGGCATAACATAAGCAAGTACAACAAGTAAAGTTGGGGTATATAACGATAATCCAGAAATTATGCAATCCATCCGTAACCTAATAATGTTAGAAAAGTGCTTGAAACACCGTGATAATAAATTCAAATCTTGCAACTCACATTTTGATGATCTCAGCGCTACCAACTGTGCGCTCTCCCACATTCTTTCCAACACCGGTTCCACCAGGGTGCACATTAATCATCCAGATTGTACCGCCCCATCCAACGACCAGCTTTTCAATACGCAGTTTGTCTCTCGAGGCTTGCAATCTCAGTTTTGCTGTGGCTGGGGAAGCAGATGATGCTTCGCGAGCTTTGTCATCTTCATCAGTTTCAAGAGTTTTCTCGTCTATCCATTCAACTCTAGCTTTCCAAACACTAGCCATATCTTCCCATTGCTCTCCATCTGGACGAGGTATGTGCCCAATTCGCTTCCAAGCAGATTCAGTATCCGCACTATCCAGTTGTAGATGAGATCTCATAATCTTAATACCATGCTCATTGCTCCATGCCACATATCTTCCTGATAAGGACCATTTGATGGTATTAATTGTGCCTTCGCCGGAGTGTAATACAGTATCCTTCCCAGCATGCGTTCCTAGACCAATAGTCCCCAGCCAGCCACTTGCAGTGGCCGCTGCACTTCCTGTAGTGGTAGAGGTCGAGCTTGTACCTGCTTTGCCGCCGACAGTAAGCACTAGATTTCCTGCCAGTCCACCCGATATATATGAGCGATCGTTTTTGTAATCCGGCGACAAACTAACAGCTTGGACAGGTCTTGCAAAATCCCTCAACTGTACATCTTTTACATCAACCAAGGATGCTATGCATACCTTGCCATCAACGGAAGATGTGCCAATGTATATTGCGTTCGAAGGAGTTTTGGGGACTACCGGACCTCCAGGACTCCGGGCTGTGTTCGCGGAGGCCTGGGATGCCATTGATGGGGCTCTTTGCGGTGCATTTGGAGCTTCTGGTTGCACGCGCGACGTAAAGCGTTGTACAGCTTCGGGAACTGGTGTGGGTAAAGGAGGGGGGAAAGGGGATATAGATATGCTCGTAATTGAAGCTGAATGGGCATGGTAGGTTCGAATAGACTTGAATGAAGGCAACGACAATACATGCTGCATAAACTGTTAGCAGATTACTTGGGGGAAGGGTGGGACCGTAGCATACAATATTACCATTATGTGTACCAACAAACTAAGAAACAGTTAGCTTGAGAAATACAGTCACCTGGTGGTGGAGGTCTACCATTTTGTCGCCAGCAACCAGGAAGGTACTTGTAGCATCTCCATTTCTATAGACTGGTCCAAGATGGCTTGTCATTCGAGCATATTTCAGCTTGGGCTCTTCCTCCTCTTCATCCTCCTCTTCGTCCTCCTCTTCCCCATCCTCCGACTCTGTCTCAACGGTGTCATCATCGTCCCCGGTTTCAGTTCCACCTTGACTGGACTCAACCCTGTCCAGGTTTTTGGTGTCGCTTTGTTCTTCTGACCCTTCAGCCATAACGGCAGACTCTCCCGATCACATTTGCTTTTGTTGTCAAGGATGTGCAGGGGTAGCTACACCGACGACGTCAATGCCATTGAGGTTTGGAGCAACCTGAGATAGCCGAGTTCTAGGCTTTCGGCAGTAAATTTAATTTTCAATGATCCTAAGAAATTGTTTCGAACCCCCGCAAAGATGGACAATTTTCTATATGATTTATGTTGTATGACTGATAAGGTCTGCAATCATCATGATGTCTTTTTCTCGTTCATTTTGCTCTGTCGCAGTTAAACGGCCCATTGGTGGAAATAATTTACAACTTCCTTATCGATGCCTCCATGCTTCAGCACCGACACTATACCCTAGAAAACGGAACTTCTTTTCTTCCAATGCTACCCTCCAACAAGATGTCGCATCATCAAGTATTGAATCAGCAGCCGAGCTGAAGCCGGTTGCAGAAAGGAAACCTTTACGGTCGCCTGCTGGGAAGACGAGTTTGAGGAGGGTTGCAGTTGAAGCTCAAAGATCCAGGCAGAACATAACTCGACCTGAAGTCACCTCTGAAAATGTTGAAGGCACAAATAGAGTTATAGCTATCTCCGTGGCAGATCATTTTGATATGGAAGCTGTAGCTCGAGTTCTACGATCGCATGGTTTTTCAATTGACCCGGATGGAACTGGCTTTGAATCCGATGAGGTTATACACACACGAGGGGTCAATAATGGAGATATATTTGTGTTCCCTTCGGGTTCACTTGTAGCATGGTCTTTGCCTGAGGATGTAGTTACGGATCTGGCAACAAAGACCCTATTGCCGGCTGCTATTGATTCACATGTTGGCAACGTTGAGATAGAAGATCTGGAATGCGAGGAAGACCCCAAACGGGAAAACAGCAGTATCAGAGGAGACACCATTGTGTTAGGGACGAAGGACTCACCAAGCGAGGGACGTATAAGGTATGCTATACACAGTCGTATTCGCGTCATCAATATTGTACACTAACTATTGCTGCAGCTCACAAGTCGACACAACTCTTGCGAAAATAGCCTTTTCCTCTGGTCTTGCTAGATCAACAAAACTCGCGGTCCTCGAGACTATGCTATCCAAGTACTTCGAATCTACTAAATCTATACCTACATTACTTTCCCGAGGGTCAAGACTACCCTTCAATCGGCAATTTATGTTACAAAAGACTGGAGAGCTACTCGATTTACGAGCGCGGTTGAACCACTATTCCGAGCTTACAGATTCACTTCCGGATCTGTTCTGGGACAGTCGGCATGAATTGGGCCTGGAAGGATATTATGATCAGGTTGGGAGGGCTCTTGATGTTGGTGTACGGATCAAGACTCTGAACCAGAAGATGGATTATGCCCAGGAAATCGCAACGATTCTTCGGGAGACGATGAGCGAAAAACATAGTATTCATTTAGAGTGGATCATTATCGTTCTCATTGCTGTGGAGGTAGGATTTGAGCTTCGGAGATTATGGAAGGAGCGAAGTGAACGATTAGAAAAGGAAATGGAAAAAGAGAAAGGGACATGACATTGCTAGACCGTTGACTTGTTTCGTTTTTCTCAAGATACCCCACTTCACATTCGATACCAGAAACTCAAGATTTGTTCCATCAATTTCGGCTGCCAAATGATACAGAATTCTATCCTGCGTACTCCAATTAACCCAGATGCAGACTACCTTTGACGCAAACCAGAAAATGTTTCCATGGGTCCAGCGTGCGTACGAATGCAAATATCCCACTTGCAACCGAGGGGCTTGAACTAGTGTTATACATTGTGAAGGGTTCTTGATTGGCTATCTTCAATGCCACCACCTTCAATAGCGCCAGCAAGTCAGCACCCAGGCACCAATGAGGCTGGACACCAGAACTTACTTTCATGCAAATTAATTCATATACATCCTATCCCAAGTGTCAGATATATGAGAACAACTGCTCGAGTTTTAAAACATACAATCTCCAGTTGCCCATATTTTACTTCTGAATCGTAAGAGGTATGAACCCGGCAGTTATGAATAATCGGAGGAGAGACAGAACCAAAGAAACAGTGCTGGTTCATAACACGGGACATGCTGCATATAGTTTAGACATCTCCAGACATGGAAATGGTCATATGTTAAAAACGTATGAGAGACGATGCCAAGGTCAGAAACGGCAGAGGGTGCTAGTTGAGGTGGTTCATAATCCAGCTATATCAGGTGTTACGACAAGTCTTCAGATCTCATTAAATTGTATAACCGGTTACTTCAAACAATGGCGTCAACTAAACAGTCGTACAGTGCCGACGATGCAAATATCCGAACACGCGGGAATACCAACTGTATCCACAAGGAGGACATCAAATCGGTCAAGTTTTAATTTGAGGAGTGTTTTAAATACTTCTTTGGACCCGCATTCTGCAGCGCTTCCCTTGAAACCTACTGCCGAATTTTATCAACCTCTGGACCGATCCTCCGACTAGATTAGGCTTCTAGAAAGAGTAACCATCTGCCCCGAATCAACGAGTTGTCACAACCTTCCAACCTTCAAGCTCGTCGTGAAGTCGCTCAGTGCTCATCCAGAATATTCTGCGTTATCCTACGCGTGGGGAGAGGATCTGTCCTTAAGCTGCATATTTATTGACGGCATACGAGTGGAAGTGCGGGCCAATCTAGTAAATGCCTTGTTGCATATTCGCCCAATCACTTCCTTTCTGTGGATTGACGCTTTATGCATCAATCAAGATGATGTAAATGAGCGAAACCACCAGGTCATGCAAATGGGCAGTATTTATAAGCAGGCAACAGAAGTTATAGTGTGGTTAGGTGATAAGACTGACCAAGGGTTTGGGAAAGATGTGGAGACTTTGATACCTGATGTTGGACTTCTTTCAATCAAAAATTTAGCTGCATTGCAGAAAGATCCAGCTAGCAAACCTTCCAAAACAGATATTGCCGATGGGATTGATGAGTTTCTTCTAGGGGCAGAACTTATATCTCTTGGCGAATTGTGCGGCAGACCATATTGGAATCGTTTATGGATTGTGCAGGAAGTCCTTCTTGCTAAGGACCTGGCTATTTGCTGGAGCAATGAACATAGTCCAGGACTGAGAACTGTGGCCTGGGCGGAATGGAGTCGAGCTAGACATACTTCGGAGAGTCTGAGATCTTCACTTACCTCGAGCTGGGACAGCAAGCTTAAGATAAAATTTATCGAAGCTATCTTAGAGAGTGCACCCGCAAATTTTGACAGACTCAGAGAGAATGGCACTCAAAGATGGCCTTTCGATTCATTGCTAAAAATGTTTTCGAGTTCCGAATGCCAAGTCCAAGCCGATAAAATATATGGTCTTCTAGGAATAGTCAGTGACGCGGAACTCTGCAATTTTCCTGTAGATTATGCTCGACCTTTGTTTGATGCATATGTTGAGATTCTTAACTGCTATAATCAAAGGCGATCAACAGGGTCATCAGCTCTCGGCATCATAAGACTGAGTCAGAGTCTACAACTTGCATTGAATGGTCCTATCCCACCGCCTGCAATGGCCTTGAACTGGTGTGATGGAGAACAAATAGACCAGACAAAATTGTTCAATTATCGTGGTTATATGGAAGGCTTTGTTGTCGCGTCTAACATTGCGAAGCATGACCTCCCCCAAAGATTGAAAATGGAATTTCCGGATATTAAAAGCTCATGGAAGATTGTCTCGAGCAAAATTAGAGACTTGGATTCCTGTAGTAAGAAAAGCTTGAAGGGTTTCGACAGTGAATTTGGTTACGCTACGGGAGAAAGTCTACTGTGTTATGATGTTGGAAAGTCTGTGACCGAAGAAACCTCGGTCAGATCTGGCAGAGTTCACGAAACAGGATTTTTTATATCTAGCACAGGAGAGTTTGGCATTGCTTCTGCTGAAGTCCGGGAGAATGATTTCATCTGTCGTTTGAAAGACACTGATATCACGCTGATCATTCGTCAAAGGCGCGACCATTACCCACTCGTCAGTAGAGCGGTCATGACCTCTTATGCAGACACTATTTTGAAATATGGAGGAAACGCAAAAGATATAGAGGACGATGCCCTCTGCCTCTGGCTTGATGCATTGACACTGCAGGCACTGACGTGCCCAATTGAGTCAAAGGAGGGGGTTCCATACTGGGAATGCCTCACAATGAAAGATGCGATTTCCAGACTTGGGGTATTTGATACGTCGAATATGGACCATTCCCTGCGCCCGGAAGTTAAATCTAATGAGACGTCACATATGGCTGATTCCCTGCGTCCTAGAGTTAAATCCAATGTTACTTCGATAATTAATTCTAAGAATCGGACGGTAGTGATTAATCATTTTAGATAAAATTAGTAAACTATCTCAAATCAATACGACATAGGCAACAGTTGACGTTAGCCATGGTTTGGGTGAAGGTGAAGAGCCGTTTATTACCATTCTTTTCACGGCGCGTTCTTTTAACCGCTACCTGCTATGTTCCAGAGTGATCATGAACTACATTTCTCTTGATTCTGCAGCACTTACGTATGGTTATTGGACGTATTGTGGTATGTCGACGAGGAATCCAGTACCTGATTGCAAAGAGGAAAGCATTTCCTACTGTAAACTTTTCACACAGGGAACAAAACATCATATGACGACCAAGATATTACTTTATTTAAATTTAAATCTAATCTCATAAATAATTACATATAAATCTCCAATCTAATCCAATTCAATCTCCTCATCTACCATCCCCTTCAAGTACTACTCCTTATCTCCTGTATTTTCGAAGATCACAATCTACAATTCGATCTCCTTCAATCCCTTCTCGCTCAAAAGTCCGTTGGCGGTGGTCAAGATACCACCGACAGCAGTGTTAATCTCTTGGATCACACCAGCATCACCTTGGACAAGGCCAGCAAAGCTGAGAATTGGAGTGAGGACTGGGCTGAGAAGGCTGTAGACTTCCAGTACTTCAGCAGTGACGAGTTCGAAGGTTGCTATAGAGAGTTAGTTTTATATTTCATGGGACGGTCTATGAGAAGACAGGAAGGGAAAGAAGCAAAAGGGAATACATACAGTCCAAAAGACTACCGAGAAGGTCTGAAAGTACTTGAACGATTTGGAAAACAATGGCCTCGACATCGGACAAGATAGCGAGAACATCAGTGACCTCAGTGACGATAACGTCAAGCACAGTTGGTAGGATCTGGGCGAGAACACCATCAACGGCGCCAGTAAGCACAGCAACAATATCACCCAAATCCTTGATGATTTCCTCGGCAAGACCTTGTTGACCGGCTGCAGTGGTACCAACAGAGGTGATGAGAGTTTTGATGGAAGAAACATCAGAAACGACGGTGGTTCTGACTGATTTGATGGAGATAACAACGTCGGTGACTCGAAGGATGTTACGCTTGATAGCAACGTCGACAAGAATATCAGCTACGGGCGAGACGATAGGTGAGGCGACACTAGTGATACCGGTGAGTCCTCCAACTTGTCTCTTGGCTCCAACCTTTGAGACGACACCCTCGATAGCTGAGAAAGGCGAGGCGAGGTTTTGCGCATCTCTTGGAATTGGAAGAGCGGAGACTGGGTTAGAGGGGAGCTCGGAGAGGACGGAGGCAGCGGATGGAAGCTTTGGGATGGAAGCTTGGGGTGCGGCAAAGGAGGTTGCGCTGAGGCCGAGAACGGCAATGAGGCTGGCTTTGTATTGCATTTTGAGGGAATGAGATTGGAGATTGGAGAATTAGAGAATTATAAAAAAAAATTATGGATTTGTTTTTGTAAAGAACGTGGGGTTTTTAAGGAAAGTGTAGTAGTTGGATGAATGAGTGATAGTGAGAATGAGATGAGAAAGTGAATGATGGAGTATATATACAGGAATCCATATATACTTCACATCGTAATCAGAATTTGAATGCGCACGACGATCACATCAATGCTTGAAAGGGGAAGCAGACAGGAGCTATTGAACCCCAGGAGATTTTGATGGCTGTACAGTGGATGTTCAAAGACTCGGCATTTGGGACATCTTCTCATCTACGAAACAAGACGTCCCACCTTTGTGGTCACTGATCGCCCAGGCTTTTGTTTCCCCGAAAGTAACTGCTCTTCCTTCCAGCAAATCTAAACATGGAAACTACCCAAGCAAGACAGCTTTGATGCACATACAGATCCACTCTGTATTTCGATATGCTCGCAGCACGAGTAAAACAGTAGGAAAATAATCATACGGCCTCCACAGAAGACACGAAGAACAGCAACCAAAAGAGACGAGATAGTGAAGATCGTTATGGAGCACGAATTAACCATGCAGAGATTTTCCAATGACGGTGAATATTATTGGGCTAAGAAAGAAACCTCCTAATCCGGAATTCCAGTGTCTACTTCGTATATCAAAATTCCAAAGCATAAAATGAGGAGCATTGTGGTTAGAAAAACCAAGGTACCAAACTTTGACTTTCTGATCATTAATCATTGCATATCATATCATCTCAATATCATAATTATGATTCAACAAGATGATAAATTTGTCAAGGTAAAAAAACCGCATACATTTGCTAGTGCCATGAATACACAAATCAAAACCAGGCGGTATATACATCATTGTCGTGCGCCCCCAAAACCACTGTACAAGCTAGGCACACATGATATGATGATTTTAGCATGCCCGTTATTTTCGTCAACAATGTGGGGATAAGGCTATTTAGGAGGAAACAATATACGGAGTAAAAGCATAATTTCCAACGGCGGAGACTACGATGCTCAATATACCGAATGGGTAATGTGTCAGTGCACACGCAGTAGATCATCAACTCTTCTCGTACAGATCGACGCTGTCAATAATCTCATTTTAGACCCTGGACAGTATAGGGGCAGATACCTCAATTGCCGGGACTTCTCGTTATGGTTATCAACTACTCTGTGTATACGAGTACCTGTTTCCTATGCAGTGGTGAGCGCTTGGTCTCTAGAGACGATTAGCTATTGAAATGCTCGGACTCCGTATTAGTACCGGTAGTTGCGTGCGGTAATTCGAGATGTCTCCGCGCGGCGATGCAGAGGTGTAGAGTTTGTGGGTGGATGGCCACAACCTATTGTGTCAACAATAATCAATTCGAACAACATTTGAACCACAAACTACGATGGTAATACGAGTACATAGTGGCAGGATTTACCATCAAAAAGATAGCAGTAAAAATACCAGGAAGGAAGAGACGAGTTGAAAACTAAACCCTAGTAAAGATAAACAAGGTACTTGCCCAATCAGACCTTAGCGTCAAACTAGTTCGAAGCAAGAACGTCCAAATGGGGTCCCTTGAATATCACCCCTGTGAGTAGCGAGTGTCAAAATTTTGCAAAGACAGATGGGTTGGTAAGCAATGAATGAATTCTAATAACTATCTACAGCATCTAACAACCCGCCAATGCAATTCTAAACACGCCATAGAAGAATAACTATCTACATCTAGTACCCCTTAAATGAAAGCAGCTCCAATCCGTAAAAAAAAGGCAACAACAATAACAATACCAATAGCAAAAAAAGACACCACCTGCACCCGCACCACTACTCCGTAAGTAATTGCAAGAAAGAAGAATGAAAAACCCACGACAATACAAAAATCAAACCTTAACCTCCACTCAATCAACCACTATCTATCTATAGCTGGTTCCCGCCGCATCCTGCTCAATGATAACCGCCGCCGCCTTCTCACTAACCATATAAATCGGCACCGCGATATAGAAACCCGGAATCTTAGGGAAAACACTCGCATCAACTACTCTCAAACCACTTGTTCCCCGAACCCTAAAACTGCTGTCCAAAACCGCCATTTCATCGTCATCAGCACCAATAGGATTCGTGCACGAAATATGGTGACCCCAAGCTTCATCCTGGATAAATTCCTTGAGTTCTTCTTCTGTGGAAACATCTGCTCCAGGCCATGACTCATTGAACGATCCGTCAAGCGGAACAACACTGTTCATTATTTGGCGAGAAAGGGACATGCCCTCGTACATTGCCTGGAGATCTTTTTCCCATGCATTATCAGTCGAGGTTCCTTCGTCGAAATAGTGCATCTGGATTAATGGAGTATCGAGCGGATCGCTTGATCGAAGGGTGACTGTCCCCGCGGTATTGCGCGCGTGAGCCTTGAGCGTAATCCAACTCCAGTGTAGAGCATCACCGAGAGCAGGACCGGAATAGCCTGGATAATAGCCGTGGAAATTGGCGGGGGCGCCGGAAATCAGGAGATCGGGATCTTGTTCTGCGGTGCTGGATCGCGCAATCATGGCGAGCGGGAGACCGGGCGTGGCGTAGAGTCCTGCGTCTGCAGTGTCGTTTTGCCATTGCGTTAAACAGGGATCGTCGGCAGTGGTGAGGAAGGTACATCCCTCAGCGATGGAGAATGGAACATCTGATTCAGAGACGAGGGTCGTTTCGTAACGATCTTGCATGTTAGTACCGACACCGGGAAGATCAACTAGAACTGGGATGTTGAATGATTCGAGTTCAGCTCTGGGTCCGACACCGCTGAGCTTGAGGAGCTGAGGACTGTTGTATGTTCCGCCTGAAATGATAACCTCCTTTCTCGCGTTGACACTGCCGGGGGTACCTTGAGTTCCATTCTTTCCAGCTCTGGGGTCAGCTCTGTACAGACTTTTACCCTCCAAAAAGTCGACTCCGAGTGCGCGAGGTGTGGCATCGTTGGAGAATCGAATCTTTGTGACGAATGTGTTGAGTTTGAGAGTCAACCTGTACTTCTTGGATCCGTCAGTATTGACTGCATTCACTGTTTCGAGAATAAAATTTCTAGCTCCGTTTCTTGTTCTTCCATCAACAGCGATTGGAATCTGGTACAATCCAATGTCGTTGTCTCGCGTAGGTAATGGGTTATTAGGATCTAGAGAGACGACCTGGTCGAAGCCCTCAGCAGTCGCAAGAATCGAGTCAGATGCATTTACTGCGAAAGCATCAGCGGCAGAGATAACGATCGAATTAATCTTGTCATCTTGAACAATCATAGTTTGATTGGTGGCACTTGTATGGAGCCATCCGTCAAAGCCATGTCCGGGAGTATCTTCTGGGAGATAATCGCAATGCTCCATCTTTTCAAAATATGTTCGCATATTGTCAGGAGTCCAAGAATCGTCACCGGTAATGTCAACAATGTATTGCCAATCGCTCTCGTGTGGGTAGATTGAAATCATAGCGTTATGGTTCGAGCAGCCACCAAGAGTTCCAGCTCGAGGATACCAGACACCAAGTGGTTCTGCGTCCGCTGGGGGATCTAATCCGACGTAGTAGTCTCCATCAGTAGTTTGATAGGTCATTTTCGTATCTTTCTTTTGACGTTCGAGATCAGAGTAATGATGGACGAAGAAATTCCATCGCTGTTCTTCAATCTCAGTCGATGCGAATTGAAAGATAGGCATTTCAGCGAGGATCTGATCCCCTTGGTCATCTCCAGCATCGATCAATAGCACTTCATATCCGGCCAGAGCAAGACGAGATGCGAGAGGTCCACCACCTGGGCCACTGCCAACAACAATGTAGTCAACTTCGCTCGGTGTATCTTGTGTGACTTTAGCCCGAGCATCATTTCGAGACCAATATCGTGCCTGTTTGGGATTTCTTTAAGATGTTAGTAAGGGGGTTGCCAATTTGTTGATTTTAAAGCACCTACAATGCCAATACAGACGAAGAACCCAAAGCCAAAAGGCTCAAAGCGCGAATAGAAACCATTATTGAGATCGATCGATATCAGATTCTGTCTGGAGCGGATGAAATCTTGTCGAACCAAGTTGTTTTCCAAATACAATGTAGATTTTTGCGCAATGAAGTTTTCGAGAGAGCTCTGAATGTGATCCGTTGATCTCTTGAGGAAGAGTAGTGAGAAGCTGATGAAGGATACATTTTGAGAACGGGGAACAGCCGTGGTATTTATCGTCGCCGTTGACAGTACGAATCTCAACCACTGTCAGGCTGATATTGTTACTTCATCCAATTCAGAAGACTCCTGAACTCCGATTTCCAATCCTCCATTGTCTTCTCAGATGTTCTGTTCACGACCTTCAAGATTCAATGTCAAAATTCAGCTTGAGGGAGCATTGTTTACGGGACCCCGAGTTCGAGTTTGGAAAGTAGTATCGGTCGCGAAATCAACAGACAACAATAAATCCGACAAAAAATCGGCGTTTTTAGTTTGTATCAGATGTCACTAGAAAAAGAATTATCGAGTTTCCTAAAAGACTGAAGATATAAAATCCAAAGTGATTTGCTGATGTAATACTCTTGAAATGATCTTACGCCCCACAAGATAATTATCTGGAGGACTAGGTATAACGCCAGAGCAAGGGAGAGAACCCGGTATGTGTACATGGTTCATCTGCAGCCACTCGTGCCACTGATGCCACCAATACCACCATCGCTGTCATATACCCTAGGGCATAGCCTACCTGTTGAATCTCATCTATTTACCATAAGCTTAATCTCTTGCTTACATGCCCAGGCGTACTGATCAATATTCAAAGAATGTTTGTGTCAATAACCTTAACCTGAGTTGAAACATGAACCTACAAGAAATGAACGAACGGAATAATCTCAACTCAAACATTAAAAAATCTTTCTGTCCACACGAGAGCATCGTCTAGGCTTGCCAACCACGGGCAGCCACCCTGGTAACAGAATTGCTAGGGGCGAACGCCTCTTCGCGGTAGGATTTCTAATTCACCCAATAAGATACTGTTTGCTATATTAGCCACAAGCCGATGACAGTCAGTTGAAAAATTGAGATTAGAAACCGAATTTCCAATCCTTATCGCAAACATTCTAAGAGTTACCACAGGTGAAACGTTCATGGGTTCATGCAATAAAACGTTTTTTCGAAGTAACCAAAAACGACTGCCGTGGGCATCTGAAGATTTCAGTTCATTTTGTCCACAGAAAACTTGAGTATTTGCGCCATCCCGCTGCTAAGATTTCCTTGGCGATCCCCTAATGAAGTAGGTCTCATCTGATAAAGATTTTAAGTGGTGGCCTTCGCTTCATTCCTATTGGCTTAGCTACTAAACATCCTTGCTAATTGTTGCCTTCTGCATTCTTGCCCCTGTCAACCCAGATTAGGTGTAGATCTCGGAATTAGCTTTGAAATCAAATTTATCTAATTGTATACTATACAATTTGAGAGGCCGTATGTTTTGAGTGCTTATAGCGCCGTAAATCATCGTGTGCCTCCTGCATTAGCCATGGACGGGCTGGTAACACCCGTCTCTATATCTTTGAAGGCGGGCAAGAGGTTTTAAAACCCTAAAAATAGATCATTGCAGTTGCCTAAAAGCCACGAATAATACACGGATCTCATGTGGTACGATAACGGTACAAAGTTACATGAACGACTTTGAAGGAGATTGCCGGTGAAAGGTCGTCATCGGTGATAAGTTGAGACAGACAATCATCATTGACTGTATAGATCAACGTTACCAGATTAATGGCATTACGCTATCTGGGGTAAATCCAAACTTGGGAGTTCACCCGCGCTGGGTAACATCTTCCTCTACACTTGTTCGAACCCCCACCATATTCTTAAAAATGACGATATTTCACGCGCCAATTATGCATTCGAGCAGCAAGACTCCCGAGAAGGGAAGTAGAAATTCAATGGAGATACGGAGTATGTATATACCCACGAGGAGTAGAAATAGTTTGAGAAAAGGATGTGTTACAAACAATCACTTCTCTTTGTAAAATCCGCCTGTGTTTGTGCAAATTGGAATGTATACAAAAGACAATATGAGGTACCTACAATAATCTGGTACTTAGCTTGTGAACACAACCACGGAGACGATATGCCTAGCAATCGGAAGCTGAGAAGTATATTCCGCTTGGCTTATTCCTTTGGCGGCTCTGAATTCCTTTATTGGTTAGGAATGAGGCTGCCAATATTTTGGCAAGCTGTTTGACTTTATTTCTAGGCCTAAGAAACCCATTTTCTGTGATCCATTCTCGTCTGTATCGTTAACTTGTTGGCGCTAGTATCTTTTGGATATTTCGAATTGTAATGTCTGCCTAATTGCTTTCCACAAACGCCCACTCTTCAACCGTTTCCCCAGCCTCGCCAAACATATCCTATTGGAGATAGCTGCTGCTCAAGATTGGAGAAATTGTGGATATTCTAAACTCAATTTCGCAAGTATGCGTTGGTGCAACTTCATGTCTTTGGAACAATCATACGATGATTGTCACGACATCAGAAAAGAGCCTCTTGATCGTTGACCCGAGTCTAGCTTTCGAGATTGTTGTTGAGGTATGAACTTGCGATTAGATGATTTCGTGTATTCAATTCATCAATGTAGTTAGAGAAAAGTAAAGTTCTTGACTCGGGGTTCGTTCCTGTCGTATATTTCTTTCATTCGGTTTCGGAATCGGAACTACAAGCGGTTTCTAGTGTTGACCAGCGTTAATGTCCAGCCAAGGTATCGTAGCGTGGAAGTCGCGTGGCAGATCTCGCGTGGAACACTCAGTAACAGATTGTGGACAGATCTCGAAGCCCTCACAATGGACCTGCAGTAAGCGTTGAGAAGGAAGCACGAGCTGCATGCTGACAAGGCTTGGAATGTCACACAGGCTAGTGATGTCGTGTAAACCAGTCTGACGGTGATCAAGTACGGCTATTGTGACAGAATGATTCGTTCTCACATTCAGCTCGGCTGGAAACATCGGCCACGAGTGTAGCTGAGGACTGTCGCCCCCCTCCTTTGCCGCAATTCTTCAGTGTGGAACCGGTCAGCAACCCGGAATACACAGCCTGCATTCCACAAGCCAAAGTCATCAATCATAGGAATATATCTTGTGTAGATCATTCATTTGTCTAGTGGATCATGCGGCATAAGAAACGTTCGGGAGATTCGACCCGAATCCTTTCATAGACTTATACTGGCGCCTTGTCATCGAATATCAATGGTTGGCGAACGGCCGCCGTTGGTATTCTAACATGAATTCAGACCGTCGATATGGACCCGAGTCGTGAGAGATCCCGCAATGAGAATTTGCGGCGCATTCAGGCTGATACGAGGTATTTGATGAACCAATTTCCTTCCCAGAATGATTGCGCTCAATCGGTGTTGAGTTTGATGCTGATGTGGGGCATACTATATTGAGAGCGCACTGCGAAATCAACCCCCGTAATTTACGACGCCTAGCAAGCACCAACAGATTGTAAAATACATCAATGAAAGTGGCTATGTGAAGCACGATGCAGTGAGTCTTCTGGCCATCGACAAAGTATGTGGTGGTGAGCAGAAGAGTCAGAAATCATGCATCCTCATCATCCATGTGCTTCTGTCCAGTCTTCTCTATCTCTGGCAATGCCTAGTTTGAGAAATCAAGTCTCTTCCATCCTCTGAGAAAAGACACGGCTGTGCAGAAATAGCCAATGTTTTAGTGAGTTGTGGGCTTGAAGTTGAATGCTAGAGTGGTAGGATGACCAAGGTTGACAGATCAATGTTCAGTAGATCAACAATAACCGTGTTGCAATCGTTGGCCATACTGTAACTCATACATACCAGCGATGTGTTCTCCCACCAAATTTCTCCATATTTGCAACAAAATGGTCGGATTTGTCGGTTTAATTATGACATCCCGTGCGCCGTTGAGAGATAGTCCACAATGGAGTGGAATGCAATTAGCAACATGGCACACAAAAAGGTAGCCTCAATTAGCTAGATGGAGCATTCCAGAGCCTCGGGTTTTGTACCAGGATTTGATGTTTGTGTCATCATCTAATTATGCTTGCCTAGGTCAAGCAATTATGTAACTGAATTGGTGTTCTGAAGAAATGTGGGAAGATTCAATGATATATATAAATGTAGCGCGACTCCTGATGATATGGATAATATGGATAATGTAGTAATCGATTGCTCCATTACCAAGACGGAGGGAAGACATTTTGTTTTGTTGTGTTTCGTTCATATGTTGGAGGTGCAAGGGAAGGTTTGTCAGCACCTTTAGTAAGCCGTCCTCGCTTTCTTTCGTATAGGCGGGTAGGTAGCCTATGGAGTACATAAAATCCATCCGAAAGCCTACTAGGAGTAACGAGCTGACAACTACATGCACATAAATTATGCACACTGTTGACATAACCCATCATTTTCATGTCATGTCATGTCATGATTTCTTCGCATTGTTGTCGTCGTGAAAACTCAAACGCTGATATGATATCACTATCAAAGTTTTTACTTCTATGATCCACTCCAAGTCGGCTCAATTATCTATCCGATCAAAGTCCGACGATATGGTGCTTTCAAATCATTTCACGGCCCTCCTTTCAAGAGACGATGGGTACACCTCGGTGATTGGGACTATATAAAACTTTGAAAATCCTCGAGAAAAGACGAATCCAATCAAGATAAAAAATACTGCAATACTTGTACACCCAAAATCTAAAAGAACCGTTTCATCATGTTACTTTCCGAGAAGATCACATTGCCATGTGGGTTGACTCTGCCAAATCGTCTTTGCAAGGTATGAAACATCCATCAAAATTCTATCACTACTACCTCCATAATGCTAATACAATTTCAAAGGGTGCAATGGCTGAAGCTATGTCAACTGCTCACGTTCCCGATGAATCCTTTTTGAAGGCATATGGCACTTGGGCTGACGGTGGATGGGGAATGGTAATGACAGGTACGAATCAAGAGTGCATGACGACCAACTTCAAGTATACAAATACTAATCTAGATAATAGGAAACATTCAAGTGTCTTCCAAATATCTCGGAAACAATAAAGATGTAGCTAGCACTCCCAAACCCACAGAAGAGACCAAAGCCATGTGGAAATCATGGGCTGCAACCTCCCAACGCTCTGGAACACCAACCATAGTCCAAATATGTCATGCTGGTAGACAATCACCCCTTGGGGCTGGCGATCGCGGCCTCTTTTCAAAAACTGTTGCTCCTTCCGCCGTAGCAATAAATTTTGGAACTAGTTTCTTGGAACGGGCCGCTGCTGCGTTACTGTTCGGCACACCACGTGAACTGACGATTGATGAAATTTCTGGACCGGGCGGTATCATCGATGAGTTTGTATTGGCTGCGAAGCAAAGTTTCGAGGCGGGATTCAAGGGTGTTGAACTCCATGGCGCGTAAGTTTTCCCCTAACATTTTGTTCTCCCTCGGGATTGCTCTTGCTGATTCAATTATAGACACGGCTACTTGCTAGCACAATTCCTGTCTCCTAAGTCCAATCTTCGGACCGATGAGTTCGGCGGTACAGCCAGAAAGAGAGCTGAAGTCGTAGTAAGAATCATCAACGAAGTCAGAAAGCAAACGAGTAAGAAGTTTTGCATCGGTATCAAGGTGAACAGTGTGGATGCTGCTTCCAACGAGTCATTGGAAGATAGTATGGAGCAAATCAGGTGCATAGTTGAAGCCGGAGTCGACTTCATCGAGATTTCTGGAGGAAGCTACGAGAATCCTCGTATGATGGGTGAACCCTCTTCAGCCCCTACAACTTCTGCTCGCGAAAGTTTCTTCCTCGAATTTGCCCAAACAGTACGCAAACAATTTCCTTCTGTCCTCCTGATGGTCACTGGAGGTTTCCGCACAAGAGTCGGTATGGAGGAGGCTTTGAAATCGGGAGGATGTGATCTCATTGGCATTGCCCGACCCGCGGCCGTTATTCCCAAATTGCCAAACGAGATTATCCTCAATAAGGACGTACCTGATGAGGAAGCAAACATCACTCTTAAGCCACTCTCCCCGCCATTTTTGATTCGCCACTTCCCTGTTAAACAGGTCGGAGCTGGTTTCCAAAGCATGTATTATTCGTCACAGATTCAGAGAATGGCGAAGGGCTTGTTGCCTGTCAACACTAAGGCATAGATCACTGTTGGGTACAGACAGAGGAGTTATAGGTAGATGATTTATGGGTAGAGGAGTTTTACGCGGATGGGTTTGGATAGAGATATAGATTTAAATATAGAATATGTACATATATACAAAGAATCTTCCCTTTCAGGTCCCCCACCTCAACACGTCTATTTCACACTACCCAAATGCTCCTCATCGTCCAAACTAAACACAGCTTCCCGCAATGCTACTGGTGGTATTCTTACTGTACGCACTCAACGCACTTCCTCCACACATAAGTCCCTTCATAAACGCAGCGGCCACAGTATTTGCGCCTGCAGGACTAGTATGCGTGTGATCGACTGGATAATACGCATCGACCGTGTTGGCACCAAGCGACTTGTAAATATTCGCAACGTACGTACCGTGGTCGACAAAGGAGGCCAGCGAGCCAAGAGAAGAGACGACGGATTTCCCATATCCGGTGAAGCGGGGGGAGGTGTAGGACCAGGTGCCGGTTTCCCATAAGTTGTTGGGGGTGGGCGAGGCGACGATCAAGTGTGCGCCTTTGGCGGTTATGAGACGTCTGGAAGGAGTGTTAGTTGAGTTGGTGATTTTCATTCATGGGGTAAGGCCTGCGGAAACGGAGAATTGGAAGATGCCGAGGGGAGAGAAACATACCCTGCTTGTAAGAGGTAGTATACATATGTATACACGGTCTCCCCTGTAACGGGAGAAATGCACGTCTCGGTACCGCCTCCATAGCAATCGGTACGGAGGTTATCAGTTGTGGTCAAAGAGCCTCCATCGTTGTGGCCAAACTCGCTGATAATTGAATTAGCACATGTTTATCAATAAAAAAAGAGGGAATCATTGAAGACATACAAAAGGACATAATCGCCGGCAACAACCAAATCGGCCAATGCAGCAAATTTTCCTTCATTCCAATATGAGCGGGCGGATCTTCCGGCAACGGCTTTGTTCACGACGTTGATACCGGTGAAACTGTATTTAAGGTATTCACCGAATCCTATACACAATATATGTTAGACAAATTTCCCACACTCCTATGACGTCTAGGATGAAAAACAAAAGCACAAACCTTGAGTACTAGTTCCACCGCCACCAAGCGCCATGGTGGAATCACCAGCCAAATACAAAGTTGGCACTGCGCATACCTGAGCCGCGAGCAAGGAAAGCAGAGCTTTAACGGAAGTCTTCATTATGAATGATTTGAGATGGTATGAGATTGATGCCAAGAATTGCTGCAAAATTGACAGATGCTGTTCGAGCCAAGCTTTTTGATTTTCGAGCCGATCTTCTTCTCTTTATATAGTTTTCCTAACCTTCGACCCATCATGCGGAAACATAAAAGTAATGGTCTTTATCTACCTCCATGTTCAATTTCTCCATCTGGCCCCCTCAATACGAGCGAGATTCTCGGCGCCGAGTTCCCCTTCCCCTTCAATCACATTTACTTTCTGATAGCCACCGAAATCCGCATACACTTCCACTTACAAATCCGCATCTGGACGCCCTCCAATTCCAGGCGCCAAAACAATCCCAAAAATTTCCCATGTTCCTCGTACCATCTCCACCCGAGCAACCCACCTTAACAATATATTCATCTAAGCAAAACGCCAAGACGGAAACTTCATCGTGCATGTTAAGCTCATTCTTCGTCCGAAAAATGAAAAATATAACCACCAGTCGCAAACTTCGCACTCGGTAGATCTTCGCTCATGTTGCAGATTCGGTATACCCCAGATTTTTGGCGCGGGTCCCCTCATTTGACAACTATAACTATCTGTGCCTGAACGTGAAAATGTGTGCAGGAGAATTCGGCAGCAAGTGAGAGATCCACCAATGAGATTTATCCGTTTTAATTAAGTGCCGGCTGAATTGGTCTTGGCGAAGGCTTAATGATCACGAGATTGGGAGATCGTCGGCTTTTATGGTTGCAAGACTTGGGTTATGGCGATTTAATAGAAGCGATGTTGTGAGTGCAAATGGAGATTATTTGTGCGCTTGCGTGTGGAAACTATGCTTGGCGGAATTTTTGTTGAAAATGAGGGTGTGGATTTGGAATTTGTTTGATAGTTGAGGAATGTTATGATTGAGATGCTTGCGTACCACTTTGGTGCATGTGTGTTATCTCGTAAAAACTTTACTTGCACTGCACTGCCGAAAAATCAGATGAATAAATCGGGTGCGACAGATATTTGGTGAGAGATCAAGCTGGTTATAGCTTTTGATCTCCTCACCTGACAACAGGCTCAAACCAAAGTTTTGAAACGACTGTGCAACATGGAGTGTTGTAGCCTCTGAACCTTTACATCTGCGATTTGGAGCTTCAAAAATCAACAAAAGTTGATTTCTATCACATCAAGAAACATACACTCAATTGAGCATCGCGCGTTTGATGGAGAAGAATAATTGAGTGCATAACCACATCAAAGAATTTATGTATCTTTGTGAAGCCATCCACATGTTACTTCCACATCGCAAGACCAACGTTGAAGAGGTTCTATTTCGTTGAAATCAACATTCCAGTCGTCATCGTAATAAAAAACAAGGCGTGCTTTGGAGAGATTGGGTTGAGCCCTAGAGTCTTTCGAATTATTGATGAAATGATTGACAAGGTATGTTGCTGGTAAACTGGAAATTTTCCCCTGGAAAGGATCCTGAATGAGTTTTTGAGTCACAACAGTCCTTTTCCTGTGGCTGAGATCGCGATCCAAGAGTTAATCTCCGTCATGATCTACTTATTAATCGATGTTCTGGTCGCCGCATTTCGGTACCGGTATCTTCACATATGCCTTTTGCAGAAAGCAATCAAGGTGATTCCAAAGACACCAATGTCGGAAGATTTCTCAAACAGAGAGTTGTATCACATCGATGTCCACTTCAACGTTGACCGTGTTATCGATGTACACGTATTGAACTGAGTGCGGGCGGTGGCAACAATATTTTTCCTTGGGAAAGAGAACTGACTGCCTTGACCCAAACTTTGGTCTCCGATATTCACTTTTGAACATCAATGTCACTTTCTCGCGTCATTGTATTTCAATACTGATCTCGCCTAATTCTCAAATATAATCGAAGAGATCGCACATCCTCTCGTCAATTGGTGGTATGACAACACGACACTCTAGCTTAACGGTTAGATACGACAACTCGAGGTGCGCGCGGTATCTTTGTGGGGAGCATTCGATCCCTTCGGAGTCATTGATACCGCGAAATAGATCAACAAAGATGTAGGACCCCAAATTGGGGCCTGAACTTTTGCTATTTTGAATCCTTTTATTCTTTCCATCTTAGGTCTATTAGATCACCTCGTCTTTTGACCTTATTTTAGAGAGAGGATTTGGGCGACTAAAGAGAATTGATGTATGAAATTGAAAAGAGATGCCAGGAAGAGAATTGGTGTGATCTGTTCAAAGTCTGGTGATATTGAATTTGCTCCACTAAAAGCTCACTGAAAATTGCTTTTGGCATGACTATTCGAAGAGACACAGGATGGTGAAGTGTGAGAGTCTGAATTGAAACAGGACAAGGGAGTTGCTACAAAGCTGTCTTTACCCAATGATACCTCCTGGAACTTCAGAGCCAATTTTGAAATCATGACCGTGGTGGGAAGAGAAAAATCGAGATTGCCTTTTGGTTTTGAGTGAAGCAGCTTGAATAATGTACCAGGTATGCAACTGATAATAACAATGACCACTTGATTGGAAAGGACTGTCCAGGAACATGCTTATCTGACTCAATTGTATGCTTCAGGGCTTTCATGTCATCGCCTCTAATCTTACATTATAGCTAATTCAACTTCCCTGATCCATTTTAATCCAAAGATCCGGTATTGAAACACGAGAGCGAGTTCCAGAAGCCCTAGGAATTTATAGAGAATAGATTTCGTAGTGGATGATTGTTGTCAAGGCGACAAACGATCCGGAGCAGAATAAAAATGATTGATGCTTTAAAGTGATGTTCTGTAGGCTTGTGTAGATATGGAAATGAATTTCTCCTGTTGGATTAAATTTGCGTGCAAATTCTTGATCTGAAGGTGTAGTAAGTTAAACAAGATCTACATACTTTGTGTAGCTTAGTCATCATAAATATAAATAACTTTATACTTTATTTTAAGACTTGATCTGGTTTGTGATACCCCAACCTCTTGAACGTCCGTCTCTTCTTCTAAGTTTTATCGATTCATAGTATGATATTGAACTGAATGATATCTTTTAGGATATTTTCAATTAACGTTTTAAGACTTTGCGCATTCCGTTTCTTCGTGTTCGACTGCGCTCTCCTCATACGTTTGCAGATAGATATCCGCAAACGAACAGAGATACCGATGATGAAGAACCTTCCATCTTTGCTTTAACGGTCCCATCGAGGGATGTTGAGCTTCCGAAGTCAAATTAAGCCTCCATGAAGGATGGTCTCATTACGCGCGCATTTCCAGCTTAAGATGGAAGGCCCACTTGGATGTTGGTTGACATCAAGCTCTTGCTCTCCTAATGTTACCTAGGTTACAACTCCATCTTTCCTTTCAGGATTCTTATTTGATTTAAACTTCCGGTTGATAACACTCAATTGTCAAAACTGTTGCATTGCTTGCATATGTGTATATCCTTGGAGATGAGTATCTATAAACATTCAATAGAGACCTCCGTCGCGGAGCACATCCCAATCACGCGGAGTATGCGTCGAATCATCGCATCTAGATACATTCAGTCTATCAATATATGCTCGCACAGCATCTTGGATGGATCATCTTTACCAAAGTTGACGACCTTTTCGCTTTTTCGCAATTTACCTCTTGAACTCCGCGCTCAGATCTGGACGTTTGCTTTTCAGGAGCCTCATACAGTAGAGCTCGAGCTTTTGACCTCCGTGAATACAGCTTCCGGTCCGCAGCAGCGATCATCGTCATGGAGCTTTCGCAACACAACTCCACACCCTCTTCTTTCAACTTGTATCGAATCCAGGCAAGAGGTTTTGAAGCGGTACCGGTCTTCTGAACATTCGAGCCACGACTCACTTCCCATCAACTTTGTCATCAATTCATTGTTTCTCAAGGACCTCAACTTTGGTTCTGTCCAAGGTTATTGGCTGCGGAATGTGAATTATGTCAAGAGTGGCGATTGTAGAGTGCTTCTACCGAGCATCTTTGAGTCTGTAGAAAGTTTAGTGATTTCTCGAACATCCATCTCAAACGCAGAATGCGAGGCAGAAAACATCATTCGTCATTGTTTCCCGAATCTTTGTCTACTCATCGTTACCGTCAATGTTTGTGTCGGGTACGAACTCTCTTCGGACCGCACTTCCCAATTACTTTTACATCCAGAAGACGATCACCATATCTCGCTGTTAAGCTTTGCGCCGACGACTTGTCCTTGGGACGCGATATATGCATCGAGGATCAAATTAAATATGCAAAGACGATTTGCGAGACAGGAAAGGATACACAGAGATTATGTTGCGCCCGTTATAAAGGTCGTGAGCGCCTGTTAACGCTACGGCGGAATATGACGGTATTTTATTTGGCTGTTTCAAATACGAAAGTAAGATTTTATTACGTTCTGCGAAATGGTTCTCCGAAAAGAACAAAATAAGTCACGCAAGAACCTTTTACGAATTAAATTGAACTGATTGGCATAGCCATGACAGTGGACCAGATGGAATCACTCTCCATATACCCGGCGGCACTACAGTGAAAATACTCTGGCAATTGTGACGTGACACAAGCCCTGTCACTCTGTTCGGGAGCTATGAACTGGTCATGTCTCGTAAAAAGAGGATTCAACTCACAAGGATTGTGCATTAGCTACCTTATCTGGATCTTATCCATAACACAACCAAACTCCCGGAAAACTCTACGCTTCCTGATAGGAGCATCATGTGCAGAGCAGGAAAAGTGATTGCTTTGCAGCAAAACCTTGCTGCAGAATGGGTTCGGGAATACCCTCAACCTAGGCTCGCAGAGGCAGCTGGCTGTAACCTAACTTATCACTGCGCCTTCAAATTTTGCATGGGATCATCCAAGCCAAGTTTGGCTGCCTTCAATCGTTATCACTTCGACCAAAAATCAATAGTGCACAAACCACAATAAATCCTTTCAAATTCCGTTGTAATGTCCCCTCAAATGACCATTCAAGTGCTGTGGTCTCGGTTCATGTTTCTAGTTTTTCAATTATTTCTTAACGTTTGGTTAAGAGTCTCGAACTATCAGGTATTCGACCCAAGCGGTTTTGTTGGTACGAGCGTCTGTACTATGATTGGTTGATACCCACTGGATCTTGCCGCCGTGGAAACTACCCTGCAGTTCACAACCCCGCAGAGCCTTTGCACTTGGGCAAGAATACCGGTACTTTTTCCCATTTTTTTGTACTCGGCATCCTTGATTTGGCTAAAATTAACGTTATCGCAACTGCTGTTACCCGAAATCTCTAGTTAGTTCTCGCCATCCACAAAAGCTAAGCCTTACCTCTCTGTCTACATAACGCTTCTTTTCGTACAGAAGATAGCCTTGAACACAACATCTTTGTTCAACATGGTGGCTAGTGAAAGTTATCGTGCCCAGCTAGCAATTCAACAACGAGTTCCTCTTCTTTCGGGGATCTACAGTCCTCCTCCGACTCATGAACACGGGCCTGACACTGCAAAACGCTACAGGGCTTTAGAAATTGAGACAGAATTTATTATAAGCCAAGCCAAGACACCTCATATCCCTTCAGACTCAGATAATCCACCTCGGCCGCCACCTCGGCCGCCACAGCATCATCGAGGAACCAGTACAAGTCGCCTTGGCATTTTCAATAAAGTTTTCTCTACAAGTCCTCCTGCTTCTCCAAGATTTGAAACTACTTCTATCACTGTCCTCTTATTACCTCAAGCAGGCACACGACCCATCCTTCTCAAACTTCGTACAATAGATATTCGTGGTGAAGGACACAAAGATAACCATCTCTCGCATATCCCTGATATGCGTTCATTTTGGGGCGATGGAGATGCCTGGCACGCTCGTATACAGAAATATTCTTGCCTGGATAGGATCAAAGATTCAACAGATCATGCTTTGATTGGCAGATACATGTTACTATATACGCCTGAAGGAAACGGATTACCTTTAAACCAAAGATGGAGCGCAGGTGTTAGTGGAGATGCCTGTATTGCAAAGATGTGTAAGAATATATGGGGGAGAGGAGGAGTGGCTGCGTATGAGGATATTGATAGGGAGTTCCTGGATAGTAGACTATACAGGAAGATGCTGATGGAATTGTTTGATAGTCCTTTGAAGGACTCGAAAGAGGGTGCTACAGGAGAGGATGAGGATGTTGCTGATAAGAAGACTTTGTAAGGTGCTGGCGCTTCTAGGTTCTCCTTTGTCGTTCTATTATGGTTCACTTAAGAATTTAATCGCTGGATATCTCCACAGCACTACTGGGGTAATTTTGGAGTTCACGGAGTTCCATCCATTTGCAGGATATGCTGGCGTTTTTGAGTTTCGATAGTGAAACACGTATACAAAATCGAGAAATGAGAGAATCATTTTAGATCTGATATAGTGGCAATGCGAATGTATGAACGTGATGTTGGTGTTTATCTGAACGACCGGCTGCAGTACGTACTTCGGCTACACAAAGCTTAGACTTGGCGTGTCCACATGCTAATCGACCCTGAAGCTAGCTTGCGGATGAGCTCCCGACATGCCTCTCCTTCACATGCCGGAAGCACAGATAGTAGCACCTGCTGATCATTCAAGTGCTCCAAATTAATATCAATACTATTAGCTAGCTATGGGCAAATCATGTTTTTCTCATTGAAATTTCCAACAGGAAACAACTATCAACCCCGTACATTCCATACCATGTCACAACTCAATTATCTGTGTTCTTAACCAACTCCACAATCCTATCCGCCAACAATTGGACATCTCCCGGCCACCTGCCACTGATGTAATTATACTTCTCATCCTCCACCACAAACCTATCATCTCATTAGTCTCTCTATCCCATAATGCAGAAGGAAAAACAAAATAGAATTCATAAAAACGAAACTCACGGCTGCAACCCAAGATAATGTTTCCACTGCTTTTCCGGATCATCCAACCTCTTCCTAACACTCGTCTCCACATTCTCACTGCCCGCTCCATAAGTTTTGTAATAATCTCCCAACGCCCATCTCGTACTCCAATAAGCCGCTCCCTCAAACACTCCCGGAAGAGCCGTCGTATCACAATCATGAATGATAGATCTATTCCCCACCGTCAAAGTTTCACTCAAAACCATAACACCGTGACAAACCGCGCCTACATGTTTCTTTCCCGGCTTCTCAACACCTTTCCAGTATGAAATCAACTGCTGATGCATAATCTCCGAATCAATCAATTGACGCACGCCTTTCTCGTGACCGCCGGGCAAAAACACTACATCATAGGAGTCGAGAGAAAAGGAATCGGAAGACCAGGATAGAGGACTTGTGAATTTCTTCGTCTGGGACATGTGCTTGTAGGCATTGACGGCGTCTTGAGTGGCGCCGAGTAGCTTCTGAGTGATTCCCTCGAGCATTTTGCGATCGCAGGCTGGGAGGGCACCGTTTTCGGTGGCGAAGTGCACGGTAAATCCGGCTTTGGTGAATGTGGTGTATGGAATTGCGGTTTCTGAGGAGAGTTTAGTGAAAGTGTTATCAATAGTGTAGTTTGACAAGAGATCGAGATTATTGCTTAAGATGTTTGGAGTTTCGTGGAAGAGGGTTATATTACCTGTTGGATCATGGCCGTAATCCGACATGGGAATCAACACTTTTATACCAGACATCTTTGCTGAATGCTATTTTGTGAAATTTAGTTATGGTGGATAAAGGTAATGTTATGATGATAAAGTTTCTTCTAAATCGAAAGGACTTTCTTGTGTATTAATGTTGTCAAGACTCTACTTCTCAAGACCTGATCACAGTAAGCCAACAAATTGGTTAGAACTCCTTTTCTAGCTGTGCCTCACAATAATTTAGAACCGACTTTTGTTCAGAGATTCAACTTCGAGACCGAGGTTTAATTAGAACGTAGTGGTTTTGATCAATTCAAATCAATAAGAGAAAAAGTAAAAATGTCTACCTACACACACATCAAGATATCCATAGCTGGTATGACGTGAGGGCTTTTGGTGAATGAAGGGGTCGATGACGAATGAACCGAGGGGTTGCAGGGTTGGTTGAGTGGGTATCCGTAAATCAAATGCTTACTCCAATTGTTGCCCCAAGTCGAGGCCAAGGATTACTCCCTTAATCGATAATTTACTTCCAGGTCTTTAATTCAATTTACAAGTCTTGTTTTTATTTCGAGGATGTGGCGGTTGGGTTTGTGTCTTGTGAAGTCTCATCTGGCTCTTCCTCATATGCCGCTCAAAAGAATACTTGTGTCGAGAGTGACGAGGAAAAGAAGCTTAATTAAATGCAAACCAGGTTCTGTAGAGATTAAAGGTAAAGAATCTATTGGATATTGGTAAGGGGAAGGATGTCTTCAATGATTCAAATCATCATATTCAAAATATACAGTCTTGATGAACTTCCAGAGCTCTTATGACTACAAGTACACACGATCACCATACAATCCATTCCTCCTGAGGCCCTTCATCTCCATTGTTCCGACTAGGACCTTGTCTAAATTTGATCAATGCCTTTCGTCGTCCAAGGGACGTTATTTCCGTTACTACGATCCGAGATGACTCCACCACTTCCTCGGCTCTCGAAATATTCTCTAGACCCTTCTCTTCCTTATCTATAGTCCACCGACCAATACTACTCGCCAAGTCACTATCCCAACCACCTTCTCGTTTGAAAGAGCTGACGAGAAGAGCGTGTGCTCTCCTGCGCAGTGAAGGATCACGACATTTGCATGCCACACATAGCAGCGGTGGTATTATTGCAGTGTCGAAAGAGAACACCCGTCCGTTTTCTAGCCTTGAATCGCCGTACGATTTGAGAAGAGATTCGGCTAGTGAAGTCATTAGTTCAAACTCATCCATGTAACAATCGTAGTTCAATTCAGTCTCGAACTGTGCTGTTTCGAGAATTAGTTTGTTGGCGACATAATGAATTTTGAGCGAAATCGATGCTCGTAGATCAGTCGTATTCATTGTTTGACCTGCTGCATGTGCAAAGTTGTTGAAGACTCTGGACCACTGCTCAAGCTGCATAATACGATCTCTCCTTTCTTCGACCATAGCATTCAAGTCACTTGAGCGTAGATTTTCGTCATTATTTGAAATCTCCGGGCTATAATGCTGTGTTGCATTCCGATGGTATACCAAAATTGCATGGGTCTGGTTTTGGAGATGATGTTTTGCTTCATTCAGCGATGAGATGGGATCTGGTATGCTGGTCTGAGCTGTAAAATCAAATTTCGTGGACCCGCTCGTCATTTCCCATTGAACAAAGTTAGCTGGTAGTATTTTGATCGCCTGGGTATTTAAAGCTCCGAATAAAGGTACTATTTCTGAGCGGATGAATTCTCGATTTACGCTTGACTCTGAATGTGCGAGGGAATCTTGTCCATTTATCTCCATCCAATCGCTTAAAATCTTTAAGCCACTGTTTAGATGAGCAAATGCAGCTTGGTAATTTCCTTGCATTGCTTCGAAGCAAATGAACAAAAGACAAGATATCAGAATTACTTCTGAGGATTGTCGGCGACTTCCATAAGAGGGATGACCCGTCAAGTAACGTATAGCTTTAATATTTTGGAGCAGAGCAAATCGTTGTTTCGGATCAGCAATCGCTCCCGCTTCCAGTAATTTTATATCGCCAAACTTGAAGGACTCGTTGAGGGCTCCCAATGCAATGACTGCATGGCGAATGGGCGGATCCGAGTGACACCTCTGCAAAATGAGACTGGCCCAGAATTTAGATTCAAAACTACCCGCCAATTCTGGCGCTGTCTTGGCGATGAAAAAATTGAAGCTTCTTCGCTCTTCTTCATCCCATTCAATGACCGGAGAAGGCATTTCGACTATGCTTGGGGTAGAAGTCATGATGGGGCTATCAGTTTGGCCTTTATTTGATGAGGAAGCCTCACTGCCCCTTCGTGACGGTGGGGCACTCGACATCTCTGGATGATCAGGATCATAGCCATCGCATTTACGTCCAGTCTTCGTGCATCGAAGGCACCCCGGTCTCTCTTCTCCGCATTTGACACGGCGAATTCTAAATCCCCATTAGCGACCCAACTTTGAATCTTCTCTTGTGTGCTGATCACACAGAAAAGACAAATTGAAGTAGAATAACCAACCGACAAGTAAGACAGCCAGTTTTGGATTTTGGTCTCCAAGCTTTCTTTCTCGCAATTGTAGCCATTGTCTATACAGTCTATTTCCTTTCGGTATATGAAGTTGCACGCTTCGTACTGATTGTGGATCTGCTGCTCGTTCCATCCAAGACATCATGCCAGGTACCCATAGCATTTCTTATATCTCGGGGGAGCCGTTGACCCTTGAGCCAACTCCCAGATTCAGCAACTGTGCCATAATAACGTGACTCTGACGAGGGATTCGTATCTAGCGATGAATGGCCACTTCCTTTGATTACAAAAATGGCAATTATAGAATTCAGCCTCGCTCCTTGAATGTAGAATGCGCTTATATTAGTGACTAACGCAAAAGCCGAATTGCGTTGTGCTCATTGGCCTCTACACGATGTGTGACCACATTTAAACTCAGCCTCGCGATACTGCACGACGGAAATAAGGCTGCTTTGGTCGCGCGTCCCTGCAGCGGCTGCAACCCTACCGCTACATCGCGATTCTGAGCATCATTTGCATCCACATGAGCGCAGAAACTATCCTTACGTACATAAATGTTTGGTCTGGATTACAGAATCCCTTACGTCCGTAAAGTAGAACTCTCTATGTAACTCTTCCAGATTGTTGATCGACGAATGAAAACGACTAAAATGAAGTTTCTGAATAGGCTAGCGGTGTAGGAGCTTTGGATTGAACCCTTGGCATGACATTGCAAGGGCTATACCGTGTTACATCGATAGCCAGAAGACAGTATCTAGATTTCGCATCCCTCAAACATCTGCCGGTTGTAAAATGGATAGGGACGTAAATTAGTCCGTGGTCCGAATCCGATGTTTCAGCTCGAGAACGGTGTTGTCAGCAGTGACGAATTATCAATTGCGAAGTCATCAAAATTACCGATTGACAACTTCAAAACATTGTCGCGCATAGGGACGCCGTACAGGTACTTCTTCAAGCTTTGCTGACTCTTCAGCCTTGGGATACCGATTAATGATTCGATGGTTCTGCCATCCTTCAAACTGTGAATGAGGTATCTACCGGTAGCTATTGGTAAGCTGCGCTTGAAGAAAATATCCGAAGAAATGTGAAGATTTAAAGCCTTGTCATATAACCTTAGAGTTGCATTCGCTTTTCGGGACCTATAGAATGACAAGCGGAAGGTGCAGAAGGAGGATTGCGCTACCCCCGCGAAAAGCCAATACAGGGGGATAGGAGTGGTGTGCCATGCATTACTTTAGGGCGTTAGACAGAGGATGACGGAAAAGGCTGAGGGTCTTATTTGGGTGACATACATAGTAGGTCTAAATGTCGCCTAAAACGCTCTTGCACCGCGAGAGACAGATCAGACGGCATATCGATTATAACTGGCCAGGCTTACGATGCAGTCCACGTAGGATGAAGGATGAGGAAGGCTGGTGTGGCAGTGGCGGTGGCGACTTATGTAAATTATGAACATGGTGAAGATATTCACACTATCGTTTTATAAGATGAGATGAATCCGTCACGAAGTGATGAGGGTTTGATGGTTTGCAATATGCATATCAACCAAATTCGTTCTGACTTAGTCAGGAACACATCTAATCCACAAGGTTGAAGGATCACCAGTTGTGGAGGCAATATTGAAGTTGCTCTTAGCTGTAGTTACTGAGGAAGGAAACAGGAATGAATCAAGGGAGAAAATGTGGCGCTGATAATGTGATATGTTGTGCAAGATTGGAATGTACGCGAGATGCGATTCTCAAACTGGGAACTGTTCCCCGGTGAGCCCGTGGTAAAATAAAATCAACTAAAGAAAAGAGTTTATAAGGCAGCTCACCGGTAGGTAGGTAGGCGTTAGTCTAGTGGGGGTGGCTGAAATGCCAGTAGCACAACTTAGTGTGGCAGAACTTATCTCACGTGCAGCAGATTACGGTCATTGACAAGTGACATGATAGCAAAATCGCGACGCGAAAAAAGTTGAACTACGATTAATCAGGTAGCGGCAGCAAAGCTTTGAGAGTTCTCTTCATACCCTAGCAACGCTCTCTTACATACCCAGCATTACGGCTATTCGGTGATTCGGGCGTCTTCTTAATTTGTATCATAAACAGAGTCTCTTGCAAAAATGTCGTTCGGTGGCCAGACTCCAACCATTATTGTGCTGAAAGAGGGTTAGTAACCCAGATATTGGTTTGACCACATAGTGTACTGACAGAAGTGTATAATATAGGCACAGATTCTTCTCAGGGAAAAGGACAAATCATTAGCAATATTAATGCTTGTTTAGCTGTTCAAAACACCATAAGAAGTACTTTGGGCCCATATGGTGGGGATTTATTACTTGTGGATGAGAATGGACGACAAACTATCACTAATGATGGTGCTACTGTTATGAAGGTAAGCTTCTCGGCAGAAAGCTCTGTGAGTTCGGTATAGCTAGAACTCATAAACTGACTTCTGGGCGCAGTTACTCGACGTTGTTCACCCCGCAGCACGAATTCTTACCGATATCTCTCGATCACAAGATGCCGAAGTAGGAGATGGAACAACATCCGTCGTTGTTTTGGCAGGTGAAATTTTGAAGGAAATAAAAGACCATGTCGAACAAGGAGTCAGCTCGCAGACAATTATTAAGGGGTTACGAAGAGCTTCTACGATGGCCGTCAACAAAATAAAGGAGATCGCTGTTAATACAAGTGAGGGTAACCAGAGGGAAACTCTCATTAAATTGGCCGGTACTGCTATGAGCAGTAAGCTGATTAAGAGAAATACCGGATTCTTCACAAAGAGTATGGCTCCAAGGGTTTTAGTAAGACATAGCTAACAGCATATAGTGGTCGTTGATGCGGTTATGACATTAGATCAGGACGATTTGAACGAGAAACTCATTGGCATGAAGAAGATTCCGGGTGGATCCCTTACAGACTCACTGTTCGTCAACGGTGTTGCATTCAAAAAGACCTTTTCATACGCTGGATTCGAACAACAACCAAAATCTTTCAAAAACCCCAAGATTGTGTGCTTGAACGTTGAACTTGAGCTCAAGTCTGAGAAAGACAATGCGGAAGTTCGTGTCGAGCAAGTTTCGGAATACCAGGCTATTGTCGACGCTGAATGGCAAATTATTTACAACAAGATGGAAGCTTTATACAAGACTGGCGCAAAGATTGTCCTTTCCAAGCTACCAATCGGTGATCTTGCTACTCAATATTTCGCGGATAGAGATATTTTCTGTGCCGGCCGTGTAGGATCTGATGACCTTGAACGCATTATTCAAGCTACAGGAGGATCCATTCAATCTACTTGTTCCGATATTCAGCCAGAGCACCTCGGAACCTGCGGTTCGTTCGAAGAGCGTCAAATTGGTGGAGAACGTTTCAACTTCTTCGAAGATTGCCCAGCTGCCAAAACCTGCACATTAGTCCTCCGTGGAGGTGCTGAGCAATTCATTGCCGAAGTCGAGCGTTCCCTCCACGATGCTATCATGATCGTCAAGCGCGCCATCAAGAACACCACAATTGTTGCTGGAGGTGGAGCTTGTGAAATGGAAGTATCAGCCTATCTCCATCACTACGCCGATAACAATATCCGCAACAAGCAACAGGCAATCATCAAATCCTTCGCTAAAGCCCTCGAGGTCATTCCTCGTCAACTTTGCGACAACGCCGGTTTCGATGCTACAGATATTCTTAACAAGCTCCGCGTGGAACACAGAAAAGGAAACGTATGGGCTGGTGTTGATTTCATTGGTGAAGGTATTAGAGATAATATGGAGGCTTTCGTCTGGGAACCAGCGTTGGTCAAGGTTAATGCCATTCAAGCAGCAACTGAAGCTAGTTGTTTGATTTTGAGCGTGGACGAGACCATTAAGAATGAAGAGAGTCAACAACCACAAGCTCCACAAAGAGGCCTACCTCCGGGAGCAGCCCAGAGAGCATTGAGAGGTAGAGGAAGAGGCATGCCAAGAAGATAAACGACAAATGGTAGAGAGGGATCATGATTCATGAATGATGCAGGGGAAATTAAGGACAAGCAGAATTCGATGTATAGATGACTATTCTATGATATGATATAAAAGTGCTAGATGTATGACAAGTACATACTTGCACTCTAGAATTCAAAAGTTCACCCCCTCGCTTATGTCTGAGTTTATGAATTTAGTGATGAAACTTACTCCAGTGTTTCTGTGATTGGTCAGTGGTATACAGTTTTTCTGTGATTTATGATATTATTGTGTCTGCTATAATCTATGTCTACTCGAATATGCATCTCTTGCGTAAACACATTTTACGCTGATTCATGTTAGGATTGGATGCACAGGATGTTTTCCTGAACATCAAGACATAGCCTGCAAAGTATGTCGTAGATTATCGCTGATGTACCCCCGACCTAACAATCCAACAGTCCAACTGGAGACCGCTAGTCCTAATTATGGTCCTTGGCATACCACTCTCTGCATTTGTCACCAGCCGGTGGCAGGCCGTATGTATCTCGAAACCCGGTTTCGACTCCATCTATATAATGACTATTCATCATTCTCGTATTAAATACTATATCCAAAGTCGTCGATGACCCTCTATCTGACGCGCTCACCCCTCATTCCCATCCATTACCCCCCTGGAAATCATTTCCTGCGCCAATCTCGCCGTAGCCATAACATCATCATGAGATTTATGTCTTCCAGTTCCCATTGAATCATTCATCGTCTCGTCGGTATTTATATCATCCCCGGTATTATTATCCACTGTTCCTATATCTCCGATGTGTTCTACTTCTACTTCATCTTGATCCACAAGCATGTCATTAATATCTCCATCCACGCCTGTGCCCCCATCCCCAACACCTCCATCTACATCTACATCCCTGTTTTCCAACATCGCCTGAAAAGAATCCGTATCATGTTCATGATGCGCGTCAAAATGCGGATGCGGAGAATGTGATGTATGTGTGTAATCCATGATTTGAGGATCTATTTGCAGGTAATCTGTTGCAGAATGTCTATGCGATGGGGCATGAGATTGGGAGTGAGCTTGAGGTTGAGCTTGAGCTCGAGCCTGAGATTGTGTACGAGTTTCTGCGTGATGAAGTTGCATTTGGGAAATAGGTGGTTGATGTTGCTTGAGGTGAATAATGGGATTACTGTGAGGATGGGGAGAATGGGATGGTAGTCTGCGGTTAAGGACTTGTGGTGATACGGATGTACTGGTGTGGTCATGGTGGTGATGCATTTGCTGGAAATCATGCTGCAAATGGGAAGGTTGTGGTTGCTGATCATGGTGCTGCTGGTGATGATGAAGATCTCGACGGTGGTTGAGTTGTTGTTGCTCGGGTAAAGATAGTATGTTTGCATCTGTTACATCTTGACTTTTAGGAGTAGATTGACGGGCTAGCTGAGCTTGGTAATCTGGTTTAACAACTGGTGCCTTGCCCAATTCTTTGCATTCTCCACAGTTCTTAATTACTAGACTAACCGTCTCCTTGATTCTAATCCAGTGATATTTCTCGGCGATGATGGCTGTGGTTTTGTTGATTCCACCATGTTGTAGTACATGTATACCCCTCGCAATCTCGTATTGTTTTTGCGGGTCACTGATGACTTCCTTCCCTTTCAACATGAGCTTATCCTCGTCCGGTAGTAGTTTGTAATGCGTGGCCGCGCTACGAAGTCTGCTTTTTTCCGCGCGATCAGCACCCAATGGATATTCTTTATGTTTCAAGTAGAATTTGATTTTATCGAAGCGTTCTTCACTCACGAAGTCGGAGCCATCAGGCCCTAAATCCCGCCCATATATAATAGCATCAATGAATTGCCCTGGATAGCTCTTGAGATTTCCTGCACCCTTGACACGCCCAATACGCTTGAACCCTAATGCATCCCAAATGCGACAAGAAGCTACGTTTGTCTCATATACGAGATTGAAAACCGAGTATGTGTAGCCGAGAAGTGGAGCCCAGTGGAGGTAGCTTTCGCCAAGTAGACGCCCGACACCTCTGCCTCGTGCAGCGTCCGTAACAAGAAATCCGGCGTTGCAGATGTGGGAGCTACGTCCTGGATAGTTGGGCTTGATATAATAACTACCTAGACATTCTGTTGCCCAATTCTTGCCTTCGACTACTTCATCCGCGGACTCGATGTTACCAAGAAGCATTACTGCACCGAAGTTTTGAAACCAATAAGATGCAAACTTCTCTGGTGGCATAGTATCAAGCATAGGATATGTGTCACCTAATTCGACTTCCTTTTTGAATTGGTCACTGAGATATGCGAGAAGCGAGGAAGGAACCCTGTTTTGTGACGCGAACGGCACTATTGTAGCGACTGTCACTCGGTCACGTAGAGTGACCTGTCGAGGAAAAACATCGAGGGGTAGTGCGGGGTTTGTATCGTGAGGATCTGGAAAAGGTGCGGACCCTGAAGTTCGGTAGATTGTGGGAGCGCTGGGATCATCGAGCATGGCAGGCATTTTGAAAGCTAGTCGGTGACGCGAGGATTAAAGGGGTCCAGGGGTAAACACTAATGACATCGTTAGATCAACTACAGCTTCTTAATTCGTCCATCTCAAGACGACGAACCCAAAAATAAGAATACCACACTCGCACGATCACCACTGTGCAATTCTCAGAATTATTCAAAGAGAAATATCAAAAAGAATTCAAAAGGTTTGAAATCTAAGGTTTTGTATTGAACTATTCGTATATTGAGAGTGACGAAATGTGCAACTGTTGTTCTAGAACGACAACTGAAGTTGTCAAGAAGAGGGCGTCGGAGAGGTGGGGGATTACGTAAGCCACGTCACGAATCCACCGATTTGGTAGATCGCCGAGATCGCATGATTTGTGAGAGATTCATCAATACAACAGCCAATTCAGACCAAATTCATTTGAAGAGTGAATCTTCAGGTTTTGATCTTCGAGTTGCTTTACTCTTCAAACTATCCTAATATCAGCTGCCGGAGGTACGCATTGTATAGCTCAACAATTTCATGCCATACAGACTCGCACCGCAAAAGAAATGATTGAGCTAGCATCAGTGCCATGAAAGTGTGATGCGCTCTACGACGGCGATTGGAATGCTTTATAGACCTGTAAAGCGCCTTCCACTGATTGGATGATCCCAAACATCACAGTCAAGAAAAGGACCCAGATTGCCACCCAGAATGTGTACCATTGCACCCGCTTCCTCCTATCAAACCACCATTGTTTGATGGTACCTGGCTCTGCCTCATCGAAAAGTTCTTTCAAAGTAGATAATCTTTCGCCCCAGTACTGGAAGTTCTTGATACGTCTATCTTCCGCCCGGAGACGGCCGCACTGGATCGCTTTTTTATCGAGCCTGTGCGAAGTACTGACTTTCTTGAACCAGCTTCTACAATCCTTATCATTTTGAGGGAATAGAAGCGCTAGGCTGCGAACAGTTTCTTGTATGAAATCCGCTGGGAACATAGTGCTTCTTAGGTTAGCTATCGCCTACACGGTGTTGCAAAGGAACAAGCTCTTAACACACTTATTGCATTGACATTCCAGAAAAGAAGCATGATGAAATATTGCCAATTTTCTGTCATCATCCATCAACCGAAGGTGATCCATCATATTTGAAGTCCATTCTATCTCAATCCCAGCAATGCGCTCAAGGTTTTGAGCATTGAATCCCTTTTCCAACTTCACTTCGTCTTGCCCCGGTGGTGGCTTAAACGATCGGATTAGAAAGTCCGACAGAGAACCGGAGGTCCAAACTAGCTGTTGTCGACCTGTGAACCCATACTTCAATTCGCCAAAATCCATCATCAGAACGAGACGTGCTGCTAGGTCAATAGTTCCATTGGCTAGCTTCTCCCCATCAGTAGTCTGTCTGTGAGTTGGCAATGTAGTCATCAAGACTTGTATGATATCTTCTCGTGATACGCCGCTTTTGAAGTGCTCAAAAGTTTCGATAATATCACGGTGTGTTCTCGCCGAAATATGCCTTCCTCCATCATGCAAAGCCTGATTGCACTGCTCGGTATAATAAGCGAAGTACAGTTCATAATCAAGAACATCACTACGCCCTATTGCTGTACTCACGCCGACACCCGTGAAGAGTTGACTAACAATTGCACATTTGGCTTGGATGCTCAACGAGTCAGGAGTTATTTGAATAGAGGTATTCAAAGGATCTGTATTCGATATTGGAGCCGACATTCTATGGCGGCTATTTCGACTGACAAATGGAGAATGACGGAACACAATTACACGCAATTAGAGATCAAAACTTTCGAACCCTTTCTGATCGAATTGACGATTTTTTATGTGGCTGATCTCACCAAGGGTTTCCTCCGCCCTTTTGATTGGGTAGTTAAATTTGAGGCTGTCGAGGTCTTCACTCGATGTAGCAAGTGCCACGATTCATTACCCCACCTCTGCTTATTTTCAATTTCCTGTAACTAGACTACAGAAAAGAAAGACTGCGTTGTAAGGCTCAATTGTTGTATAATAATTGCTCATTGCTCATTGCTCATTGTATATATATACTTTTGAGTTGTAATTGCGTTGAGCAAAGGAGGCCTGCTACTTACAATATGCTGCCAGCACGTACAACAGTAACTTAGCTTCATATTTGTCATTACATCCGACATGGATGTTTTCGATTGGCGTAAAAGGCTACTCGGACTCCCTTATCCAGACGCAGAAAAGTCTGTCGGTATGTTCTATCGTAAAATGGGTCTTGAAAATTGTTGGGAGGTTGTAGGACCAGCCAGAGCCGAATTTGAGCAGATTGCAAAGGAAATCAAAGATTTTCTCGAAAAGAACTTCGAACCAACCTCTATTCCTGTTCTCTGGACTATGTTTATGATAGGTCGATCAGTGACCACAGCAAGGCCGACCATATTGTTCTGTTCGAAGGAAGCTAACTGTCGGAAAGCGGTACGAAAGGTCATCGAAAAGAGTGGAATATTGAAGAAGTTCCCCTCTGTCAGAGTTGGAGATGCCGATCGGCCACCAGACTTTGATTGCCTCGTCCCCCTAGCTTTGTGTGAGAAATGTGATTTGGTGCCAAACTCGCAAAGCATCACGCCAATTCCAAGCATCACATCGTATCAACTGCCTACACTGCATCCGTCAAATCGGACCTTTCGTATCCTCGAAATACTCCCTGAAAAAAAAGGAACGACGATTCAATGCCTTTTACGGACCACTTTGATCGGTGAACCACGTCAATATATTGTGATATCAGGAAAATTTGCGAATCATAGTAACTTCAACACATCTTTAATCATAAATGGTGAAGTGTGCGAGGTCCCTATAAATGTCGGTTATATCCTGGAGCTTTTCTGGTCCAAAGCTTCTGTGTTGAGCATCTGGATTGACCAACTCTGCGTCGACCACCACAATATTGAAGAACGACAAGACCAACTTGAACTTTTGCCACAAATCAAGAATCATGCGACCAATATCTTGTTGCCGTCGGAAATACATCAAGATCGTGGGCCAGATGCATTGGTGTATCGAGAAAAGGCCAATTTGTCCAATTGGATATTCACTTGTAGATATGATCAAGATTGCTTCACCTTATGGAAAGCAACAACAGGAGGGATTCTCTATTTGGACAATAAATCATATCTAACAACAGTCTCACATGGTTTTACAAACGATTTTGAGACAGTGCGAGATGTTCCCGTGAGTACAGTCCAGTCAGCAACTAGTATGAAGCTTGCGACAGACAACAAACATCCTGAGTTTGAGTACAATATACAAGAATGGTCAGCCTCAGACCTTGATGAAGGACAATCGATAAATCTGACAAGTGGAATGCGTCTGAATCCGGAGTCCTTGAATTTCGATCTTAATGATGAGCAATCGATGGACATACTAGGTATTCCAAGCTTGAGCACTTCATATACTCCACCATTCGCTCGCTTCGATTTACCAAAAAGGCCCATTAAATTCGGAAGCTCTATAGCGGAAGAAGGTTCAGCCATCAATTCTGGAAGCTATGCAGGAGAAAAGGGCTCAGCCACCAATTCTGAAAACTATGCAGGAGAAAAGGGCTCAGCCATAAATTCTGGAAGCTATGCAGGAGAAAAGGGCTCAGCCATGAATTCTGGAAGCTATGCAGGAGAAAAGGGCTCAGCCACCAATTCTGAAAACTATAAAGTAGAGGAAGGTTTACCCACTGAGTTTTCGGGCGCCACATTCTATCGAGATCCACTATCATTATTCCCAGCCTTACCTTCGTACAAGATCACCCAGCATGGAATGGCTAAGAATAGTTCTATCAATAAGTTGGTCGCTGGTGGTAAGCTAAGTTATGGAAAACTTAAGTCAAAGCTGATTCTTCAAGCAGTAGCTTCAGATAACCCAACCAAGCTCGACCCACACCCTCAGATTGAGATGGACAGAAGATTGCGATACCTAGAACTTCACGGACTTAACGGAATACATCAAGATTTACCGGATAGTCAAGATCCCGGCCAAATCCAACTTGCTCCGATAGGTAGGGTCGTGAAATCAGAAACCGCTGACCATGGTCTTGACTATGTCTTGATTGAGCTCGACAATTTAGCCTCCCATTCTGTCAGCCCAACAAGTTCCCGCAAAGGCTTCGAAGACATGGCACTCCGCTCTGGAAAGGTATCAACAGCACCTACAGACACTATGATTTACGCGGTGACTGGTTCATCTGGGGTTATCACAGGTCATCTCTCAGGAACTCCCATCTTCATGCAATTGCCTGGGATCAAAGCTTCACAAGAACTCTGGAAGGTTTCACTTCCTCTCGGGCTACAACCAGGAGACAGCGGCTCGATAGTTGTTGACGCCGATAATGGGAATATCTTGGGGCATATTGTATCTGGCAGTCCACAACAAGGTGCCGCATATGTAATTCCGATTTATCAAATACTGAATGACATCAGAGAGCGGTCGAATATCAATCCTACTTTCGCATTACTGAATCCTGAGCAGACTACCCTATGGGATGAAGGCGAATTGTACTCATATGACCGCTATTTGGGATACACACATACAACTGTTGAATCAAGTGATAAGGAGCACGAAAACACATAATGAATTCTGAAGCAGATGGGCCTCATTTGGGTGACTTAGATGCTGATATACGATGTGGAGCGCTGCAATATTCAAGGAAGATTACAGAGAATCCTTCAGGCATAAATTTATTATCCATATTTAGTGCAGCTGGTATTGCTATTGGCGTTGTTAATAGAGGCGAAATAGTTCACGATGATTTCTTCGGGCGTCTTGATGCAATTTGAAGATTGCTATCCATCGCAGTACCGCTTTCCGCATCGAATATCTCCCGAAAACCTTTACAGTAGCTATAGGTGTGATTTTCTAGTCTACGAAATACTTCCAGAAATTTCTAGAGGTATAGTCTGTTACACTTCAAAAACTACCCTCGCGGATTGGTTCATCGCTCTGGAACTTCTGCTTCACCTACCAACGACCTTAGTCTGCTGGGTAAAAAGAAGTAGGGGTCCAAGACTCAAATCAATTGTTCATGAGTCTACGATTAGATATATCTACAATAACCATGTGTAGAACATTGCGGGGCTAGTGATTGAGCGAGTCACGAGAATGCGCTCAACACTAGAATGAGGGCACTTCGGGTCACTCGATGCAGGAATTAAATGTAGATCCCTCTAGTATGGAACGAAGCTCTACTTCCTAGTTCAAAAAATGCCAACTCTGATACTGTATAGGTAGTGCTGCATTCTGGCGCAGCATATCCGGCTCCTCCTTCATTTAGATTTGAAATCTCTGTCGGACTCGCAGTTAAATCGATAATGTCAAGCTTACGACAAGATATTAAGGGATTGTCGAATGTTCATCCAAGAATTGTCAATCTTTGGAAAGGTTGAAGGGTAAGCAGAAATTGGTTTGATACGTTGGAGGCATTGCACAAAAAAAGATGGCCAGGTCTTTTCAAGAAATACTATAGTAGAAAAATGCTGCTAGATACTAAGATAAGACACTGACATGAGATATGGCTCCATAAGACTTTCACACTTCCAATTTCTTACTATTGTACACAAGATCGCAAATCGGAGATGCTTTCAGATACTTACCAGACTAACGTTCAGCTTGTTGTTTTTGAGCTAACAGATCAGGAAGTATGAATGAACCCACTGAAGCCGACACTGATATCTAATGCCATCTTTCGCATTTCCCTGGTTCATGGATGTATAACATCGTTAGAATCACTCAGAAAACATGTACCAGGTACTGTGGTAGTTACGCCACTTACCAGTGTGCATGATAGTAGAGTTCTTCTAGTCCTCACATAGTTCCTCCGTAGCACAACCGTATCATGATAATATCATACGTTTGACTCAACTTAAACGAATGCACTTAATAACCGTATGTGATAGAGTGCTACCGTAAGTAGACCAATTTCAAGCAACCCGCTGATTTTACGGCGAATTTTGTATCTTCCCTCTCAACTTTAGCGATTTGAAATGAGGAAATTTTGTAGTGAATAATCTCGAGCGAGATACATTGTTTCTATTTGACCTTTATGTAGTATCAATATCTACCTACCTAGTAGGTACCGAATGAAATCCTTAGTGAAAAACATGAATACATCACCCGATTGTTGAATCTATTCTAGGAAATAATCTAGACTTTCTTTCATCTTGATTATTACCAGTATGTATCTTGCTCAAGATTTTTGATATACTACGTACCCAAGTTTTCGAGCGCAACATTGGGCAAGGCGAAAGTACAGTTTTTTCAACCTCTTTACTACGGTCCCAAGTTTATTGACGGCGATATATTCACTTAACTCCATCTGTCGTACTTGCACTAGCGCGCTCAAGAAAGCCATACAATATAGATACGGTCGACAACCAGACTGGTTCCAGAGGTTTAAATACTTCAAAGTATCCCATCACTCCACCACTTCTTACTCTTGCAGAAACTTCAACATCCAACTCTTAACTCTTCTCATCCAATTAACAACAACCACATCATCGTTCACTTTCAATCGAAATTTCAGAGTGCTATTCTGCTACGCCAAGGTAGAGAATTAACACGCAAACTCTTCTCACCAAATTCAAAAACACAATCTATCAAGATGTCAACACCATGGACTGTTCTAGATCATCCCAACATGGTAATATTCACGCGACCAAACTTCACAAAGCATACTACGAACAACGGGCCAGTTCCATGCAGAACTTGCAGCACATTAATTCCATGCAGAGGATTTGTCTGCGAATGCACTGATCACGAATACTACTGTTCTGAATTCTGCAGAGGCCAGCACTTCAGCTTTTGCATATCCAACATTTCCAGACATATCGCTCGTCCTACACCTCACCACAAACTCGCACTTTACTTTCCACCCAATACCGAGAACCCTCAAATATTCTGGTGTCCCTGTCCTTTGATCAATCAGAACCCATGCGTTCCTTCTTGCGACACCTGTATTGTGTGCGAGAGCTGTCACGATTGTCATAGCTACGATCTTCCGCTCCCTGCCCCCATTTTGGCCCAAGGCGCAAACACCACAGCCAATTTACAAGACGATCTTGTGAGCTGGCTCATCACTCCCGGAAAAGAAGATCCTGCAGGCTGGACACCAGGTACCGTCATGGGCTTGGAGGAGGGAGATATTCTCGATCAATGCGGGGAGAATAAGTGTATTCAGAAACTCATAGGATGGGAACGAGGTTGGATCGGACCATTTGTACTTATTGGAGATTCGTGGGCGGATTGCAATGGGAAGACGATGAATAGAGATATCAATATGGATGATATGGAAACGGCGAAGAAGTTTTTTCTCTCCACGTCACCTAAAGATCTGGTTGCTGCGGAAGTAGCCGTTGCAGAACGCAAGGAAAGGGGTGTCTTTGAGATGAATGATATTTTAGGCCGTTTATTGAATGGGAAATAAGGTGGCATGGAGTTGAATAGTTGATTTTATGAAGGATGACTTTCGGAAAAGGATATGTTCAATGAATTTGAGCAATTGGGGGATGGGAAGGGGAACAGGGGCCTCAAATGACGCGATGGTTTTCCACGTTGGACAGTAAACCTGAATGAATATCAATATTCTTCTTTTAACACTAATGAACAATCGTGAAAGTCCGACAACTATACGGGAGAGAAATAATGTATCTCCTTTGATAACTAAAAGTGACATGTATCTCATCCGTAACCCATGAAAACAAACCCTACGACAGCGTAACACTGGACAAATCTCAAATATGGTAATACTTCAACAACAATTCCACAATCAGACGTTTCATATGGATGTCAAGTCGTGACACAGATTTTCCGTTCCCAAAACATTCCCTCTCCCTCTCTTCATTTTGAAGCCTAGGAAACAGTCACAATACCAAACGCAGATAAGTGACACTGTAAAATCTTCCTACAAAGATACCAGAAAATTCAATACACATGTACAGTCTAGAGAGTTACCTAACCATCCTCATCATTCTATATATCTTATCTCATCAATCTACAGGAAGTCTGAACTTCGCTATAAGTATTCAAAACCGTTGCTCTCGCGGAGTTGTCATGATTGATGTCCTGACTACCTCGGATCCCAGAGTTGACGTGTGCTGTTCAAGATGTGCATATGATCCTACGGGTAGCTTTAAAATAATCCACGGTGTCATGGTAAATAGCGTTAAATCTGACCTGCCATGTAGAGGAGAACAGAAATACCACACAGATCTCATCTCTTGATACCAACATCCAATGTCCATTCAACCAAATGGGAATGCAGGTGCAGGTAATCGATGTGGCCAAACCAAATTGATCACCTCAAAATCGCCTATTGGCTATTTACCGAGTCACCCCCTGTCATACATAATTTTTCCAACAGCCACCAACAACAGCAACGTACTTCCCGCATGATAGCTGAAGATATCTAATGGTAATAGTAAGCTTGGGAGTCCATATGCACAAGTACTTATGTATCCATGTATCTCTATGAGCTGCGCCTCGAAAGTTACGAGGAAGATTAATTATTGTCTTTCTCCAGACTCTATATTTCTTGGAGATACTTCGTTTCAAAAACCATAATCAGCGGCTCTAAGCTTTTGAATTTGAGATTCGCCTCCGAAAACCCCTTTATCCTAACCAAAATCTATTGTCCTGAGCCCATGTTTCGCCCGAACCCACTATGGCCCCCACTCTTCGCACAGTCGCAACTTTCGAAGAATTTTGCCTTGTAGTAGATTGCCTGTGGGAATCGTATGCTGATCCCTATAACCCGTTTCTGGGTATCATTGTCCCGATCAAAGAACCTACTGCCGAAGGAGTAGCTACTGCAGTCCAGGGGCTCAAGGAACGATTCTGGAAATCTCATCAAGCGGATAAAGATAGTTTTTGGGTGTATATTGTTGATGAAGATGATCAAGGAGAGGACGCTGGAAAGATCTTAGCGGCAGCAAATTGGCTATTTCATGAAGTGAGTCCGTTTGGTGAGAAAAAAGATGAAGAGAGTGGCGAAATTGAAGGCAATCATGGCAACAAGAGTGACGAAACCGGTAATAGGGAGAAAAAGGAGGACAATAGCCTTATATCTTTGTGGCCCGAAGGCGAAGCACGCGAATTTGTAAAGACGGTTCTTTTTCAAGTATTCGGGATGAGAGCGACAAGGATGACAAGACCTCATGCTCGTGAGCAGATTCCTCAAGTTCCCTTTCATTTCCCTTAAAGAGTATTACCTGCCATGTTCTTCATGCTAACATTTCCAGAACTCTCCATGATGTTCACCCTCCCCAACCACCGTGGTCGTGGTTACGGATCTTCACTCATGGATTATGGAATGTCCAAGATCTCAGATATGGATGTAGAAGCACTTGTAGAGGCCTCTGCTGAGGGAATATCTCTGTATGAGAAATATGGTTTCAGAACCATTCATAAGGTGATCGTAGATACCACTTACAAGAACGGAAAACCAGGATTAATTTGGCGTAAAATGGCGCACGAGTGTAGAGGAAAGACTACGTGGTGGATGTGGAAACCAAAACCGAGTGATGGAGTACTTTATACGCCAGGAATGGAGTTACCGTGGGAGGAGAAGTAAGAAAGTTTGGGTCGATAGATATGGGATGTTTTAATGAAAATATGTTTGAAACCTGAAAAGTTGCAAGAGGGGATTATCAGGTCGAGTGATCTGAGTGTTCTATTGCCTTTTCTTCAGGGGCACCCTAGAGACAGGGTGTGAAGTTGTAGAGTAGAATTGGGCAACTTTGCTGCTTGGCATCGATACGGAAGAGAGGTTGAGGATATTAAAGTTGAAAGCAACTATACATATTGAACTTGGGATGCTTATCAATATTCGTATCAGTAGTTTGACTCTTCCGGTACATCACACATTTCGGTACCCTGTAAGAGGAATAGGAGGGCGTAAATTCAAGGAATTTATCATCTTCTATCAACCTCCTTCCTGGAGGAAAGCTTTTCATGTAGTCTCCATCTCCTTTGCAAAATAAGAAGTCTGACATGACAGCTAGTAAGACAAGAGTCAGTAAGAAATATCAAGTATTATAAGAACGTTCTTCTCTTGAAAACCTCCCAAGAACTAGCTTCATCTCCACCTCCTATTAGTAAAGTTGTAAGCAAGCATTAATGAGCACAGTCCACAAACAGAACAGATCAACTTCGTGTGCACAAACCACCATGGTTAAACTTCGGACTCGGAATAACCATCCCCCTTCTCCGACCATCCAACCACACTTCCCAAAACCCCAAAGCACATGATCCTGTTGCACCTCGAAAGTTTCTTGTTGCATATCTGAAATAGTTGATTTTAGATTTTCCAAGTTATTTTCTAAACTTCGAGGTTAATTTCAGGAGAGATCTCAAAGTTGATTTTTGGGGAGATTTTTGACATCTTGGAATTTTGCTTCAAGGTTGGATTTGTTTGAAAGAATGAACTTTGCTGATGTTAGTGAACAGGTTTTCTATTATTTAAACAACTTTTTCCTGTAATAAAAGTTGATTTTGTATTGTTGGAGGTTGATGAGGGAGAAGGCGGAAAGGGACGATTACTTCATGAGAGTTGATATATTTTGTTGTTATTTTGGGATATGAGAGGTGGTTTGGGAGATGCAATTTACAATAGTTCAATTTGTGATGATATATCTTTCAGCGTCTTAGCATATTATAAATTTAAGTGTAGGTGAACATTGTGGTTGTGGGGAGACATGCATGGAATCTTGGTCATGAACACCATTTGGATAGACTTGAAGCCTAAGTTACATTCCAATCACAATTGAAGGATTGAGAAATACATCAGCTCTGATAAAGCAATAAACCACAAGATGTAGGATAGACATAGGAAAAGAGAAAAGATAATCAGTGAACAAAAGACTACTGGCACTTGAGACAGCTAGCTGCAGTCCCAAGATGTTGGAAAGAAAAGAACTTTCCTTACAGTATACTGAGAAACTGATACATGGAGAAACGTTTCTGAGGATAAAGACAACTAATTAATCACAGTTCTGCAAAGAAATAAAGCTCAAGCGACTGAATTTCCAACATTTTCTACGCCCTCCAAGTATAAAATACAGACACTCCAGACTTCAATCTCCTGGAACTAAGCGAGAAGGAGAACATAAAGGAATTAATCATGAGAAGAATATGGAGATCTGATAATAAAGGGGCATGGAGAGAATAACTGCAAAAATCCATCATTTTATTAAGCAAGCATATCTCAGAGACCTTCTTCTTATCCATTTCCTATCAATGCTTCTTGTCAAATTTTTCTCTCCTCTTTCAAACAAAACCAGTCTTTCTACTTCACATACAAAATTACAAAATCACAAAACTCCACAACTAAAAATCCTCACACAAACATCCCATACATCACATCACACATTCAGCATTCTTTATCCTCCAATTTTCAAATCCACATTCCTCAACCAACATCAACCACTACCAACTTCCAAAAAGTTGTAGTTCCATAACAACCCATCCACCCCATCCCAAACCTCTCCTTCCTCGGAACAACAATCCCCCATCTCCGAACCCTAGCCGAACCAACTACAGCTCTTCAAAACACCTGATTTCAACTCTTTCCCTTCCTTGTTGCATATCTCAAAAGTTGAATTTCTTAATTCCAAACCAGAGAGTTGTTTGATTCCTTCCACGAAGTTTTAAAATAAGTCTCGAAAAAGTTGTGAGTATGAAAAAGTTGATTTTTTTGAGATTTCTGAGATTTGGGAATTTTAAGTTTTTGGAAAGGAGAGGAGAGAGATAGAGACATAAGGGATTGAGAAAAGTTATTGGATTCATGGGGATTGTAAGGGTTCTGTTGGAATAGTTGATTGAGTTGGGGGATGAAGGGGGTTTTGGAGGGGAAAAGGGGGAGAATTTTCGGGTGGGGGGTTTTCTGTGAGAGGGGTGGAAGATTATGATAACTTATTTCCATTGTTCTTTTTTATTGAGATATAAATCAAGGCTTTTAACTTATAAATGCAATGTTTTATATACTCGAAAGTTGAATGAGTATAAAAAGCTGAATATCTCACGGAATTGTCCCCTCTTCTTCTTCTTCTTCAATATCCCCTCCTACATCTCATTCAACCACCACCATCTTTTAAACTAACTCCCTCCTTACCACCCTTACCACCCTTCCTCTCCCCAATAAACGATAAACATAAAATCCTCCAAACCATCACCATCATCACCATCTCAAATTCTTCCTTACCCTCCTTTATCAACCAAACCAAAAAACTTCATCACACTTCAAACCCAAACCTCAACCACCTGGTGCTCTCCTACCACAATAATCACCCTCCAATAAAGACCAATATCTCCCAAATCCCCATTTTCAACACTTCACGTTCATGAATGTAAGATTAGTTCAATCCATGTCACCGACAGAATCACTATTATCGAAATCCACTCATACGCGTAATCTAAAAGGAGCACTCATGATAATGTTGCACTCAATTTTATCACATTATATACATCCCAAACACAACTATCATTGCTAGAGCTCGATTCAAATGTATGACCTCGCTCTATCATGGGAGCGAGGACTCTGAGTGTACATGCATGAATAGAGCACATGAAATCATGAAGTCAAGATACACATAACTAGGACATATACTAAATTATCTGTATCATTACAACTAGCTAAAAAAAGTACCTTAATATCATGTTCGCCAGCAAATCTCCATTCGCATACATAAAAAGTGGTATCATGTCATATCATACCACTCCAGCCAATTTTCCCTATTCTAGACATACCGCAGAATAACAAAATAAAACAAATAGAACTATATCGACAGATATGTTTGATAGACAGACGGACTTCTTTTCACCCTTCTGTCTATCCAGTTTCCCATTCATACCATGTATATGCCTTCCTATCCAATCCACCCCATTCCCAGTCCCCAAATGGTATAGAGCGTTACAGTACAATATGGTATAAGGTATCCGGCATCCAACTCCAGAAATCCAGACAGTCATTAGTGAAAGCGTAATAAATCAAGCAAGCGAATCCACTTCCTCCCTCTTACTGCACATATCCTCTCTTTCCTCTCCCTCATCCTCAGCTTCATCTTCTTCCTCCTCCAAAAATCCTAATCCACTATCAAATCTTCTCCTCTTCTTCTTCTCACTAGCTCCCACTCTACCACTTGATCTTCTTCTCGCCATTGTCGCATCTAGAAACTGACCTTTCTTGACAATCCGGGCTTTGATTTGCAGATTCCTTGTGAATTCTCCAGCTTCCGTCTCACTGGACTCATTCTCACTCTCCATGTATCCCTTTGCGGAATCCCCAATACTCGCGATTTGTTTCAACAATCCATCAACTGCTTTCTTTCCTCTTCTCTTTTCCTTGCTGACTAGTCCCTTTAATTGTTCAGCGCAGTTCTCAAGATCTTCGTTTTCGGTCTTCAAATCCGAATTTTCTTGTCGCAAGTTCTCAACCGCCTTTTGAGTGTTCTTCAGAATAGATGTTGTTCTTTCCAGTTCTTCCTGAAGCTCTGCTATTCTCTCATCGCGTTCTGTTAAATCCTCGCTGATTCGTCGATCTGAGAGAAGGATTTGTCCATCTTTCTCATTGAGAAGATTCCGGAGGTTGGCAGAAGTATTCAAAGCAGCTGTTAATCTTGCCGAAAGTTCACCCACAATCATGTTCTTTCCTTCAAGCTCCATAGCAAATGCATTTGCCCTGAAAATTTCGTGTTGGAGTTGATCGTCTAGGTTGTGAATCCCACGTTTCAAATCATCCTCGACGACTTTGTGCTCCTTTTCGATTTTCTCGACGAGATTCTCCAACCCAGAGACCTCGCTTCGGTATCCATTCAGTGCACTTTGGAGACGTGAGTTTGAGATTTCGTTTTCGGCGAGTTCTTTACTCATTCTTGAAACAGCGGTTGTAACAGCGGATAACTCCTTTTGAACATCTTGCAAGGCATCAACACGAGCGGCCAGTTGTCGTCTAAGAATGACCTCTTGTGCATGATACTGATCGATGGTTTCATCTTGTTTTCTTGCTTCCTCGACCAAGGTCTTGAGACGTCCCAGTAACATACTCAAAAGTTTGTCATTTTCAAATCCTTCGGTTTCTTCTCCAGGATTAAGATATTCGTACTCGAGTCTTGCGTTGCGGAACTGTTCGACAACAATCTTGATGGTGGCTTCCGGGTCGGTGGAGAATCCTAACGAGGTTACTTCGTTTGAGAGAGCATTGAATGATGCCTCCCTTTCAAGAGCTTGAGCTTGAGCAATAGTAAGAGTTGTGAGAATCGAATCAAGTGCTGAGTCGAGTGATGAGCTATCGTGAGATTGGTCAGATGGGATGTATGACATTAACTTTTGGAAAAGACGATATTCATGATCCTTATTCAGTGCCAAAGTGGAAGTAAGACTCTTGGTCTCGGATTGCAAGTGAAGAATTTGAGCCTCGAGCGTTTGATTGAGAGGATCCGGGAAGTCGGCTTGTGTCGACATTGATGCATGGGAAGGCTTTTGTGAAGATGTATCAGCTATTGTGGCAGGTGGCGACGGAGGTGTAATATTGTGCGTGTTTGTCAGGCCATCGGAAGTGGAAAAGGGACGTTCAAAAGTTCCCATCCTATGTTCGTCGTATGAAGAGTCGATCACCATGCCAGTATCATCGTCATGATCTCCGGCAACACCCATACTGATACTGTGATCATCATCGTCATCGAAATCGAATGGATCCTGTGTTCCAGTTTGCCAGTCATGTTGAGCGTTCGAGCGTTCTTCCTTTTGCGATAACTCTGCTCTTAGCTCCTGAATCTCTTTTTCCATTTCCTGAAATCTTTCCATGATAACAGGGTTTGCACAAGTAGTTGTGCCTGCCTCGAGTCCTAATTGGCTTGTAACGTCATGTTCATCCTGGATACACTGTAATTCGTAATCCTTTTCCTCCAATTCCTTCTTGAGTCGAAATATTTCCGATTTTCTTGCTTTGGCCTCATGTTTCTTCTCCCAGTCAATCTTATTGGTCTCTTCACTCAGTCGGTTCCTTTTCATACGCCTTGTAACTCTGCCATCCAACACTTGTCGCAGTGGGGCAAATTGTAATTCTCCGGAGAATGGCTCGTTGTCCTGCCGACGATCGAGTTGTCGCTTTACAGGTGCTGAGTGTCGACGGTTTGACCTCGCAGATGAAAGAGAAGATTTTCGAAGGAATGGTGTCAAGCCACAAGAAGATTCGTGAAGAAAGTTTGAACCTGGGTCGGAATATCTTACCTTCTTCTTGGGTTTTCTTGATCTGGGTGTTGCGGGTAAAGGTATTGATACCTCGATCATAGACGGCGTAGAAGCTCGAGAATTTGATCGTGATTGTGTCTCTGGACCAATACAACTTCTTCTTTGTCTCCGTAAAGCAATAGGTTGATCAACCTCCATAGCCATGGCTACGTCGTTCTCCGCCATACCCTCGATGTATGGGTGTTTACCTTGATCAACAATTGATATGTTTGTTATCTCACTGAAAAGCAAGGTGAATACTGTACAGTGTGTTGCGTATCTGATTAACAAAATGCTCGAAGCTTCATAGAATCAAAAACAAAAACACGAAGCAAGAACTTAAAGGCAACATGGGCTGAAATAATGTTAGAGAGAATGGGTCGAGTGAATTCGGGTCTGAATATAAAATGCGAAATCAAATCAAGATGAATTTTAATTGTTTACATCCTACCGTATTTGGATTAGCGTCGTAGCTATTTCCTCTAATACCCCACCGTATCAAAAATTGGTTGGATGGCAGAGGGACAACGGGGCCAAATTGTATATGGACACGACAAAAAAGCATGATACAGTACAGTATACAGCATGGTGTGTTGACTCATGAGTGGAGAGTAAAAGGGCTCAAGGTAGGATGGCTGGATGGTGGAATCTCGAGAACTCTTCCTTAATGGTAATGTTTGGCCGTTGCTGCAGGGCTGCAGCTGGATCCACGACATTAAGAGCATGGGGTACAAGCTTTCGACGACTCCACCGAAATTTCCAGATGTGCAATGTTGAATCCTTGCACAGAGATGTTGAAGGGTACTTCGATGTTGATGATATTGACGCCGTTGATACGCATACAGAGTAGGAAGAGGATGGAAGAGAAGAAAGATTCAGAAACAAGCTTGATTTCGTTGGTGGTGGTGGTTCCTTATCCGGTCGGATAAACGTCGGAACATCGACACTCGCGAGATTCTGAACAACCTGATTGAGCAACAACGGGAGGAGTCCGTTGGTGGGATGTTGCTTCCGTCGTGTCATACTAAGTGGTTTGGGCGTACCTCCGTTGGCGTTGGGTATTTTCCTGCAGACATGGCGTACGTTTGCTAAAATTCTACTTGAGGTGAACTTCCAGCTTTGAATCAAAAACGAAATGCCTTCATTGGAGTAATTCTTCGCATCGATGAGAAGTTTCTCTCCCATAGGGCTTCCGGTACAATCATCTGATCTCTTTTGGCCACATTCACAGATCCGCTGCATATACGTGCATCAATATCCAGATTCTACGTTCTAATCTTCTGTTATTAGACTTTGCTAGAAACGAGGGTTAAACTTCTAAATCACACGTCGAAGTTGCTTTAGAAGAGTATATACAGCATTTGTTGGCACCAGTGCAGTGCAGTTCAGTGATGGATGCCATCTTACTTCTGTGCATAAATATAGAGACGGTACTCGTATTATTCTTTTTACTTTTGTTTTCTCCATGTTGCTCGAGGAGAAAGTTTCTCTAAGGTCGGAATTTCACATCCTTGTTTTTTATTTTTCATTTGATCTAACCCCCATGAATCTTGGTATACGATTGCTGCTTCACCCAGATATATCTCTCTCCATCACTGCAAATATAACATTGGCACATTTTTTCCTGTTGCGGAAGTATGGAATTCGAAGAAAAAATATCATAGGTCAATGAATTAGTAAATGGTATGATTTGGTGTCAGCTCAATGTTTGTCACATACTCCTCTCTCTGACAATCATAGGTAAATATCACCCCGATTCTGCCCAGTTAGCTCAGTTACTCACCTTAAAGCTTTTTCAAATCTAACTGCCTTCAAAAATCCCACAATACCTTTATTACTCAATCCTCCAAATAATTATTTCAATCCATCAGTAGATCCGAGACATAAGGGCGCATTATATTGACCACCGACAATTTCTCTTCGAGTCTGCTTCGAAATCCGTGAATTTCAGAAACGTGGCAATGTCACAAGATTTACCAGCATCTAGGCTAATACCACGTACCGGTTCAGGTTAGTCAGTGAGATGAGGCTGACGGCAGATGGATTCTGTCTTATCCTGTAATGAAACTTTCAACATCCAAATCGTACTTTAAAACTTCAATGGTTGAAGTTGAATAGAACGATGACGGACACTGAAATGAACGACGTCTTTTCTGACCCTTCAATCGAGCCTCAGGATTTGAGTCAACTACAGTATCATATCACCTTGCGCGACTTTGGTGAAAAGGTGCAAAAAGCCGCTAATGCGGCCTATCCGAATGATCAAAAGAGTAAGTAATATCCAACACTCAACATCTAATAACTCTATGTGATCCATTGACTGACTCTACGTTCAAATCTTCGGGGAAATTTCGTTAACTTGAAGTGTTGTAGTCAAATACGCCCGAGTCTATGCTCTCCTCATTTTATGGGAGGACGAAGACCCGCAATTGCCTGTTTCGCTAGAAGTCCACGAATTAGGTGTTGTTTTAGCTTCCATTTACAAGTACGAAGTACAAATATATCGAATTCCTAGCGGCGGAAGCCACAAAAAATTGAATCAAAAGATTTTGGACTTTGTTGAACTAGGTGGAGACAGTAAGGAAGACCTGAAGATTGTTTATTATGGCGGGCATGGCATGCTAGCTCAAAACCGGCAGCCTTGTTGGGTGAAGTAAGTCATTAATAAACATTTCCTACGAGAAACTACTAAGCTTCAAGCTGGCACATACCGGTTTTCCGAATGTTTTGATATTTGAAAATATTTTAGTCTTTGAAAAGTTTCGGTTTCGACCAATGTGTCCAATTGTCTGGATGACATTCAGGCAGTGAGAGTTATTGCTTTCTTGAAACCAAACGAAGTATCGAATTCATCTGAGACATTGGTATCATTCTGGGACTTGCATTTGTTTCGTACATTGAATTAGCGCTGGAGGTTTTTCTTAACTTTGCTACTACGGGAGTGTTGGATACCCTGCTTGAGAACTCTTCTATGATTTCCTCGTTAAACTAATACTTCATGTGCCTAGTCGTTCTGATTCCCAAGACCCTAGTTTCAGCATGGTGAAATGGGGCGGGATTCAAAATTCCTTGGAAGAAGCACAATCCGAGGTTCTGCTCTTACTTGACTGTTGCTCTTCGGGCACCGCTAACACAGGAGATGGGTATGGAACTACAGAGCTCATTGCTGCTTGTGGCTTCAACGATGTTGCAAATGGCGTTGGGCGCCATTCATTCACCTATGCCTTAACAACAGAATTACGCCTGTTGAGCGCATATCCAAAGTTTACTGCAGCGGTTCTATACAATAGAATACTATGCCGACTACAAAACTGGATGCCTGAAGGCAGAGAATTACAGAAAGCTCCACTTCATGTTGTTCTTACGCAAAATCAAGCTTTGCCATCTAGCATACAACTTTCAGTAAACCCAAGGCCAAAGCCGGAGCCAGTGTCTTTCCGGAGTCCTTCGCAATCACTGGGTTCGCCAAGTCCCGCTTCATTCGAGAGCAATGAAAGGACAGACTCTGACCAAGATTCTAATTTATCGCCTGTGTCGAGCCTCCTTTCTGCCGATGAGCAATTTCCGAGGATCTTACTAAGTGTGAGACTCAGAGAAGATCTGGCTCCAGAATTATCTGCGGATCTCTTCGCTGAATGGCTTCGCATGATGCCCGTTGTTGCCAACTCTGTTACCGTCGAAGCTGGATTCAGTAGTTTTTCAACATTAATCTTGGTTTCCATGCCAACACCAATATGGGTCTGCCTTGAAAGAGATCCGGCCTTCAATCTTGTGGGTATCATTAAGAAGAAGCCAAAAATAAAACCAGTTTCTTCCCCAAGTCTTTCAACACTTGATGTTGCTGAAAGCAGTAATTATCAGTCATTGAAAACAAAACAGCAACCACCAGCTCGTATGAGTGAAGGACCGCCTCTTTCAGCCGATCCAGCCCAGGAATTAATGCAAATACCATCCTCTTCCGACTCTGGCTTCGATAAAATCACTCCCTACCCGTCTAGTTCGTCATATCATTATTCTACCGCTGCTGCTAAACCCTACACTCCTAGCCAAGATCCTCCAAAAAGATCATTGAAAATGAGAATAGAAATAGCAAAAGACCGGGCAAAGAGGGAATCTGAACAGACTTTTGCGTCTTCGATTGATCAAAGATCGATTAAGAAATCTAGAAGAGATGATCAGCTCAAAAAGATAGATAATTGGGTTGCGAATTCTCATAACTTATCTTCCAAGAGTACAGATACCTTCGTGGATAGGCTTTCAATTATGGATTATGAAACTCAAGGATTCAGATGGAAAAATCTGCACAAAAACCTGGCAGCCACGCCTCCAGCTCCTCTCACTAAATCTTCCGTCAATGATACTGCGCCCAACCTTGAATTTGCTTGCCACTACATTGGCTGTGGTAGGTCATTTGTAAGCCAAGATAAGCTTAATGATCATATGGAGAGACACAGAGCTCCACTTGAAAGTACGCTGGAACCATTAGCAATTAATGCGACTAAAGAAGTGTTTATGAAGCATCTGCAAATAGATCCTGAAACATATGCACTGATGGAAGTAAGAATTGCCCTTGAGTTACGCACCAGATTTCATACTTACAGATGTGTAGAAAGAAACGGAGATCATTTATACATGGCTAACTTCCGACAAAGCCCACCTAAGAGATGGCAAAACCGAACCGCCTTACAGTTGGTGGGGTTTCACCGTACAGTCAAGGATCAAAGCTATGGAATTTTTAGATGCAGGCGGCACTGATCGGACGTCTTCTTATTGGAGCCTTGGTCGTCCAGTTAGAAGATGTCCCAACTGGATCGCACAATGGTTTCTTCACCACCGTTTCTTGGACATAGAGCAAAGGATCAGGAATGTGAATGATACAAATAACACCCCCTTGGCCGCTGTTTCCCCGGAATACTCTCGCTCGCAACCCTCACTATATCCGACCGATGTGAATAATCAAGGCTCGGATCCCCCACGCTATACAAACGATATGAATTACCTTCGCACGTATCCCGAGACATGTGAGACCGGTACGAATAGTGATTATAGAGAGGGTACGAATCAGGATTATAAGGCCAATACGAATCAGGAATATATGGGCAGTACAAAAAGCAAGCCTAACCCGAAACACCATTGAAGAGTCGTGGGTGATGCTTAGACTTTTATTGGATGAACTACAAATTACTTTGCCCATTTCATAACGACAAGCAAAGATGGAAGGGAAAGCTTCGGGATATGAGAACCGACACAACATAACCATGGGGCTTGTATTTTGGATTTCTAGTGGTGCATCAGAAGCTCGGGCAGTCCTATGTTCACGTACCTATACTATCCAGTAACTGAGTACGAACTGTCATTTAGGAGCCTTAGGAGGTTCATCTATACGAATTTAGAATTAGAACTGAGTACTTACAACACAGACGAACTTATTCGGAAGAACCTCAGGCTTTCGATCATAGAGTCCTGGATGCTACCATCAATTAGTTCTGGAATTAAATTTAGTGGGACCTGATTGAAAGATACTCCAATACAGAAGCTTCAGAAAACTAATGAGTGACGCAAGAACATGCTAGTGGATAAAGAGGAATTAATCTCGGAAGCGAAATAGGGGCAGGAGCGCTAAATTCATAAAAAATTGGCGAGACACTAACCACTGGATCTCGGATTTTTGTTTTATTCAACAATGTCGTAGGACTGTCCTACAGATGTTATATATAATCGGAGTAATTACTATAAGATGTCGAATTATTGTTATGAGCATTGAATGATTGACGGGATAATATGTCCAGCCTTTTTGTTGAGCAGAGAGAACGCTGGCAAAATTGATATCTGGATTCTGGAGAAACATTTCAATGTCCCCTTGAGGCTTCAAAGATGAGCATGAATTTCATGGATTAATACCATCTAGGCGAAGTACCTAAGATTCATCTAAAACCAGCATCCTATTAATCATACTTATACGGAAAAATAGTCTTCTATGGATAACCCACCCCCACTATCCCCATAAAGATTCACCCCACCTCCTCGAAATCAGGCTGAAGACACATTTACCCCTCCTTCCTCATATGACCTCACTAATTTTCTTCTCGTCAAGGAAATCTCTATTTACATCATCTTGAATTTTTCACCCTCATCTAAATCCTCCATCCTTCAACTATCAAAACGAAAACATCAAAATGCCTCTCGATGCAGATTTCGAATTCCTCCCTTTGGGAGCCATCATCCAAAGCTTCCTCGTCCCCACAAAAGACAAATCGGTGAATATTGTCCAATCATTTCCTACCGCAGAGCTATATCAAAAATACAACCAGCCATTTTTTGGTGAAACGATCGGAAGAGTCGCGAATCGGATCGCTAATGCGAAAATTAATTCTTTGAATGGAAAATCTTATGCTCTTGCGCAGAATAATGGAGTGAATGCTTTACATGGTGGTGTAAAGGGATGGGGTAAACGTGTTTGGGAAGGCCCAAAGTTGGTGGGTTTGAGAGAGATTCCGGGAGTGGAGGGATTGGAGGGGGGTGAGAGTGTGCAGTTTACGTTGAGGGATGAGGATGGTGAGGAAGGTTATCCCGGAACGTTGGATGTTAGTGTGGTTTATACTACTGGAAAACAAAAGGTCGATGGTAAGGAAGTCAGAGTGTTGGGTATGGAATATGAGGTCAAGTTGGTGGATGATGGAAAGGAAGTTGAAGAGACAGTTGTCAATGTCACCAATCATTCGTGAGTAGTCTTTATTTAAACCCGACTATTCTTAGCTTCTCGGGAGAGAGATAATTGATGTCATAATAGGTATTTCAACCTCACTGGTAAATCGACAATCGAAGGTACACAAGTCACATTATGTACCAACGACTACCTACCAGTCGACGATGGAGGTATTCCTACTTCTGGACCAAAGCCATATGAGAGCATTACAGCTAATAAGGAATTTACATTGGGACCTGAGGAACCAAATGTTGATGATTGTTTCATCGTGGATGCAAAATCCGAATCTACTCCCCTCGATACGCGATCTTCGCCTCTCACGACATTAGTCAAGGCTTCTCACCCAGACACTGGTATCCATCTGGAAGTTTTGAGTACCGAACCCGCATTCCAATTCTATACTGGAAAATACATCGACGTACCAGCAGTTGAGGGACTTGAGGCTAGAGGAGCTAGAAGTGGATTCTGTGTCGAGCCAAGTCGATACGTTAATGCAATTAACGAGGAAAAATGGAGAGGACAAGTGTTGCTCAAGAAGGGACAAGTTTATGGAAGTAGGGTCGTTTATAAGGGGTGGTCTGAAGTTTAAACAGTGGAACGGATGCGCTCGATATCATTGGGAGGATTTTTTGAAGCAACATTGCACGGCCAAAAGTTAGTAGTTGACTCGTTCCTGACTTGAGCGTTCATTAGCAAAATACCATAGCATATAATGATTCCATCCCGAGTCAGATCTAGCGGCATGCATGACATGTGAAGAATCCGGTGAAACTTAGTACTTTATCTGAGAGTTCTTCGTTTGCACTCATCCGAGTTCATTTGAATGTACTGAACCTCAAAAAGTACCGAGAACAGTCACGTGTGTTCTATTTTCGGTGTTAGTGAGTATACCTCGGCATCCGGGTACTAGCGCTAAGTGCAACCGGTAGGATTTCACATGTCAAATACGATGTATTGACCAATCATATAATGGTAAATCGTAAGACAGAGTGCACATGAGGTGTTTCCGGAAGGCAGGTGATAGGATTTACTTGTAGAAGATGGAGAAAATCCGGGGTGAAGAGAGTTTAAATGCAATATTAAATTGGTTGGTAACGGAAGACGGGGTGGAGTGTAGCTGAATCAAGAATTGCATGCCGATGTCTGTTTGAAGTGAGAGTGACATGTGAAAGAGAAAGTTGCTTGTCAAACAAAAGCGAGTAGCATCTCCGAATAATTAATAAAATCATCTCGTTCTTCACGCCTCCCCTACTTTATTCCTGTCCACTTACTTTCTTGTTCTTATTTACTATTTACATTCGATACTTCTACATCGTAAGACTCACATTAACAAATTATACAACACGAACCAACACATATAGAAAAATGTCGAAGACTTTCAGTCAGAGTGATGTTGCATCGCACAATAAGCCCGATGATCTCTTCATTGTCGTAGATGAAGATGTCTATGATCTCACCAAATTCCAAGACGACCATCCAGGTGGCAAAAAAATTCTTACAAGAGTTGCCGGAAAAGATGCTTCGAAACAATTCTGGAAATACCATAATGAGGGTATTCTCAAGAAATACAAGGCAAAGCTACAGGTGGGATCATTAGACACAAAGAAAGCCGCTGCACCACCAACACCACCTGCGACTCCTCCACCAGCAAAAGAAGCAGTCAAGCCACAGGCGGAGAGCGGTGCTGTGGTGCCAGCTCCAACGGCTGCTGCGAAGCAAGTTGAAGAGGAATCGGAACCGTTGGATCCGTATGGTGATTTGATTCCGTTTGCGGATCCATCGTGGTATCAGGGTGTATGTTTTTTCCACTCGCGCAAATCTGCGAATGATACTAATGTGACAATAGTACCACTCACCATATTTCAATGAGACACATGCTGCTCTCCGCGAAGAAATCCGCGAATGGGTATCGGCCGAAATCGAACCAAATGTCGGTGAATGGGACGAGGCACGAAAAGTCCCAGATGAAATCTACAAACAAATGGGAACTCGAGGATATCTGGCTGGATTGATGGGTATGCATTATCCAACTCAATACACAGAGAACAGAATCAAGAGTGTTGCACCTGAGAAATGGGATTTGTTCCATGAAATGCTTCTCACAGATGAATTGTCGCGTGCGGCAAGTGGTGGATTTGTGTGGAATGTTATCGGAGGATTCGGAATTGGTTGTCCGCCTTTGGTTAAATTTGGAAAGAAGCCTTTGGTCGAGAGAATTCTACCGGGGATCTTGAACGGTGACAAGAGAATTTGTTTGGCTATCACGGAGCCAGATGCTGGTTCTGATGTTGCGAATTTGACTTGTGAGGCCAAATTGACTGAAGATGGAAAACATTACATCGTCAATGGTGAAAAGAAATGGATCACTAACGGTATTTGGTGTGATTATTTCACGACTGCGGTTAGAACCGGAAAGGATGGTATGAATGGTGTCAGTGTTCTTCTCATCGAGAGATCGGCTGGTGGTGTCAGCACGAGAAAGATGGATTGTCAAGGTGTTTGGTCTAGTGGAACTACATATATCACATTTGAGGATGTGAAGGTTCCAGTTGAAAATCTTATCGGAAAGGAGAACCAAGGATTCAAAGGTAATTCTCATCGTAATCCTGTCTTTGAAACCCCGCTAACAATATCATAGTCATCATGACCAACTTCAATCATGAGAGAATTGGTATCATCATCCAATGTCTCCGTTTCTCCCGTGTCTGCTATGAGGAAAGTGTAAAGTACGCACATAAGCGTCGCACATTTGGCAAGAAACTCATTGACCACCCTGTCATTCGTCTCAAGCTCGCTCATATGGCGCGTCAAATTGAAGCCTCATATTCTTGGCTCGAATCTCTCATTTTCCAATGCTCAAAGATGGGAGAGACAGAAGCTATGTTGAGACTTGGTGGGCCAATCGCAGGTCTCAAGGCTCAAGCTACTGTTACCTTTGAATTCTGTGCCAGAGAGGCAAGTCAAATCTTTGGAGGTTTGAGTTATAGTCGTGGTGGACAAGGTGGAAAGGTAGAGAGGCTTTACAGAGATGTAAGAGCTTATGCTATTCCCGGAGGAAGTGAGGAGATTATGTTGGATCTGAGTATCAGACAGAGTTTGAGAGTCGGAAAAGCATTGGGAATGAAATTGTGAGAGAGGGATATGAATTACGTCCCAAGAAGCAGATTGTACTCTCGTTAGGATAGAGGGAAGACAAAATGATCTTTTTGTATATTATAAATCGAAGATTGAGGATTTGCGTTTTGGTCGATGTTGGAGCTTGGATATGGATTCGGGAGATTGTTTAGTTTATGACATTATATTCACATTTACAAAGTCCGGTTTCCTATTATCGTGCATGTGGCTGGCTGTGTGATGTGCAAACATCTAATGTCTATCTATTCGCCCAGAAGTTTTCATGTAAAACCATTCTTCAACGCGCCCAAAATCTCGAATCTAAAGCCCGGAAATTTGTCAAGATGAGATAGGAGAAATTCATGGAATTAAATCAACGGGACAATGTTGTAGATATGCAACAAAAGCTTTGGATGTCATTTCACGTGACGTAGGATATGAGTCTCGAAGCATGTTGATTTTGTTTCATATATATATAATGTGAATATTGAAGCTGCAACTTCAGACGTAAATGAATCTGCAAAGGTGGAAATTGCAGATGTGCAACAGAATTCTTAGATGCTCACAGCACGTGATCTATTGATTTTGACTGTCATTCTCGACTCTGAATCTCGAGTGCTCTTCTTTTAGCCACGATATGCTCTCACCATGCGAAGATCTAAGACGAAGTCTACTCGTTGCTCAGGGCAATTGTTGATCTATGTAGTCTACTTCGACGATCGCTCAGATGTCTCACATTGCGGAGGTAACTCGAAGTGCAAGTACTAGTCCTAGGTATGCTTCACATGGCAACCAGCTCTGTTCTAGACCGGATCTACATGGAACATATGAAGGATTTCGAAGTTTTTACCGCTTTTTATGCTATCTATTGGGTTCATGTCTTATCTGAATATTTATCATGCCATCCCGTCCTTCCTAAGCAAACTTCAATGGGCGAGATTGAAACGTGCGAAATTGGAACATCAATGAAGTCAGTGATTAACCTTAATAGGAGGCAAGGCCAGAGGAAAGTACATGTTATATGGTAGTCAATCCAATATATGCATTTATTGACTGCCCCTTCATTCTTCACGAAGTGCATTCCGAATCTCCGCTTTCTCGACCCCTTTGCTCGGTTGGTGGAAACTAGAGGAACGGAACATTCTCCGGTGACCAATACAAATGTCAATCTCTCTAAGAATGCGAGTTTCATTCCGAGCAGATTTTAAAAATACTCCCAACATATCAATAAATACCTAATGGGTTGGAGGCAACAGAACCCAGTGGCTATGGCAACACTTGGCCTGAGTCTAGTAGTCTCACAAGTAAATATGAAGAACATAAGAATGTGTTCTAATCCCCGCCTCTTATAAGCTCATTCTTCCTATTATCTTATAATATTGCATTTTATTCAGTCTCTCGTTTCTCCTCGTTTCCTTTCTCTCACCTCCTTTCTTCCTTCATACATTTGAAGATAGTCCAAAATGGCACCCTCATCACTCTTTTTGAGATGCCTTACCATCTCTAGTTTCATAACTTCCATTACGGCCCTCACAGGATACCAATTAAAAGAAAGTTATAGTGGTAACACTTTTTTCGATGCGTTTGATTTCTTTACAGCGCCAGATCCGACTCATGGTTTTGTCACGTATGTGAGTGAGAGTAATGCGTCGCAGCAAGGATTGATATCTGTGAGAAGTGATGGGGTTTACATGGGAGTTGATTCCAAGACGATATTGAATCCTAGTGGACCGGGAAGAAATAGCGTGAGAATTGAAAGTAAAAAAAGTTGGACTCATGGACTTTTCATCGCGGATTTGAGTCATATGCCTGGTGGCGCCTGTGGTTCTTGGCCAGCGAGTAAGTTAATCAATCTGGTAGCTGTTAATGGATGATAGACTAATCTATTCATACAGTGTGGACTGTGGGTAACAATTGGCCATATAATGGTATGTTGTATTACATCTTTAAGGAGAAGTCAACTGCTAATGGCGATTTCAGGGGAAATCGACATCATTGAGGGTGTGAATAGCCAGAACCACAATCTCATGTCTTTACACTCGTAGGTATCCCTTCAAATCATAAGGATCACTTAGGGACAGTTTCGCTAACGTTAATGACTAAAGTGCGCCAACATGCTCAGTCGCTGGCTCCGGACAAACTGGTACTCTTCAAAGCGCCAACTGCAACAACTTCGCCAACCCCGTCGGTGTCGGTTGTGGAATCAGTGATCCGCGCACCAATAGCTATGGCAGAGGATTCAACCTCAATGGTGGTGGTATCTATGCCATGGAATGGACCTCCTCCCACATACGTGTCTACTTCTTCCCAGCCGGAACAGCACCCGCAGACATCAACGGACCAAATCCCGACCCAAGTAAATGGGGAACCCCAGTTTCAAATTTCAAAGGTGATTGTGATATCGATACTCATTTCAAAGAAAACAGATTGATTTTTGATACGACTTTCTGTGGAGATTGGGGGAAGTGCTGTTTGGTCAAGTGATGCTACTTGTGGACCAAAAGCGGCAACTTGTGTAGACTATGTGGCGAGTAAACCAGAGGCTTTTGGTGATCAGTGAGTTTCCTTCCTTGAGAGCCTTTTTATTCTTTCTGTTGAAAGGGGAAAGAAAAGAGACTAAAGTGATATGATTAGATACTGGCTAGTCAAATCAGTTAAGATATATCAACTTGGAAATGTTGCCAGCCCAGCACTTTCCAACAGTCCACCCGCAGGACCAGCGCCTTCTCCAAGTGCTATTATACCACAAGCATCTCCTATCGATCCCCACCAATCACAAAACGTTCCAGCTCCAGCTGTTACCCCCGCAACTCCAATCAACACACCAGTCGCCCAGCCACCTTCTCAACCCATCGGTAACAACAACCCCTTCCCAGACGACGACTCTATTCTTAACCACATCTCCGATTTCATCGGAAGCATCGGCGACTTCGACGACGAAGGTAATTGCACTCCCCCTCCACGTCCCGAACCCACCTATGATCCCAACTACCCCAACTGTGGCAGCGGTGGTAAATGTCCGCTAACCCCCGCTTTCACCTGTACAGAAAATCCCACCGACGATCTCACAAACCTCATGCCCGCTTCTCCCGCTCTCCCCAGCGTCACTCCCGCTTTCGAACTCCTCGGTATCGGATCTGGCGGCATCCCGGATTTCGATCTCGATATCAATGCGGAGAATTATCTCAACGCGGCAAAAGATGAATTGAAGGGACAGCTTCAGGAATTGCTAAACAGGCCGTTGCCTGGACGGGAGATGAGGATGAGGATGCGGAGACGGAGACGGGAAACCCATCGAGGGTGATTGCGGCGAAACCATTTTATCCTGATGAGGCGGGAAATGGGAATGAGACGGCGGGATCGGCGGCTAGTCCAAAGCCGGTGTTGAATTCGGGAGATAAGAGTAATGTGGTGGCTTTTGAGGGGGGTGCGGCGGAGGTGGTTGGTGGAGGGTTGGTGGTTTGGGGAGCGATGGTTGTTATTGGGGGCGTGGTTATGATGTAGAGATTATGATGATGATGGTTATGGCTGTGGTTATTTCAAGATTGCTTGGTTATGGATGTTCATGTTGTATAATGGAGTTTTATTTTATAGAATAGTTGATTTCATTCGTTTATTTGACTTTTTGGTTTCTTGTGATAGATAGATATCTTGAACTCTTGTGATTATCTAACCATTCTTCCATTTATTTACTTACCCTCAGATGATTTGGTGGGAGAAGTAGAGCCCTTAACTTAGTACATTTGAATGTTGAAATGTACACTTCTTTTACATCAGCATCTAACCTCAATGCCCCAACCCATCCATTCCCGCTCCCCAGCAGTGACTGCATACTTCACACCATATCAAATCCTCTCCATCTCTCATCGTGTTAGTTCTCTCTATCTATCAAATCATTCCTTCCATCTGTACAAAACTCCCAATACCAAACATACCATACACATCCTCCACCCCTTTCCCCGCCACAACCCCCAAGAGTTCTTAATTTTCAAATTCACAGTTCAATCATTACAAATCCACTATATGTTTCCTTTCAAAACTTCTGTCATCAACAATTTCCCCCCTTTCAGTAACAATAAGAACAAAATCAGATAATTTCATCAAACATCCACACATCCTCCACCTACCTTTCACCACCACAACTTTAAAAAGTTCTTGGTTTCCTAACATACTATATCGTCATCGTAAAGCAACCTTATAATTTCTCTCAAGATATATACAATTAACTATTTTTCCCCTTTAGCCAAAAAAATATGAAAATCAGATGATTTGATTCAACATCCACACACTTCACATAAACAACTTTTCTACCCTCAAAATCCCTTCTATCTTGTTGAAAACTTGAACGAACTATTCTCTGCATACCCTATTATACTCCTATCCATCTTAAAACCAATCAAACGAAGTTCTGAATAACTATTGTTTTTCAAACCTCCACAGTTGATGAAAATCTTCATATATAAGCACACCAAAAATCAACTATTTCCATCTCCAACTCTCCAAAGAATCAACTTTTCTACTCTCAAAAACCCTTTTATCTCTTCAAAAAACTTAACTAAACTACTCTCTATATACTAAATCACCATCTCCTTTACTATTAAACTAATCAAAAGAAAATCAAAATAACCCTAAATTTCCAAACTTCAACCGCTGATGAAAAATCAAGTAAGTAATCAATCAGGAGTACCCAAAAATGAACAAAAATCAACTATTGCTCTACTCTCCGAAATAAAATCAACTTTCTCGAAAAAGTTCTCCCAAAACTCTCAGAAAATCAAAAATCAACTATTTCAGATATGCAACAAAAGGGGTTCGAGGGAAGGAGTCACGAGACTTGGCAGGTGGTGCTGGTTAGTTCACGAAACTCAACTTTTTCTACAAAATCAACTTTTCTAACCTCAAAAATTCTTTGATCGTTTTGAAAACTTGAAGAAACTCTTTTTGATATATGAAATAATCATCTTGCTAAGTTTTGATTCAATCAAAGGAGAAATTGAATAATCCTCTATTTTCGAATTTTGATAGTTGATGGAATTTTTCAAAAATAAGCGGTACATATTAAAAATTCAACTTTTTGAAAAAGTTCAAAAGTTCAATTGAAAAAACTCAAGCTGAGCTCCAAAATTCCCAAAATTAGAAAATCAACTTTTTCAGATATGCAACAGAAGGGTTCGAAGACAGAGATCACGAGGCTTGGCGGTGCTGGTTGGTTCGGTACGGTTAGTTTATGTTAGTTTAGGTTAGTTGATGGGGAATTGTTTGCCCGGCCGAGCCGAGGTTGAGCCTGTGATGGATGGTGGAATGTGGGATGTGGGATGTGGAAAATTATCTTGGTAGATCTGTAAGCTTAGCACAAAAAGTTTGGACAGTCTCAACTACTCCAATTGTGAGAATTCTTCAAGTTTGCTGGGACTGGGGTTGTTCATTAGTGATGGTTGGTTGAAAAGTTGTATATTCTTGATGAGGAGATGGTAAAGAACTTTCGTTGTACTCAAGCTTGGAAGCTGGTGTTTGTTTTCTTGCATTCTGTGTTCTTTCTGTTGATCAGAAGAAAGGTTTATTTATGTTAGGAATTCCAACTTGGACTTCCAAAACATTAAAACTTTTTAACTAAAGTCAAAATAAATTATGATGTATAAAAAGAAGAAGAGCAGAAAAAAGGAAAGAAGGAAAGAGGTGAAAGAAAGACAGAATCAGGATGAGAAGTGAAAAGGTATTCCTTTTTGCCATTTCTATGTTACCACTCTTCTTACTTCTACATTTGCTAAGTTGAGTATGTTTCCTGGCGGATTTGGCAACCTTTTTTGTTTTTTGGTTGAGCGCTATGACATTCATGGATGAAGGGTTGAGAACGGTCGTAGAGAGCGAAAGTTTTGCTGAAGGCTTATGTTTTTTCTAATGCGATTGAAAATTGTATTTTGAGAAACTGCACGAGCGCGAGAGGATTTTGCAAAGATGTAACTATACCTGCAACGCGGGTCTAGTGGGTGCCAGATTTCCGCATAGGCTTTTTGCAAATAGCCAAGTGGCATCACAGAAGATGAGAAACGAAGTTACAAGTGCATACTTTGCTGTATATATGAAGCCCAGCCAACTTCTTCTATATTCAGGGGCAAAGAGTTTCATTGCGTAAGATAACATCGCAGCTCTGTAGCTTTGGGGGGAAAAGTTCACTGCAAGTTGTGATGGTAATGCGTTATGCATCTTCCTGGAAAGTTGCCTGCCTTCGTCTATGTGGCACTCAAGAAGAACAAACTTTTGGAAGCCAATGAGATAGTGACGATAAATGCAGCAAGTACTAGAATCCTTCTCCTTACTTGCTAAATGAGAGAACCCTTCGTCTGTGGCTTTATTCGTATTTTCATGGCCTTCGTAATTCCATTATCCCCTATGATCCTTCGGATAATGTGTATGCCATCTTTCATGTCTCAGTGGGCTTCATTCACAAAAAGAATCGAATCAAAATGCGGCATAGGCAGACAGTATTAAAGCATTATTCCACTTCCTGAAGAAAGTGCATCAGGTCATCGCCCTCAATCTAGTTCAATCGTCTAAACATTTACAAGGCTTCTTGTGGAATGAGCCTATGGGTTCACGTTACACTTTCGCTTAGTGCGAATGTCTTTGAAAATGCTCTAGATGATTTTTCTAGACTTCCTTGCGGAGAATACACTTGTAAATAATATTAAGGCGGAACTGAATACCCAGATGAGAAATGATTGCTGGCTACATGCAGGTTCTTGACACTTTTCTCAGCTCACAAGCATTGAGGTCCCTCCTATCCATATCCTATTCGTCATGTTTAATCACGTTGTATGGTATGAATTTGTGTATTGTTGATAAAATACAACTTCTAGAGAAGTGTGGATTAGAACCAGTATCTGCTCATAATACCGCGATGTTTCTCCATTGGAACTCTGTATTCGGAATCTTGTATGCCTCTGTTGTTCGGCCATCGTTCCCTCCGTATAATTGTACATGTTGTGTGACTAGGTTATGGCCGATCAAAGTGCCCTGTGGTATTGTTCTCCATTCTCTGGCAGTTCATACCCCGCTTATCCGCGCTGTGGTAGTCTACTCCGCTCTTCCAGCTCTTGAACCTTTGCAATGCCGTTTTCGAACTGCTCGGTCTTCGCTCTGTGATATTTCATACCGTGTCTCTTCCCATTTAAAGTTTCCAGCTCGAGCCTTCTTTTTCATCTGTTCTTTTACATTGTCACTCCGCAACCTTCTTGTTCTCCGCCTACATGTCTTTGCCTCTCTGTGTTTTGCTCTCCCCTCTCATCTTCTTATACTTTACCCTCCCATTATTAAATCTTCGTACATCAACTTGCGTTCGTCAGTCTCCTTTTCTCAAACTCTTTGATCATTTGTATGTTGGCCCTTCGTCCTTCAACCCCAATGTTTTGTATTTTTGTCGTGATATCTTCGGACCTTCCACCATATATACCTCCTGTGCTTTGCTTCGATTGTATTCATATGATCGCTAGTTTCACTCCAAACGGAAAAGAGCTCTGGGACCTATCGAGAAATAGTCAGCACAACAGAACGACAGCCAATGTTCCGCGGTCATTGGCGAGAAAGCGGATGGGTCTAGAATCATATGTGAACTTAGCTATTAGGAAAATCAATATGGTTGGCTGTTCCGCAAGGGAAAAGTCCTTTTAGTAGAGAGGGGTGATTTTCCATTATATGAAAACTGTTCATACTAATTCCCACCGATTTTGCAACTGAATGCTACGGCTATCTCGCTCTTGAACTTAGATCCGCTCGAACTTCTACAGTTTTTCCATGGCCAGAAGTTAGAAGGGGAGTTAGTCATGAGATGAGAAAAAGAAGCTGCTAGAGGTACGCAATTGGTACGTTGATGTTCGATGTGAGGCAGAAAACAAAATTAACTGCCTAACATCCTGGTGAATACCTTAGAGTCCATGCCCTTCTGAGTGTTCAAGTGGCTTTTGCCTCTGGCTTCCGTTCAAGTCCGAGTCGACTAAGAGTTTTCTCTCGGACTGCAAAATTGTGGCTCGCGCTTTTCGTAAGAGTGGGATTCTCGGTGAGCAAGAAGTCGGTGCCATTTAATTTCGATGGTCACCAGAAGAAACAGAAAGATTCGAATTGCAGAACACGATTTGTCGGGATCGTTATCGAGTATAACATAGTCCCTCCAAACCTTTCAATTGGGCTCTTTGGGCTCTGTGACTTCGATAAACCCGTCTGCAGCCCTTGTTGTTGTAATATATAGCTATTCCCCCTAGTCCGATGTTTTCCCTTATATCGGCACCCACATCAACGCTCGGCGCGTTCCAGTATGTTGAAAATGAGGTCTTCGATAGCTGTTGCAAAAGCTAGAATAGTGTATCGGGAGTAGCATTTTCGGTGATCTCAATCGCTGAAGTGGTTCGAAGTGACGTGCATCAGACTCCTATTGTTGGAAATATTGTGGTTCTTTTGTCACCTTTCTCCAACCCTGTCATGTAGCCCGTCTGAGACCCCCCATAAGAATGACAATCAATTTTCTTTCCATTCGATATCCTTGAGTCCGAGATCGACACGAATCTGCTCGTGAATGATGTTATCATAGCATGTTCCTATAATTTCATTTTCCCATGTCGTCTTTTAAATTCGAGATCGAGACTGATCATGAGTTCCTATTCGTTGAGTGTAAGTTTTCAATTGACTAGTGCAAAGGGAAAAAAATGAACTTTCACCGACAAGTAGTTGATATCGTTCAATCTCTGATGATAGTCAGAAAACTATGAGAGAACTCTGGTCCACAAGCTGCCTTGTCGTTGTAACACTCACTCGCCGTTGACACTTTTATGATCTAATGCCGTGTTTTGCCTTTAGGTTAGCGCCCCACTCTCGCGAGAGAGGGAAGCTTTTCGCTGACAAGCAGTTGGGGTTATCAGCACTCGGAAATAGATAGCCAGTAAAACTAAAAGACTAGAGTCTGGCTGCGGCCCGTTTTCGCTGTGGAATTTATTGATTAGTTTCACGATCCAATGCCCTCCGTGCAATTCAGCTGATAGACCAGTACTGGTGAATTCTCGAGCTTGCAACGTGGAATGAAAATTTACTTTTGTGGGGAGCTACTTGTCCATATATTATTGAAATTTTTGGATATTCGATGATAGCCAGAGTCTTGTGGGGTTCTCAATCTAGATTAAGACCTTATCGCGGCAGCGATTGCTTGCTATCTTCCCGAATCAGTACCGGTATCTCGGTTCACTTGACACGAAAAATAATGGTGACTTTATGTACCTGCACTCGATGAATAAGAGCCTTAGATTCAGAGAATAGGTTTAATAGGTAGCTAGTAGTGCTCTATAGTCTCCGCAGATAGTCCGAAGCAAGCAAAAGGTACCCATCCATCTGCGGAACTTGTTCTTGTAATAATTCTCGGCTAACATACTGATCTGATGCCGTCATCTGGAACCAAGTCGATTAGCGTGGAACCCCAGGTGATATGGTCGAGATTCAACATTACTATCAGTTACTAGAGGAGGGGAGAGGACCGATGATGTCAGGGGCTGATAATTTCCAGTTCTCGGTGATAGTCAAAACCATAGATGTATGCAACCTTACCGGCTGGGATTACCCTGTGCGTGCATTTGTATATGACCCGTCCAATTTGATACCATTGGTTGAGCCTAGTTTATTACGAGGAGCGACTGCATGCTCTTTCCTGTATCTATTAGTCCAAGATAATGGTCACCTGTTGAGAGAGCGCAGGTAGATTTGGACGATTAGTTGGTACTTTTGTTTAGGCAATAACTGTAGGAAGCAAGAGAGGCACCGGATTCTCCCTGCAGACTTTATTGCGATTTAGAAATATTTGTGAGACCAAATCTAATGTTACTTTGTGGTTTGAGTTAATGTGAGGAGTACTTCCGGTCTAGCAACAGCAGTAGGATGCAAGACATTCCTTCTGTGGATCTTATCGTGAGGTAATCTTATGCTCGCCACCTAATCTTATGTTACTTCGCGGGTCGACTTGATGTGAAAAGTGGCAATGAGCCCCTATATTCGTGTGGTGACCATGCTGATCAGTTGCTGCAAACTAGAGAAACGAGAGCATTGTGTGAGTTTGGAGGTTGTAATGTTCAGTCGTCCGCGTTTCTTGAATGGCTGGAAACTAAAAGAATAGTCCGACCCTCCGCGGAGCTTGTTTTGAGTTGTAAATACTGTTTTTCTACTCCACTGATGTCGCTTTCTGTTTCCGAATTGCCCCGAGGACTTGCACTGAGCCCCTCTACTTACGATTCAAGTCTAATATTTGACTGCCGGAGAAGAGAGACAATGCAGCCTCTTGTGAGCAAGCGATCGGTGTTATCTGCTCCTCCATGACTCTCAAAATGGAAAGTAAGGGGCCGATCCCCTGACTTTCCCGCGGAAATTATCGTGATTTGCATCCCTTTTTATGCCTTATATAATGTTGTTTCTCGGTATCCAACCATCTCGAGAACTGACGATGAGACCTTGTACCGATTCGCGAGTCAAGGATGTCGATTAACTTTGGAAGAGGGAGAGGGTCCTTTAGTGGGTAAGAAGTCAGTATCCTGCAGCCGTCAGCAATACTCGGAAGTAAAGAGAAGAGCCCGAATCATTCACATACCTTACTGTGAGTTGTAAGTCCTATCTCCCGCCTCATCTAATACCATTTTCTGTGTCGATTTACCACGAGGACTAGGAACGAGGGTTTTTATGTGTGGGTGAGAGGTAATGGTCAGCTGTTGAAGAGATTCTTTGGTCGATAAGCAGTTAGTATGCTCGAGTTACCGACAGCATTCGAAAGAGAAAAGAGCTTACCGCGAGTTATAAAATTTTTCCTGCACCCCACCTGACATATTTTATTGTTTCGAAGTTGTCGACAGTGCTGAAAATGAGCCTTTCACCCGCGTATCTTAGGTAGTTGTCAGTTTTCGAAGAGAGAAACGGGTTCTCAATCGGTAAGTCATATCTTCCCGTTTTCGACGACGACGACGAAGACGCGAGATAAAAAGAAGCACCTATCCCTCCACAGATCCTATTTTGAGTTGCGAATACCTGATTCCCATCCACCCAATATAACATTTGTTACTTCGCTCCAGGTTATTGTGAAAATTGACAGTGTTGACAATAAGCTTTGCGGTTCGAAGGTGATGGCCGGTTCTCCGAAACGGAGTAGGATTAAGATGGCGTCTTCAATGGGTAAACAGTAGTGTCCTTTGTTCTTCGGCAATCACAAGAAACGCAAGAAAGAAGCAGATCCTCTTACAGACTCTGTTTTACATAGTAAGCATTTACTTTCTCCCGACCTGTCACCCCTTATCCCTGGATTTCGTTGATGGCGAGGTGCTTTACCTGTCGCTGAAGGTGCTCATAATCACCTGCTTAAGATCCAAATGCGTTAAGGGCTGATCAACAACTGGTATTGAGAGGTTCGAGGTGACTTCTACAGGAACGAGGAAGAGCGAATACTTCTGCCAAGCTTTAAAGAGGTGAGTATCTGCCATTCTTCCGCTGTATGACCTTTTTAGATCTAGACCACCATCGGATTATGACAATTTCCAACTGCGATATAAGAAATGAATAGCTGGTATAATCGGGAAGCTTTGGTTTCGAAGCGGGTAGTGTTCTTCGACTATCAGTAATGGTCTACCGCCAAAAGAAAGGCGGATCGTATTATGGTAAGTTTCTGCTGCTCCCTTGATTTAAAGCTGCTCTGCAAGTCTGCATTTATAGGGCTTGAAGTTGAATCTGTGTTCTCGTGGTATACAGTGGCACAAAGCTGTTGATGTAGAGAAAGCGCTTCTATAACCCAGTAATTAACTGACCTTCCGTGGCTATCAGGCATGATTCGAGGGAAGACGAGGGTTCCAATTTCTTCTAAAATTCCGCTATACTTGTCGGACTTCTTTTGGGTTAGTACCAGTTCTTTAAAGTTTAGATCAATGAGATTGGTAGAGATCGAGGCGCCAGTAACAAGGAATTCTTAGAAGCTGGTCAGGTATAGGAAATATCATTCTGTTACTCAGCAGTCACCACATCAGACTCTAGCAGCAACAAGAAGAAGTAGAAGACGGACTTAGACCGAGGCTCTTACTTCTTCAACATGGTTGTATACTGTTCCCTTGATCTTAATGCCGTTCGCGGATATTGAGATTAACATGGAGGTGGTAGCGGAACCAAAATCTAGGTCATATCACAAAAAGAAGTTGGGCAAAGAAGGGAAAAGACTAATGGTAAATAGAAAGTCTAAAGCTTTTTCCTCAGAATTATTTCCTGCTGCTGAATGAGACCAGACAAGTTTGTCAGGGTAGTAACCTGTCAGAACAAGACAACAAAGGAGGTTGAAAGGCATGTTGACCCAAAGTATATTACTGCAGGATATCTAATTAAGCTGATAATACCACTGATGGATGCTTTTAGATCAGAAACCCGGTAAGAGAGCACATTGTATAGTCTACAGAAGTCAACTTCCATATATCAGCACATCACCAGGTCATGGCAGAAACGACTAGACAGACCCTCGAGGGTATCTAGGTACCTAAGACCCTTTTAGGTTAAGTTTAATTCTTAGTTCCAGTAAGCTCACACAATCTTTCCAATAGCCTTTAATTCAGATTCCCATTCCTACTTAACTTCAAATACGTTTCTCTTTTCCTTCACACCAGCCAAGTACCACGATCAACACCAGCACCTCAACGCCAATCTATCCAAAGGTACGTAAGATAATTCTTATTATATTCTTCTTCTTATTCTTCTGCTACTTTCTACTTCAATTGAAGCTTTGAGTTTCTTCTAATTGCTGATGGCGGCATCTGGAAGTCCTTGATCGGCAAGATCGCTGCATTCAAAGATCAAACACTTCGATCTAAATCAACAAAACAAAGTACTAACAGCGATACAATTTAGTAAGAATACTTTAATAGTATACACTCAACTTAATGGATTGATCTAATGTCAATTACAGTACCATTGTGCGAGTTGAAACGTTGAGATGGATCCGCGCCCACCGTAAGTATTACTCCCGCATCTGCCTTTTGCCTCATGCTTAAGCTAACCACTTTGCACATAAAGTCAAGTAAGTAAAGAAAACTCCTCTACGATTAAAACATTCGATAGCGATATATGCACGAGTCTACCTGCTGTTACTTTGTTGTTGTGGATGGACATTGTGTCGGCACAGTTGCATGTTGGAGTCTATGCTAGCGCATGAAGATGACATCAATTTATACGGTCTTGACCAGCGTCTGACTATGTGACATAATGTCTGGACTTGTGATCAGACATTTTAAGTAAAGTTTACATACAAATGTACAGGACAAGGCTTGCTTTTTGTCACAATACCTACCACGCATTCAGCTATGTGTAACTTACTCTCTGCTTTGGGTCAGTCACCTCAAACAAAGCGTACAGGCATATGCGCAGAAAAAGTTGTATCTTATTGTATCACACCATGGCATCATAACGTCAAAAGCAATGAAGGTCCTTGAAAAAATCATGTGACTTCAATTCACCGAAGCAGTCTCTTCATTGAAATTGTCATTCACCTCTTTGCAGCGATGTTAACCTTCATGGGTATCTGCCCTAAATCACCGCCGCGATGCAAATATTCACCATTGAGCTTTGCCACAACCGATAGCAAGCGCTTTCTTTTCAAAGCTTCATGTGCAAGACCCTGATTGGTTCTTTATAAATCCCTCTCACTCATAAAGCGATACCAAGCACCACAACGACAACGTATTTCCATTTGCTGGCTTTTAATACTCAAACTATTTTTACTTGGTTGTGGGCTCTTTCTGCTCTAATTCCCGCACAAGAGGATTGCCATCAATATATCTTTCCCCCGCGCGATACCATCCTTCGTCACTATCCCACACAACTACTCAACCATACCGACCGTCCATCCCCATCCTTCAGGCAAAGGAGTATCTGAAATGGAACCTTCCCATAGTCGCACAGCTTCTCGTCCATTTCTCTTGCTATCCCTACGAAGTTCTGCCATCTATTCCTTCCATCGCGCACCAAATTCAGTCAAATTTATCCATCGCCACACAGAACACAAGAGCTTGCCGTCAATTTGTCTCAATCGTACACCAAATTTACAGTCCTAGATTGATATACTGCGCAATAGGATCACTATCAACTTCGACGCGGGGATCATTGACAACCTTCCTAATACCTTTACTTTCGCGAAAAAAATCAATCCTCTCATACACGCCGAGCAATTCGATAATACTGTAAACAACGGTCTTCTTATCCACACCTTCCTCTCTTGCTGTTCCAACCTCAAGATAACACCCTTCAAGACCACGATATTTCGTTTGGATTACAAGCTCTTCTCTCTGCACATTCAACACCAGAGATTTCCACAGCTGTCAAAAATTTACAATTCGGTCAATTTCAACGTGTCTTCACAGAGTTCTTTCTCGTGGGCTATTGTTGGGATGACGCCAAGCTTCTCTTTGACCAAGGCTTCGCTCTCCCTTCCATCAACTACGTCAAAAATCCCTCACAGTGACCCACCTCTATCATATCGCACCTTTCTTAGAAGAGCTTCAACTATAGTTGTTTAATATCAGCCACATCATCAACAGCTGCGACGTTCTTCTTCCATTTGATTACCCACACAAAGCCCCTGGAATTACCGAATCTCTGCAAGCTCGTTTAGCACCTTCAACCTCCTTCCTATTTTGCATCACCACCAGACCTTTTTTTCTAGGACGGCAGTCTCGTACGATCTTCAAATCACGACATTTGAATTTACAACTCTCCTCTACGTCTTCAACTTTTTGATTCCCAACCTTTAACTATATTGGCCATCTCTCTCCTCTTGACACTCACAGACAATTTATATATTGCAATAAATATAATTTGCATTCGAGGCTTATCTCCGTCGAGGATATTCACAGAAGAGCCTACTTCCATTAGCAACAGTTGTCGTTTATCGATTCCTAGAACTTTATTTCCCCAGTAGGGAGTAAATAAGATATCAATCGTACCAAGCTTCATTACTCCATATACTTCTCATAGATTTTTATTTTAGACTTCCTGCAATTGCCAACTGGAGAGTCTTGTCCATTTTCTCAATATTTCTTCGTTCTAAAGGAGATTTGTCAGTTTTCTATTTGTTTCTTAAGACATCCACTTCTTTTCTAAGATTCTGATGTTTAAGACGTCTTGCTAACAGATTTTGTAGATCTCCGAAGATCATAAAGCCTTTTTAAAAAGTAAGTTCATTCCCCCGGTATCTTGCCCTCCACGACATGTCACTTTCCATCCTCTTCCCATGTTCTCAAGCCAAGTCGAGGACTAATTCATCCCTCTTCTGCCCTTTCTCATATCAATACTAACATATTCAGAGGAAGAAAATGGAGGCCATTACCGAGGAGACGGCCGGTTTCCGCCAGGCAACCCAAAGTTACCTGGTGGAAAACCGCGCCGAGATGGAGTCGTTAATCCACGAAAGCACCGACCGGCTCATGGAGCAAACGCGGGTTCCGGCCGAAGAGGCCCATAGCTGGCAGACGAAGGACAGTCGAGCTGCAAACAGAGTTCATGGTTAGTTATTCTTCTAATTTCACTTCGCGTTGAGATTTTTTGTTACTTGAGTTGATGTAGAACGTGGAAATTTTACATTTGGCAGTTTGCTCTAATAAGTCCTTTCAATGTTGAATAGAAGCATCAAGCCCTCTGATGAGCACATGCTGACCTTGACAGGAACTCTTGAAACAATATCTGGAAGCGGGAGGCACTGTCCTCGCCGCACCAATATACCGCGCAGACGCCCGTAAGCTCACACACTCTTTGTTAGAAAATGGAAGCTTTATGCTAATGATGTCTAGTAAGGGTCGGCGGACGACCGGCAATACGCCCTTCGAGGGTTCATATTTTCACGGAGTTCAAGAAGAGATATACACCTGGCAGCGTGCCACTTCAATCTCCAGCATCTGCTGGACCATAGATCCAATGGACTATGGATCCAAGCTTTGGCTGTCCAGAAACCAAGATGGGGACATGATCCAATGTGAGTAGCTCCTTGATTTCCGCTTTCACACGAAGCGACATTGTTATCAGAAGTACAATTAACTGACTCAATCGTTTAGTGAAAAGAATAACCGACGAATCAACACCCAAGGGGAAGACTTAACTATCTGGAAGTGGTTGTTCTGTGAGCTTGGAGAAGGGGAGGACTTGAACACCTTGGTGACGGAAAAGGAGAGATGGGGATGGGGTGGAAAGTTTACATGGGGAACTCCGCTGGAGAGGGAGAGAGCAGTGGGGGCATGGACAGTTACTTGGTGGGGATGAGGAGAATATTGTGGTGTTGACGTAGGGCCTCTGATACAGTATGAGCATGGGGGCTGATCCCAGCGTGGATCAGCAGCTGCCAAGACACGGGTCGCACCGTGACACTCGCGCCCTGGCACTTTTAGAGCACTCTACTGTTGATGATGGTCAGGGGTGAATGGTGTGGTGGATATGGGCTTACGATTTACGAAGAGACGAGACGACGACACGATCATATTTTTTCCCAATCCGTTCTGTTTATAGACCGTTGCATTTACAGTGGCATCAGTGGCGTTGGATTTCATCTCGTGTGGTTTCTAATGGTTGCGGAGAAATTTGTCTGGCATGGCGTTGTTTAAAGGGGGCATTGGGCTTATACCATCGTTACATTTGCGTTTCGCGTGCGCGCTGGATTTCATTATAAAAAGTGTTTTACTATCATTGATACCCATTAAATCAATATGGCTTGCCATTTGTTCTCATACATGGCCTATTCTTGCTGTCTCTGTGATCATATACATCATATCCTGGTATCAAATGTTTGATGGTTGCAAGGACTGAGCATATCTAGGATTTATCGACATATGAATTTCGTACAGTATACTATTGATCAATGGCCAAAAGCAACACACCTAAAGATCATTCAATCCATTTGGTAGATTTAGTTGACTTGTAAAGTCCTTTGATTTCGGATCTTAAACAAAATCAAGAAATGGGTCGTTCAAAATTTATAACTTATCCGAAGGACACTAGTTCTCCATTTTCACCCAAGGAACCAAGCACTCAACTCCAACCAGAACGGCATCTCCCTAACATCAATGATAACAGCAACAGCCTTTAGCAAATCTCGCACATCCAAAGAGCTCGAACTAACCAACACTAGAGGCCCCGCGGAGCAATCTATCATTCCCAAAATTAGCATTAGTGCGGCAAGTAATGGAAAGAGGTCAGTGAAGGTCAATATTGTTGCCAACATTAACTCATCTATCATCTACTGTAAAAAACAGCTTATAAATGATATTCTTAGAGCCTTTGATCACACAAGCCAATGATGTCTCAATCTGCTCAATTAATGATACTTTGAGAAGGAGAACTTCCAACTACCAAGCCTTGCCGAGAAAAAGCGACGCGCTGTTAGCCTTCCTTACTCTACCCACCGAATTCCCCGATAATGTGCTTTCGTTTGAGTATTGCAATCTTTTGATATGGGTTAGCTAGACTCGATGCCTGGAGAGCTTGGATCCTAATGTGGTGAAGAGAACCTGCTCAACTTTAGTCTGGAACCGTTTTTGGACCGGGAATAAACATCGGCGACTTGGGGGTGGAAGAGAAGGCACCGTACTGGAGTATGTACAGGCTTCAAGACCTCATAGCTTCGAGCCAATGAAGAAAATGGGTCGATAAGGAATTATGAAGAGCACCACCAATGCTCTGTTCAACACTGTATTCATAGAAATGCTCGAACTAACAGCGGTTTGAGTATGGACGAAAAAGAGATATTCCGCTTTCGTTTCCTTGTCGATTTGGACCACATGAGCACAAGTTTTCGCCTCACGGCCATTCATTTCCAACTCATCCATACAAATCAAGTGCCCCCAAACAAATCTTCGTGGGCTTCCTGCTCATTGACTCCAAGGCTCGTATCTTTAGGTGTATCTGAAGAAAACCGACAAAAAACAACGGATTTGATGCATCATAAGTGTGGAAGCGATGGCACGAGGTCATTGCTGTAGTGATAACACTCGCATAGACTAGCAAGCCCTGTGTCCAATATAGAAGAATGACCGCGGGTAAGATAATAAGAACCAAGATGAGAGACTCTAGATGTTATGTCTTCCTGAGAATCAACTTCATTTTTTCTGATCATTCCCGACGGTAGATCCATATGATCCGTCCAATTTTGCTTGGAATGATCTAATTGAATCATCATCGCACTCATCAAGTCCGTCGAAGATGAGAACTATACTTTCTAGAATGTTTTTGATCGTAGACATAAATATACGCCACAGGTTTTCCTAGTAGACATTACTGGCAAGATTTTGATTTTGGCGACGCCATCAAACTCACCCAGAATATTCTGGTATAGGTTATTTTTTGCTTTTAAGAGCTGATAGATCAGACTCCGAAGTACAAATAATGATGGCCCAGTTGAGTTGAGAGTTAATACTGTCGTAATGGCATTTCAAGATCAGTCGGTTCGGCTCTCGAGGGTCTACGCGTAAAACCAAGCGGCTTGCCAGATAGATTGTGAAGTATGTTTCCCTTTTCCGGGACCACCTTAAATCCAAAGGAAATTATCGGAATTGGGTATTCATCTCTACTCGAAGATTTGGATATTTGACTTTTTAAATCCATTTGCAAGTATTGGGGACCGGGTAACCATTGCGACTGCAAATTACTTCTCTGTCGTCTTGGGGATGCGTTAAAAAAAATGTATTGTAACATTCATCCCGATCGTCTTTGGGTTTTGAAATACTACTAGCTAAACTTTAATAAAGTCAGTCTCTACTCTAGATATATATGTAGTATATCTTATAGCACTTTAAGTGGATTTTTCAACCCAAAATAATTTTTGTATTTTATATTCATTTTCTAATCATTTAAATCATTGAAATCATTGAAATCATTGAAATCATTGAAATCATTGAAAGCATTGAAATCATTGAAATCATTTAAATCATTTAAATCATTTAAATCTTTTAAATCTTTTAAATCTTTTAAATCTTTTAAATCTTTTAAATCTTTTAAATCTTTTAAATCTTTTAAATCTTTTTAAATCTTTTAAATCTTTCAAGTGTTTAAGATTTTTAAAATAAATTATGCTGCCTAAGATCTAATCCCCAGCTTACTCGCTAATCTTATTAGTTTCTATCCTAGGCATAACGCAAGGATGACTACAAACAGACGCAGAAGACCTGCATCTACTCGTAAGCTAGTTGCCAGAGCACGATTTGACTTATTTCAATTTCTATGCGCCAGTAATCTATTGAACAAATCTTCAGAGATTGCATGGTTGATCTGGATACTATTTCCAGCAGCTTCGTTGTCTCGAATCTTCAGTTGAAACGCTTCGCGCCATCCTTTCTCTCCTATAGGCGCATTGATCTGTAGAGCTTGTTCTCTGGCCACGTTATTTGAGACAATCCGACGGGAAACTCGTTCCGCGTCTTCTATATTTTCTCGTGCCACATCAACACTGTTTGTTTCTTGCATCTGTTAGCGAATTCTCGACGGAGGAGGAGTAGCAATATACTTCGAGGTTGGTACTTCTTGACCACACCAGTCCTCGCAAGACCTCTATCATCGCCAAATGTATTCCAAAGTAGCTCGTCTACTCGATTCAAAATATTCATTTTATCGCTCACAAGCCGCGTCACTTCTACACGTGCAGCATTTAAACCCACACCCAATTCCGATTTCGCGTTCTCAAGCAGCGCCATCAGCTTTGTCAGCGCCTCTTGTTCTTTTGTCTCTTGCAGGGATTGAGGATCAGAGCGACGTGCTTGGCTTTTTTCCCCTGATAGCATAACTTCTAGATGACTGTTCAGTTCCGTCGCTATTATGTGAATGGTCTCGATCTCGGAGAGAACGGCGGTAGTGCGCAAATCAACTTCATGCTTGACTAGCTCGAGGATTTCCAGGACTCTTTGGATCTCGACGACGTGAGTTCCAAGAATTTGGGCTGAGTTTTTTGGGTCCTGGTAGGTCTTTGGGAGTCGTCCGAGAAGACTAATGGTTGATTCTAGCAAGGCTGATACAGCAGATATCGCTCCTATGGTTTCTGGTTTGGCCTGAATTTCGTTTAGTATATTTACCTTGCATGTCTCTGGGGCGGTAATTACCATAATATGAGGCGTTCAAATAGAAGATCGCGAAATGTTCGTGATCGCAAGCTTATTACATCAATGAAGAAAACTGAACACTCAGAATTGTTGTGTTATCCTGAGACTTGTGAAAATCTAACCCGGCTTTAGGGATAAATGTGGAAGGTGCGACTTTAGTGGATTGATATACATTCTAGATCCATAGCATTAATAATTCTATGCCCCTTCCACACCTACAAGAACGATTCTCTCACCGGATCGTTGAATTACTCTAGGTAGGTACCTAAACAGATGCATTTGGATACCACAACCAAAACTTCAGAATATATACCTCTGTTTAACAAGAAACACAACCATCCGAGTGCGAGTATCCAATCCCAACAACTAACACCATTTACCCATCCCTCATTTCCAAACAGCCTATCCAGAAAACCAACAGACACAATATCTCCACAACCATATCAACACCCACGCAACATACCCAATCTCTCCTCAGCGATGCGCTGTAATATCCATCAATTGATCCAAATCCATTGGATATCAACACACCTTTCCATAACACCCTTCCATTCGCAGGGATAAATGGTGTGGCAGATCCCATTCCCCACCTGACGAATTATTGGTTCATGTACTCCGTGTGTGCGAGTGCACACTGATGAGACAGGCGCCTAGGTGGATGCGATTGTGTGGAGTAACCTTACTTAAGCGATGTGGGGAATTTGAATCGATTGTGTTATCTAGCATAAGAGTTTTTTTGAGTATTTGAATCTTTGCTGATAGTATTGGTAATTCGGAGAGTGTAATTCACAGGTTATCTCGGTGCGAATTCAAGTATTCAATGGATGTTGAGATTAATTCAATTGTCGCAAGTGGAGACACAATGGCAGGAAGTGCGAATATTCAGATGGATGGCCGGCTCGGGGAAAATACTTATACTTTCTACTCAAATTACCTCAAGACATAAGAATTGTAAAAGTATACATACACACACCCAAGCATAAAGTAAGTTTCAATAAAACAAATATATTATTATCCTCATGAATTTTCTCTTCCTCTTCTTCCTTAACTACCTCTCGTACCCCGCATTCCTCATCTTCACCCACCGTCTCTCTTTCTCTCGCAATATCCACAAAGCACCAGCTAGTATAGACAAGCAAAGCCAAATTATTAATACACATAAATATACACAGCGACTCTCCCTTGCCTTCTTTCCCCACGAAGAAGCGAACCCGAGCTAATCCAAGTCAAGACATTTCAAATCCGTTCCCTGATTCTCAAGTGACCATCACAAGCGAACCCCTATTTCCTCTTCTCTTTTCACCCTTTCTCTCTGATCCACCTCTTTTCTTATCCTCCTCTCCCATTTCAAACAAGCAAAAAACAAAATCCAAGCCAGTAAGCAAGAAAGCGCAAAAGCAAACTCAACAACAGCGAACGGGGTATAACCACAACCAGCCAACCAACCAACCAACAACGCGCCCAATCAAATTCAATAAGCAATTTGGGCCAACTAAAAGCAAAACCAATGCCAATTAAATAGCAAAGTAGTAACAAGAAGCGCACTACTCATCAAAGTGCCAACAGATTAAAACGTCCTACATCCTCCCCCCAAAAGCTTGATAAACGCCATTCTTTCCTTTTCCCTGCCATACTCGCCATATAATCATTCCTCCCATCTGTTATCCATCAAGGGAACAAATTATCGGAAGTTTTTTGAGGGCAGTGTCATGCGTATCGTATATACATAATTGTCGTAATGTATCTTAATTGTTTTTTCATGCATTAAAAATTGCTTCAGTTTCATCCAGTGATTGTGGTATCAACTTCTGCCTCCTCATCTTCATTTTTTCCCTCGGCGACGGCTTGATGTGCCGCTCTTTCATGATAGATTCTTTGCCTGCCAATTTCGGCTGCATGTAAACTATCAATATATGTTGTGAACTTTACGATTTCACGAAGCAAATATGAAGATTTCTTTTCCCAATTCGCCATTGCTTTTTGTGCGTTAGGATGACGCGGTGAATACTGTACTAGGTTAGTGAAAATGAACCACGAGGAAGAATTGTAATACTTACAGCTAGAAGCATTGTATTTCTCAACATATTATGTTTCTGCAATTCTTCCTCAATACTCTGCACATAAGCAGTCAGTGTTTTCAACTGATCCGGCTCCATCAAGTTACTAGCTCTCATGCTCTGTATTGGAGGACTCCAATCATTTATAGCAATTCTATCACCTGGCAATCTTGATCTAACCCCTCCTACATAGCCGTGATCCAAGCTCGATCTTAGAGAGCTCTGCATGCTGGGCCTAGCACCAGAAGTTGATGGTCTGGTATTCTGTTCATTGATCGCAGTGACCAAGGCGTTGTTGACAATTTCATCAGACCAGCCGTATTCGATATTACTAATACCACCTACGAGAGGATGGTTTGATAACCGAGCACTCCAATAATTGGCTGTTGTGACAAATTCTTTGACGATATCTGCTGTACCTACTTGAAAGAGATGTACTGCTCCAGTGGGCAAGGAAAGTGCCCAGACATGAGGGCGAGCTTTGGAGTAGCCTGGAGAAGGAAGGGCACTAGCGATAGTTTGTCGGAGGAGGAATGAACCAAGATTTTCGGCATTCTCTTGCCAATTTCCACCACCAACAACTCCGCCACTAGTTTTAGGCTTGCGGACATTCTTTGTGGAGAAAGAGAACAAGCTCATGTAGCCCTTTTCGATAACAGCAAATGTTTCAATCCAGTTACGGTCCTTTGCTTTCTTGTCGAGAGCTTCCAGATGATGCTTGTGCTTGACCATACCTTCCTTGGCCCATGGTGCACCAGCCAGTTCTAAAGATTCATCATCAAGTAGAGGGGCAACACGAAGTTCTTCATGATCACTGCCCCTACTTCCTGAGCTATGGACCGTCTCTTCACGGATGATTGCTTGGCTGAGAGCATTGGCGAATCCAATAGATTGTTGATAATCGCCTTGGAATGCCGAACCAAGAGAGTCCACGGACATCGAGGTATGTTTTCCAAGAGAATACTTGCTCCAGGTACTAGACGACACCGAAGGACTCCACATAGATGATTGATCATCCAGACTAGTTCGACTAGATCCCATTCCTGAGTTAGGATATAAACGAGGTCTCGATCTAGTCTTATTGCTCCACTTTCCATTTGTGCGTACAGTCTCTGCTGTTCTTCCACGAAGATAACTAGGTGATTCTGAGGGAGCTTTACTCAGAACACTAGGAGAACGGCGCAACATACCATTGGTGAATACTGAAAGAGTGCTGGATGATGAAGCCGGCATTTGTAACCTATCGACAGCGCCAAACAATGGAAGCCGATCATTCCGGATAGAATTGTAAAAATCCTTGAGAACAATCTCAACCTGTACTTCCCACGTACGTAATGTTCCGCGGAAAGGTGCCTTGACCAAGGGGCCACAATCATCCATGGGAGTATCATAATCTAAAGGTGTGGGAGCACTTGGATTATCAGGATCTGGACGTGGCGCAGGCTTGAATGAAGACCTCCAAGAAGGTTTTTCAAAAGCTTCAATTGATATAGCGTCGGAGTTTTCGTCATTGACATGAGGGTCATCAAAAGCAGAACTTTTTCCAGGGAGCACTGTAGGCCTACTAGGCTCAAATTCATGCGCAGACTCTGCTACACTTCGACGGATCGTAGGCATTGTATTCTTGATGAATTGACTACGAGTCATCTTTTGTTCAATATCGGCAAGATGCAAATCCGTGTTGAGCAGAAGAACCGAGTAACAAATTGTATGTACGACATCTAATAATATTAGCTTGATACACTTTAGGTAAACTTGCTAACCTACCAGTAGCTTTAAATCCATGGTTGGGATTGCTCTGACACCATCTCTTCGAGAACGCGTCCAAGATTCTGTCAACTTGTTGACTTTCACCCTTGAGCACTAATCTGCCACACACTACACGCATCGAGGCAAGAATATTAAGATTCGCAAAGTCATAAAGGCTCATATAAGCTTTTAGCGTCCTTGCTCGAACAACTCCCTCATCTCCCATCCATGCCGTCGCCTTTTCTTTTTGAATGAAATCCTCATTGCCATCGTAAATTTTCTGTGCTCTAATTAGGTCTTCCTCCGTAGGTTGTGCGTCGTCAACTCCTTCTGATTCAGAGTCATCAAATGGCTCAACATATTCTCTATCGGACATAGTAGGCGGACTGGAAGGGGGACCTTCTTCTTGTCCCTCAACTTGCAACAGTGGTAGACTGACAGCCGATTTGTATATGGTATCTGTAGATCCTGTAGCTGCAATCGAGTTTGCGAATTTAGGTTTTAAGGTATTTGTACCTGGTAGATCATCTTCAGATGATCCAGGTTCCAACCAAATGCGATCTTTCTCTGGAAACTCCGATTTAGAAGGAGAAAGAACGATCCAATCTTCTTCTTTGGCAGGACCTGCTGGTAGTTCCTGACTGTCATTAGAACCCACCTTGCTTAGAGGTGAATCCAAAGGAGGCTCTGCTGCCTTGGGCTCTGATTTCGGTAAAACTTTGGAGGGCGGTGGAGAACGTTTGGAATGTGTTCTTTCATATTCCGCAACAAGAGCGATATCTCTCGCCACCGAAGGAGAGCGACCAGGAGATGTCGTACTGGGTAACGGTGTATTACCAGGTACATCTTTCGTGATCTCCAACTTAAACTTCGCGTCACCATCATTCTCAGTAGAACCTTGGAAAAATGTTTCACGTTCCTCTCTGGCCTGCCCATCGAATCCACCAGGTAATGCTAAGTTGGTACTTGCCGATCTACGTGGTTGTTTGATGGACGAATAAGATGGCTTGCGACTGTCTCCGGCATGCGATGACGCTGGTTTCGAAGGAGGTATTTGTCTGATGGTAGCATTTGGGTCTGGATCGTAGTCTGAAGAAAAACCTCTTACATGGCGTCTATTTTCAACATCATCGGAAATATCATTAACTTGCCGATCGAGACTAGCCGTTGGTGCATGAGCTTCAATAGGAGGTCTCCCGGGGCTATGAAGGTATGGATTCATGACTTGGCGAAGACTACTGACGGGGCTAGCCTCAGGTTGCCAATCTGGAATGTCCGGTCGCAATTTGTGTGGCTCGAGTTTCATGGGTGGCAACGGCATTGGTGGAACGGGAATGGGTTCGGCCTCAGATACCGACTTTTTACGCCTTCGGAAGAATGATGAAGGTTTTTTGGTAATTACATGCGGTTGTTCCTTTGGGGCTTGCGGATTTTCTCGAGACGGTGCTATGTTATTAGACTTCATCTGGTTAGCAATGTGAGTTTTGCTACCTGGATGATCCGCCGTTTCAGTAGAGGTAGTGGAACCGTGCGACGGTGGTGGGTCGGGTACCGCAACATTGTTGTTCCTGGAAGAGCCGAAAACCCTTCTGAAGAATCCAGGTCGTTCCTTGGGCGTTTGGGTGAAAGCTTGCGGCGACCCGAGAATATCTTTTGTTTTTGAGTATGACCCACAATTTGGCGGAGATGGCTCTTTGATGAATGCTGGCATGGGTGGCAATTCTTTACTGCGATCATTTAAATTGAGACCATAGTCATGCCTGGCAGTGTTCGTGAACCCCTTCGACTTATATGCGCTCTTCGAGGACTTTGCGCTCCTTTTTCTTTCTAACTTCTCCATTGGGGGATCGATGAGACTAGGGTCGGGTCTTGAGACCAAAATTGGGGATGTAGGTCGAGGGCGTCGTGGACCACCAGGTACTGTGGGCGTGGGAGCAGCGTCGTAGTCGTATGTAGGGGTCGAAGGTACATTTGTATTGATATATCTTCCTGCATTTAATTGTGAAGTTGCTTGGTGACCGCTTCCGTAATCAAAGCTTGAAGACCTTCCTGCTAAGCCATGCGCCCACCTCTGGCTGCCTGTAATTTGTGCGTATCCAAGGTCAAAACTATTCGCACTACTCCCCACACTACTACCGGTATTCTTTCTCCCTCCTCGCTGTGGAATTGGAGGTCCTCTAAGTGAACCACCTGTATCGTTGCGTATACTATTGATTCTAGTCAACCCCGTTTGGAAGTTGGAACTGCTATTGCTTCTTCGGCTGCGAGAAATCTTGTCGGAATAATGACTTGAATCGTCTGCTGGATCGTAGTCGGAACTGAAGGAGTGAGCGTGTCCTCTGCCACCTCTAGCTGCGAAGTTTTGAGGTGATTGATATGGTTCTTCATCACCAAAGGAGGAATATAACCGATCTTCGTCCAGTGTAGGATTGCGCAAGCTAAAATCTTCCTGCCCGAAAGAGAATTGGTCCAAGGAAAGTAGCATATGATCTACCAATGAGTCGCGGGTAACTTGTCGGGGGGAAAGGGAGAGGTCGTGAGAATCCCGGTTATTTCGCACATTCTCAGGATCATTTTCTTTGTTGGAAGGATCAACTGGTGTAATGTCATCTAAAAATGAATGCCCTGTTCCACTTCGCAGATTAAGCGCCCGATTCGATGAAGTAATATTTTCTGGACTGGAAGCCTGCGCCTCCGGTGTCTGGGGCGGAGATATGCTTCCTCTTCTTTTTGCCTTATAGCCAGTATCAATATTCAGGTCAACGCCGAGTCGCTTCGTCGGTGCATTCGGCATCTTCTCGACGGTATGCATGGCAGCCACAAGTGCAGCTGAGCCGTCATGAAGTATTATAAATTGGTTCGAATTTTGAAAGGATTATAAGATGGTTCTTCGAATTGGTTCCTGGTTTGATCCACCTTCACTGCGACTGTAACCTGGATCAATACGACAAGTTCGATTCTCAATTGCGTATCAATGCTCTGCCGATGCGAAACACTCAAACGATTCGTATTCTAGATTTCTCGAATATACTTCCCGCCTTTCTGCCGGTTGCGATAATTTATCTGCAAGTAATATATTTTAAATGGGTGCTAAGATATGTTTGAGGCAGCAAACGTCGGAAGAGGTTGATGCAGCAGAAACTCTTTTCGAAACACGCCGAAGTGTTGGGGAAAGTTTGTTTGCGTGCTACCAGGACAAATTACTTTCTCGGGATTGAATCGGTAGGGACTGACTAGAGATTGGCATATGCTGGTGAGGATTGAACGAGGTGTGGTGAGGTTCAATTGAGGGAAGATGATTTCCTATCCGTTTGTTTGTGCGTCTGTTTGTTTGTCGTCGGACAAGTAAATATTGAATTGGCAGATTGTAAAGTAGGTAAGGAACTGTACACAAGGGCGGGATTCGTTTGTAACAGCGGAGAAGCAGAGACAGAAGCAGCAGCAGCAGCAGCAGCAGATGCAGGACAATGTTGATACTCAAGACTCCAAGCAGCTATTGAGTAATAACGGGTCGTGCAGTAGTGAATTTCGTGATATGGGGCATATACTTTATTGGGTTTTTGTCACTGATTGCTTTTGATATCCATATCTATTTAGGTCGCGGTACCTGGTAAACAAATGATTAGATACCCCTATGGAGAAATATATACCCAGGTCGCTCAATAATTTCTAGGATCTCCGACTCCGATGGAATGGCGACCACTGGGATTGAAGATTTTACGTCCCAAAAGAGCCTCTGGAAATGTTTTCTTCAAGGGTTGCAACGGGTAAAGAGAAGATTGGTATGTGCAAAAAGAAAATATGCTTTTTTCCGTAAATGGATGAAGGGAAGGGAAGGGGGTAGAGAATCGGATGACGAGTGATGAGTGAAGACTGAAAATTGAGACTGAAGACTGAAAATTGAGACTGAAGACTGAAAACTAAGAGTGAAGACTGATTTGATTGTTTTTCTCATCAAAAATTTCATTCAAATTCAAAGAAGAGAAATTTGATTGGATTTTGATTAAGGATATGATTTTACATTGACAAGTTTATGAGTTTACACACTCATTTCCGTTTTCATTCATGGTTCATGGGCGAAAATGCACAGTGCAGTTGAACAGTGCAGAGGGCAGTCATAATTGCAGTCAAGAAGTCTGCTGTGTATCAATTCGGGCCCGTGCTGGTTGGCCATATGGATCGATGATCTTCATGACAAGAGAAACAAGAGAAACCAAATCCATCCGACCCAAACTCCTTCCAGTCCCGACATCCACAAAAAGGAAAGAAGAATGGGAAAAAAGAAAGCGATCAACCGGGAAGAGCAATCATGATACAGAGCATCCACGAATTGATCAAAGTTTCCATCCATGGTCAAAGTCAAATCTCGTCGATATGTACGTACTTGGTATCTACGGAGTATCTCTATGAAAGGTCATTGCTTGCAAATTACAAACTCACCAACCAACCAACAAACAATGGCAGCTGCATCTCCTGGGGAACCCATGAACCTCTCTCCATTTTTAATTTAATCGAAAGATTCCATTCCGAACCACCAACCGTGGATAAAAGTTTAAAAAAGGAGACACACGGCGCGACTGGCTCTGTCCATACCACCAAGCTGCTGCTGCAAACTGCATGAAGGGAGGGGGAATTGGGGGCCGGCAAAAGAGAGGATCTAACCAGGGATTGAGATTGGACAGAGAAGGGTACGAGGGAAAGATGCCATCGTGACACTAACAGCCTCTTCGAAGTTTCAGGGGGAGGGGAACGGAAATGTACGTGCAACCATGGCCTTTCGTACGCTTCTAAATCTGTCAGAAAAAGGATCCTTGGATCCCTTACCCTCAAGATATACCTGCGGCTACCCGTCAAATATACATACACGGAAACACAGTGTAACGACCCAGGTAATTTGGTACAATGGGACTTTTATACCGGAAAGAGCGGTGTACCACGAGTCTGATATAGATCACGTCTTCGTGGATGCGTTTGATATACATAATCTACTTTTGCAGAGAAAGGAAATTGCATTTGAGATCCGTTGGACGAAGCTTCCAATAGAGTAATGTTTCATCTGCTCATACCGGTATCAAGCCCGCCCATTCAAACCTGGAAAGACAAACATCCAAAATCTCATGGCGATCAAAGCTTCGAATCATCTTGATATCCAGATGTCCCGCATTAAGCCTCTGCAGTCGATCGGTAGGTTAATAGGCTCATAGGATAGATAACATGCACCCCTATTTCCCTGTATCAAGGCGGGATAGATGCCAATGATTTGTTCATGCACAATGGTCGCGGGATGCTATCACGTGAATGTATAAATTCCTCATCGGCCGAAGCGGAAAATTATTGGCTAACTAAATGACAAGTAAGGACAAGCGACGTTTCGCCGGTATGATTCAAGCATTGAGTTCTCTAACAGATCTACACTGTCGACGCAGTATGGTATGGTCGAATGTTATCGCTTCGTTCTCAACTCTTCAGCTACATTGCTCACTAACGGCTTTTACTTTTTGTTATTTTTAGACTTGAGCTGCGATTGGGGGGCTGAGACTTAAGTACGTAAAAGAAGATATCAAAGGATCAAGAGAAGGATGAGAGAAGCTTCGGAAACATCCCCGACTATCTTCTTGAGGATGCTTATTCCTTACATAATCTCACATAAACTTTGATGGGCTCACCTGGTGGCTCAACACATCAGATACCTACCTAGGTATTCACGATGAGGATACTTCGGATATGTGACTAACGGGAAGGTAAGATTTCAACTCAAGCTTATCACGACATGCTATGGTTATTTTCTAATATTTACAGTTTTTGAATTGTGCGGTTCTTCTGTACTATATTGCATTTTCCTGATAATGCCGGCATTGATGATCCTGTAAAACGGAAACCGATATCACATATTATAGTTCACGAAGATCTCCAAACGCTGCGGCAGGCTGCATGGATGACTCGATCTATCATCGTCGGCAGCTGCAGATCTCCAATAAACTTCTATTACCATACGTATCAAAGAATTGGGACAAAAATATATACGAAGGTTTTACGAATGATAATCTCTTCGCCCAGGACAAATGCTGATCCGTTCGCATACTCCAAGCCGGTGTATACGAAATATTCGCATCACTTACCATGAACAGCCTTCTCGCTCACGACCACTAACCATCTTCTTTTAATGGAACAATTCACCACACCAAACAACATCAAAGCTTTTTCACCAAAATATCTCAACTCCCTGAGTATCTTCCATTGGCGTCATCGTGCGTTGGGCTTAGTCTCATACCGCCTTGACAATAACATCAAAGTTATCATCGTCGACCACCAAACCATGTCCAAAAATCTCATCCTAGCACGGAACCTCACGAATTTGACGGGCGGAAAATACGAATTGTCCATTGTCCACCTCGTCTAAGCTTGCCATGAAACTAGAACTAGACGTACTTCGGCTTCACATGCTGTAGATGATTTCAATTTTCACATGATGCTTGCTAGGACAAGATATGTATCCGACCGCAAATGTGAAAGTCGATCCTAAATAAGGTCTTCCTTCCTGGTCGGTGCAGTGTGGAAAAGTCGGCTGCAATGGAACTTTCGGAAGTCAGTTCATCTTTTGCAGAAGTAGCCATGCTCGACTGCTTGAAGCCAAGCATCATAAACTTGAAAATCATACTCAATCTTTATTGTTGCCACGACATATACATAAAGCGTTCAGCATCTCAATCAATATTTCAAACAAAAGAGGCAACCATACAAGTGTACTGTTTGTAAAAACTACTCTGATGTATGGATCTTCACATCAGCATGTCATATGTCTTATACTTCCTTTTCTCTTGATGGATCCTTATTCCTTTCAGCAAATGGGTCGCCCATCACAGTCTCTGTAACCCACCGAATCAGATGATTGGGTCTTGAATATCTCTGTGATGTTTCCTGAGTCAGTTTATAGCTGCTTGGGCGGGGTTGCAGATCGCCTTACAAAGATATACGTCGCCTGCGACCTACACTGGTTGATCATAACTTACTTTGGCAGGCTCATCGTAGACCAAAGTCACCGCTTCGTCATAGGCGACGTTTGCTGTCTCATTGTCGGAAAGTTTTTCCAGGCTCGTCATATGAGACTTTGGCGGCTTCATCGTACGCAACCTTCAAGGCTTCGTCATATGAGATCTTGGCAGGCTCTTTATGTGAGACTTTTGCCGTGTTGTCCCTCAATAACAGTCTCTTAAACGCTTAGCCCAGTTGTATAAAGAAACGTCGCCTACGCGAAGCACTCACTAGTGATTGAAAGGGCAAAGGGTCCAAGAACAAAAGAACCAATAACGTATGCGTATTTGTTGTGCATTCTAATGAGCACGTGTAATAATTGTGTTATGAAGTGAATGGGTCAGTAGAGTTTCGTTCGTACGTTAAAACTTGATGTTTTCGATCTGTTGTATGGGTCCGTGATGTTGACGTATTGCCGAAACTTTCAGGAGAAGCCTTTCCAACTCACTGCCATCAAATCAATCTTAGTATGCGTTTTCACACAGAGCGATTTCCGTACAAAACTTACTTGTTCTACCTTCGTACGGTGTACATGTATTCATATTGAATTCCATAGCAATATGATGATTGATGGCATGCATCCTAAAAGTGGTCTGCGAGTATCTTTCAAAGACACGCATCGCCCCTACGGCTTTCCTCTCTGGTTTACATATGGTCAAGTGATAATTAGACATTGCGAATAGCTGCATTTCTCTCGCGGGACTTTGCCACTAATGGCATCTACGATATGGCAAGACCATATGTGTTAGAAGACCTAAGTTTCAATAGCCCATGCACATCGTCTAGTCATAATCTCGTCCGGATGGCAGCTTGTTGAGACCATTGCCATCTGAATGGCAAGATAGTAATTGTACATTGATACTCTTTTTCCCATCTGCCCATTCCTCCAATAACCCTCCTACCTTTCAACTTTTTTCCCTCCCTCGTCCCAACCCCTATTATCGCAGTTAATTAAATTCCAACCAACCCCTCCCCCCTGTCGTCATAAATTACTGTAGAGAATGCTACGCATTAATTTCTTGTGCCAAATCGGTGGCGGAATTATCATTATCTCCTTTCGCTGGAATCAAGGAGGTCAACAGTCACCAGTGGATCTTGACATAGCGCTTGAATATCGAAAGTCGAGTATGTTTATTGAGTGCGTAGATGAGAGATGAGCTGTACTGCAGGGGTATAATTGAACGGTTGAGGGGGAGTAGACAAAGAAGCAGAGATTACAGTACAGGTATATGATACCCGAGTCTCCTAAACATTATTTGCTTGTGAATCCGAGGAGGGAGTCTGGGTTGGTATATATGGGGTATTGAGAGGAGAGAAGAAAGAAGAGAATTATAATGGAAAGTATGTATTTATATCATGCGCTTTAATAGGTACTTACTGCTATTTCCTAGCGATGTGAAAATCTAGATAGATGGATAAAAATTGATTAGTTTTTCCTCTTGTTCTTTTTTTTGCTTATGAATACTGTATAGGTAGGTATGAATGGATGAATATCTTTTTATTTATTTGGTAGGTATAGGTAAGTAGGTGGGCAGGTAGGTAGGTAGGTAGATAGGTGTTTTTCTCGTATTCTTTTAAGGCGAATAAAGAATGGAAAGTGGGTGCTTTTGGAGTATGGAATGGGAAAAAGTGTATTGGACGGGAGTGATTTTCTTGGGATGGTTTGTGATATGTAACAAAGTGTGGTTTGAGGGGTTTGTAGAGATTGGTGTGAGGATGTGGGACTTGTGTTGTGTTGTGTTTTTTTGGTGACGATGATGATGATGATGATGATGAATGCGGGTAGGTATGGGGCTATATATGAGATATGGGATTTGTATGATTAAAAGATTAGGGGGTATCATACAAAATCGAGGGGAAGACGTAGAGATACTCATTCACTAGATGATATTGAGCAGATATACCATCCTCCATTTCTTCCAAAAAATCGCATTCCAAAACAGGAAAATGTGACGCTCAGCTCTATACTTTATATTCGGGATAATCACCATCTGTCATCCAATTGCGTTTCGATTCTCAATACATATTATATATCCCACAATATACTCACCCTTCTTTCGACTGAATACTTCAATAATCTCCTATAAGAGGAAGTAAGATGCATTAGTTCTGTTCTAACCAGATCGAACTTGAAAGTATAGCATCTCCGAGATTATACTGCCTTTTCGAGATTCCTGATGTTTTCTTGATCATTTTATAAACTCGTCGATAGTGTAATCTGGACTTACGTCTTCGAGAATTTTTGGATGCAGAATCTCACTATTGAAGATAAGGAGAAAGGAGAAAGGAGAAAGGAGAAAGGAGAAAGGAGAAAGGAGAAAGGAGAAAGGAGAAAGGAGAAAGGAGAAAGGAGAAAGGAGAACGGAGAAAAGTGTTGGAAACAGATTCTGAGGTATAAAAAGCTTGGGATAAGTCAAATTACGGCGTATTGCCCTCAAAATCTCAAGAATGTGATGTTTGTCTTTCTCTCGGGGCCCTATAAAATAAAAACAAAATTTATCACCATATGTGTATTCGAGTGTATCCAGAAAACTGCAGCTTATTCCTCCGTTGTGAGATTTGAAAATCCATATTGACCTTCGTTTGAGAGAAAGAGAGACTGGACTAAACTAAAATCACAAGCGATATCAAGTCACCCACGTACGACGTCTGGTTATAGTTTAATTATTAATTATTACTAACTAAAGAACTAAGCTTATATATCCTTTGCATCCAACTATTTAGAGATCTGAACCTCGGGTATCCTGTAAAACAACACGTTTGAATGCTCTTTATTATGCACAAGTGAGACTGTCACTTTTATTGCGACTAGGGTAGTACTTTTTAAACCTCGGCGGTAAGCTTGAAAGAAATCGAAGTGTATGATGGTTCACACTGATGGAACCCTAAACATACGTCTCCTCGAATTCCAGCTTCTAGACTTAAAGTCTGCGCGCACAGTCACAGGAGAATTACCATTTTGAGCTGTGATCTCCTGGATATTCGACTCTGTAGCATTGACCTTAGCCTGAGCAAGCCCAATCTTCTTATTCTGCAAATCCATGACAGCATAGGCTGCCGAGAAAAACGGGGCTCCGAACGATAGAAGATCATCTTCATTGGCGGTCGGGTTTACTGGAACGACGCATAAGTTGTTACCATTGTTATCCTTCGCCTGCGTTCCATCTTGGTTCTTTGCAGGCGTGAGCATCATCTCGATCGGGACCTGGATCGTGGTTCCCGAGAAGCCGAAGACCATGTTCATGCCTTTGTTGGCTATGTCACAGGTGACCTGCATTGAGCCATCCGGGCCTGGGTTCGCGTTGAGGGCGTTGCCGATCGCTTCGACGGCGGGTAATGGGATGTCAATTGAAGGGTTTCCGGTATCCAGAAGTACGGGAGTTTGTTTGTTTGGTAGAGCTATATTCGTGGTGGCACGTTTATTGTTGGATCCTCCTGTGATTGCGAGAGAAGTAGCTGATATTACGAAGTCGGTAGCTTGGCCATTGTCATTTTCAAGTATTGGTAGCATGGTCATGTTGCCAGTGAACTTGGCGGTATCCATACCACCAAAGATGATCGAACCTTCAGTAGACCCTGAAATAAATGTTAGTGCAAGATTTTTTAGGTAAAGAACAGGAGACACATACTAAAATCGTTGAGGTAAATACCATAGGCAGCGGTGTTGGTCAAGCCTGCCGATTTCATAGCCAATGGGAGGTTCTCATATGGCGTTGGGTTCTGATCCGTCGCAGAGAACTCCTGAGCTGCAAAACCAATCCCCATAACTGGAAAAAGGGCGGTGGGTAGAAACCCTTGTGTACTCAGACCCATGGTATTGTTCTTGAGTTCAGTATTCCCAAGACGGATCGAGTCTTGCATAAAATGTCCCCGTGACATTCACGCCGCCACCATAGATTGCAAAAAAATTCGGCTTTCCCGCCACAAAGGTAGTAGAGCTGTTGGAAGCGAAAGACCCTGTTGAAAACTTCTTGTCGGATGCAATGCACTGGTTTTTAGGATCGGCGCAGAGTTTGCTCCCACTTGCCGGCACCCAGAAGTCACTGCTACCTGTGTCCAAGATGGCGGTCATATTCTGCGGTGGGTTGCCAACGGCGACGTTGACTGCTGAGACAAAAGGGTCACCATTGCTGACTCGAGCTATGGGGACTTGAACAAACTTTTGTGCGCAAGAGAGGTAAGGAAAAGTGATGGCGCTCACCAGGAGTGCAGAAGCGAAAGTAGTTCTCATGTCAAATATAATTTAAGTGAACGAATGAATAAACAGAAAAAGCAATGTTAGTTGCTGTTCAAGTATCAAGAGCTAACCTCTGGAACTTATATTTGAGCTGTAAGAAGTGACGTCTAACTCATTATTCCAGAGCAATTTCATGTTTCAGTATAAGCTCATGCGATCGCTACCGACAAACATCATTCCAGAAATTCTGGAAACGTTCGCGATAATGGAACAATGAAGAGCCGGAAGTGTATGAAATCGGTCCTATCCTCGGATAGTTTTCTTCCTCATTGAATACAATCCCGTTCTAAGCATCTGCATACTTTGCGTAGCCCGTAACAGTAGTTCGAAATCCCTCAAAGGGGTGATCGTTATTCAAACGACAACATATAGAGTGTGTTTCAAATGTCAGAATAAACTTTTTGAGGGTCTGAAATTCTGCAACTCACCCGTTCTCATGCTCTCAACTCCGTCTTGTAATACTTGGAGAATTTCAGCACCGCGTTTCGCACTCAAAGTTTATTGGAACAAGGTTACTGCACATGCTATCAAGTTGAGCGGTTGATGATAGATCACAAATATTTCCCCATAGTTACAGGGGCCTCGACTCGTATTTGAGAATATTTGAGAACGTTCGGAACGATGTTAAAAATGGCCAGCAAAGTCGGAATCTCAGTCTGTACGTTGGTTCTGGGTACGAACTTCTGATTGCAATAATACCAGAGAGCCCATGGGATTAATCGTAATTTGTCGAGTTGTGATGATGTAGATTTGTAATTGGAGATTTTGAACAGCTAGAAAATGAGTAAGATTCAATTGAGCTGACGATAAGGCCCACGAAACAGATTATAGCTACTAAATGGGATAGGTATGAAACTCGTCTGACTATGCAATTATCTGATTTGCGATTAGATTTAATTGCGATTCTAGGCAGTTTACACAATTTTCACGAAAGGCGTAAACAAGTGTTCCATGTGGCAACAAAAGAAGAACTTGGCTCATGGTTTGACGTGTATCAGAAAGTGGCTCAAGAGTACAGAATTATGCTTAAAAAAACATTTGATAAACGGTGTAATAAGAATGATCCTAAACATCCAATCGGAACTATGGAATCAATTCGATTAATAATCGATTTTGCACTTCACACGAATTATCAAACGCGTCTAGATTGTAGGAATGAATTCTTCTACCACTTGGAATGCTCAAGGACAAGGATATTTCTCAAAATTGGTTTTCGAAGAAAGTTCTGGATCATAAATTTTTGGTGCAAATATAAAGGAAAGTATTAGGGCAAGTAATCTTTATGTTTGTATTGTAGTTTCCAACTGAACGTGTAAACTAATCCTAGGGGTTGAGCCCGAGAAAGAGAGGCAAAAAAGGTGGTTTCTTATGTGTGAAACATCAAATGACCCTATATCCACACCTTAGGAAGCTTCGAGGCGTCTTCTCCATCTCTTTCATCGTTCTCTAGGCAAATCCTCAAAAGGTGCCACGTCCTCGTGGCTAGTGGTGCCAATTGAGTCAATGGTCTTCCCAGTGTCGATTTTAATGCGGAAAAGCAATCGGGGTGTGAGGTTTCGGATGGGAACGACTATTGGCTTTCATCCCCTTGATATGTTTGAGCCATATAGTAAGCTGCTGAGGCTCGACTTAGCAGTTCTACATAGTCATCGACCTATGAAGGGTGTTAATGAGCATAATAATATAATACATAACTTATCAATTTGATAAGAAAAGAGGAATTCCACAAACTCATAGTCTGTAAAATCCTTGTTCCCCGACGGCTAATCAAGTCCATATCATGTAACCAATCACTTATTCATTGCCATCTTATGTACTCCCGTATCTCCTTCCCAAACTTATATTCCCAAAAAAGATAAATGCAGCGCCCAGCCCCATAATTCATCTCTCATTCAATAACATTCCCATCCTCGGTATATCATTCTTCCCGTCTTACATGCAGCGTATTTCGTTTCGTTTAGCTAACGAACAAGCAACCCATCATTCGTCAGAGAAAATTACGTCAAATAACATCATGACATAAATTTCTCGGCAGTCATATCGCTACATCACGCCCGTTTAGCTCTAGTAACTTCGCCTCCCCAGATTTGGGGGCACTGCTAGACAGATGAAAGATAGCCAATAATATTTGCAATCTTGCGTTTTGAGGTGTATTTGCGTAAAGGATGGCGTGGTCAGGTAATGAGAACATGATTTACGAATGATTCGGATGAGAGAAAAGGGGATGAAAAATAATGTATTTTCATAGTGCGGCTGATGGTTGGAAAATATATAGAAGAATGTTTGTGCCGCTGTTGAAATTATTTAGTTGTTCATCATTTTTGGAAGTTAGCGAAGTGTCTTTCTTGTGTTACCTCGGGACTTGGAGGCATCCCTTACTTTGTGATATATACGACTTCAACTTGACTGCGGCAACAATAAATAGTATGGGGAACGGCAAGCCTAGTATGTGTATAGTTGAGATTTCAATTGAAAGTATCTAAATTAATTATCTGTATTTAGTCGAGGATAGTCTCTACTTCTATGCGCCTAACAAGATAGCACCCGTTATATTTGCGGTCTTGATAGCGATTTCTATGGTTACTCATGGATATCAGTGCTAGTATGTTTTTTCCTCCACCACACAAATTTCCTTTGGCCATCAACATTTTTTTCGAGGTATCATGCTAAGTGCTTCAAGTCGTTACAAATGCTGGAAAGTAACCGGACTACTCCCATGGTGCGGATGTATATATCTTGCCGGTTTTATCCTCAGAGAAGTTGGTGCTTTCCAGTATAGCAATCTTAATATATATATCGCTAGTATAGTTCTGCTTTATGCTGCACCGTGAGTCCTACCCCTATTTCCCCCTCGTCTCCTTCTCTACTCTCGCTATCTACCAAGACACACCCGAATCCGCACTAAATGCAAACCAAAACACAGACCCATCTACGAACTAGTAAATTACTTCATCCTCTCCCGAATCCTCTACTACGTCCCTTATCACTCTCCTCTCCATCCCGGTCGCGTCCTCACCACTTTCGGTGCCATCTCCGCCGTCGTCGAAGCTCTCAACGCTAACGGCGCCGCCCGTCTCGCCAACTCATCTCTTTCCGAAGATGCTCAAGAAATCGGTCGATCTCTTCTCAAAGCCGCTTTGTGTCTCCAGCTCGGTATTCTAGGAGCATTTGTCTTCCTCGCTGCTTATTTCCACTTGAAATGTCGCAAAAATTCGCTCTTACCCAATAGTTTGAATAATGTGTTAATCACACTCTATATATCGAGTGCGTTGATCGGAACAAGAACAATATATCGCACAGTTGAATATTTCAGTATCGCAGATTTGCATCCCGAGCCCGGGAGGGAAGTTAGTGATATTAGTCCGATTGTTCGATATGAATGGTTTTTCTGGGTGTTTGAAGCTTCGCTTATGACTTGTAATACATTCTTGTTGAATTGGAGACATCCGATGAGATTTTTGCCAAGGAATAATAGGATATATTTGGGGAAAGATGGGGTGACGGAGATTGAGGGAACGGGGTATCAGGATGAGAGGAGATGGTGGATTACGTTTATTGATCCGTTTGATGTTTATGGGATGTGTAAGGGGAGGAATATGCATAGAGGATTCTGGGAGCAGGGTGGTGTCGAAAGCCTGGGGCAAGGAGTCGCAAATCACCAAATAGAGAGGCAAACGGAAGGGAAGGAAGGACATAGAAGAGATGCGATATGACGGTGGAAGTAACTATTTTCTTGGCGAATTAAATGCCATTTCTCGAAGATGACGGACGTTGTAAAACAGCATTTCGGGTAGCAAGTGTTTAGTTTAGTTTCATCAAATAGTGAAAGAGGATATTACAGACGACTATCAAAACTATTCTGATGTAATATGCGTTGTCTTTCATACATGTCGAAGTAGAATTTTCAGTTGGTTATAGCTTGAATTCATGTGTACGGAGATCGAATGTCGCCTAATCTTGAGTGCAGTGTCATTTGATTCACTCTTCCCTAACCAGCCAGCACTCGAGCGCAACAAGCAGACGCTCAAGCGTAATCTGACCACAAATTGGGTGCTCAAGCTCCAGTAGACAGTCTGTTGGCCACTCAAATCCAACTACTGAGTTGCTACAAGCACAGATTGCTATGAATCCGTGATAGAATACATCATACTATATAGAGGTGAACATGAGTTGAGATTTCAATTAGAATTCACCAAACATCTAGATTCTAGTCGATATAAATCTATTTGTCCAATCATCTCTAGTGCCTCCAGATGTCTAATTGGTGCTCGCCTCGCATTATTCTAGGTATCTAGCGATATGACCTTGATAACAGAATTTATATTCAATTCCTTGATTCCTATTTCTATTATCCTATCCCTATCCATATCCATATTCCAATGAACCGCATAATCAATTCATACCTTGATTAAGCTCTAGTCACGCTTGTAGATCTAGGTAGAATTATAATTGTACGATAATCTTCAATATCTCCGAACCTTTAATTATCACCGGCCCGATGTTGTTCCAGCTGACTATCAGTGTAGCCTCAATTGCAGATGCAATGAACAACGACCATATCTCTTTGTGGGTACAACTTACCTATTACATGGATGCCAGATGTGACTTGAATGTTAACGCTAGAGCCTTACCATACTCTAAAGCATTGATGGAATAACGTGGTTTATCATCATGTGGGCCATATCATCATGTGGGCCACTTTCACCTCAATTATTATCTCTTCATTTTAATATGCAATTTATCAACAATCCATTATGGAAATGATTAATAAAAAACACAAATTATTTTGGTTATTCAAGCTATTCAAAAAAACAAAAAATTAAGCATTCGAAAAGCTACTAAACTGTATAATATCCCACATACAACAATTTAGTATAGAATAAATAGTTTAACCCCTTATACAGAATATCGATACAAAACCTATAAGATTACAGAATTGGAAAAGGAAGTGATTATTCAATATATAATTAATATAAATGATAAAGGATTTCCAC